TCCAACAGACTATCTTGTGATATACAAGCTTTTGTTCAATTTACTTGCTAAAAGTTGTAACGAGTGATATCTTTGTTTATAGGCTTTCGCAATGTAAATATCTTGCTAATTGATTTTTGACTAGGGATTTGTAAACAATCTTTTAGTTAATATATGGAAAAAGGCGGGACTAATTACCATTGTACGATATTCCAACAAGAAGCTTTTAAACGACAACTTAAGCACCGTACGCGAATTGACAAATTGTACATTTTAGAGTAACGATATTGTACATATGTGATTTTCATTCATGTAAACATTCCTTGTAATTTTTGTGTCTCTCTGACTGTTTTGTTTTGACTGGACAATTATTGGACAAAATTGAATTTTGGAGTTTTAACTGATTTTCCTATTACGACACAACCTCGAAGGAAAATATGTTAATTATTCTTATAGCCAATCGAATTTTTACTGATGTAAGATTAGTTTAAGTTTGAGTAAGATTGGCAGCCTTCAGATTCAGTCAGGATAAAAAGAGCTGTAACTAGATCTTGTCAGAGAGATACTGCTAGCCTTGATTGTGAAAAGTTGAGAAACAAGTTATCTACATTAAAACAGTATAAAGAGACAAAGAGTTTGAGTTCATTGTAATAATAATAATAATAATAAAGTCTTTATTCATCAAGAGATAAAAATACATATCTTTTGTTACAAGTAAGTGTAAGAAATTTAAAAAGTTAAAAAGTAAGAAATAAAAAATATATACCGGTATATATATCTAGTATATTACATAGCTAATTCATATTTAAAAACTAAACGATTAATAAAAGAGTTTTTAAAGCGCATAGTGTTAATCTTAGGTTTAAAACTAGTTTCTTTTCTAAGATTGTAGCTGGAGGGTTTAACACGAGGCATAATAGATAAAAGTGGATGTCCTTTGGCATTAAAAACTTTTTTGAAAATTTTACGGTCTTGCCTCTCTAAGAAATCATAAACACTTACAGGCTTAGACGTATATTTCCTTTTAAAACAGCGGTCTAAGAAACATTGTACGGGTGTAAGATCGGACTCGGACGCGGCGTAGACAGATAATGCGTAATTAATATTAGGTAGAACTATAGTATTAAAGAGAAGGTCTATTTCTGACTGATTGTACCCTTCTTTGCGCAGCGTTCTAAGGATATGTAGGGATTTGTTAGCTTTAATAAGTTTGTTCTTCACGTGCACTGAAAATTTGCTGTCACATTGGAAGGTGACGCCCAAAATCTCAACTTCTTTACAGCTTGGTATCATCCCAATGGGTGAATAGAGATCGTGGTTGCCTCTCTTTTTGATCGTCAACTCTTTACATTTGCTTGGGTTGCAAGACATTCCATTTGTATTCGTCCAATCTAAAAACTGTGACACTAACTGATCGGAGTAGTCTACCTCCTTCCATACAGGAGCAATAATTGTCGAGTCATCAGCGTACTTAAATAGCGCGTCATGATTACCTAAAGTGATGTTAAGATCATTGAGGAAGATATTAAAAAGGTAAGGACCGCTAACGCTACCTTGAGTTGTCCCTTGGTTGACCGGTTTCCAGTCACACTCAAAGTTGTTACAACATACCCTTTGTTTTCTATCCTTTAAAAAGTTCAAGTACCAATTGGTAATATATGGATTCAGTGGGAGCTTTTTTAATTTACTAGCAAGAAGATCATGTTTCACAGAGTCAAAAGCTTTGCTGAAGTCCATAGCAAAAAGGCGAACTGCTTTACAATCCGGGTTATCCAGGTAGCTGTTGGTCCTATGTTGAATTGACAAGAGAGCATCGGTACAGTTTCCACCTTTTTGTAGAGGATTACTGTTCCCCCAAGTTTCCTACTACAATCTGGTGGAAGAACTTGCTGAACGTCCCGGTACGAGGCAGCCAAGCAAGCCCACAGGGTAAATAAAAGCCGAAGAATGCAGCCGGCTCCTTGGTTGCGTTGATAACAACTAAAGCCATCCCGAGTAAAGCCGCAGATTGCAGCCGGCTCCTTGGTTGCGTTGATAACACCTAAAGCCATCTGGAGGATTACTCCTTCGCGCGAGCAATTCACAGGTACTTTGGCCAGGACCACGATCACAACCATCTGGAAGCCCCAAGCCGGACCAGAAAACCCACCGCAGTGTCCAAGCCGCCCGAAGCACAAGAAACAAGCAACACCCAAGCGACATCAAGGCCAAGGCGGAATACGAAGACACCTCCTGTAAGCACAATGACTTTTATGAACATTTATATTTATTAGTTTTCTTATCGACACGAATTTTCCCCGCTATTTTCTACTATGTAACTCTCTTATTTAGTTATAACCTTACTTTTGCTTGTTTAATTATCAAATAACTAAGTATTTCTTATTCTCTTACTTACTGATGGAGAGCGGTGCTGAATGAGTACTGTTTCAAAATCCTCGCAAATAGTCACACGTTCACAAACCCTTAAATCTAAAGCCTCTGTAAAAACACCACTAACTTGTGACTGTACAACTGCTGAAGCGGTTTCGAAACCAACATTTAAAATGAATGAGGAACAACTCAAATTGATTCAGGACTCTCTCAAAACTATCCAGCAAACTATACAAGCTGATTTAGCCAAAGAAGCTCATACACAACGGACCAAATTAGACACTTTACAATCCAAATTAAACAAACCTGACACGCACGGTCTACGTGGGAAACATACACTCTCTGCATCGTCTGTTTTGAACCCACGGCAATTCCAACACATCGCATGCCCTGTTGCCGTCAATTTATCCATGAGCAATGCCTCTTACAATGTTTTCGGCATTCCTCATTTCATCAGGTCTACCGATGCCCACATTGCCGTGGCGATTTGTTCCCTGTTGACGCCGACGACCTTACGGCTGAAACACATCCGCCACCAGGCCATTACCTTTATATTTTTAATTATTCAAGTATGGGCACTCTTCAGCACGACGTTGAAGAGATTTCCTATGATCTTTTCATCAATCCCTCTCTCGCTCCACGACCTCCAGGCCTGAACTGGGATCAAGTTCGAGCAGAGCGAGAGGCTCAACTGCGCGACCTCTTAGGCATTGATGTCAACCAAGACAATTAGCCTCATTTTCTTTGTATATACTTACCCCTACATTTGTTTCTTCTATTTCAGTATTCCTTTTTTATAATACTATATTGTTACCTCCTAGCGGTATCTTTTCACAAGGTAACTGTAATTCCTGGTTTCTTGTTTGTAAGATATGTCAAAAGCGGTTATTATGTTCTTGGTACGGACACGTGTAGCAGCCATGCAAGCTGCCGCACAATGCTTGATGATTTTAGCGAATTACAACACCAAGTAAATAGTTCTCACCTTTTCCTCGCAACAGGAGTTGCGTTTTTCTAAAGATGGAGGAATGTAAAACGATATTTTCGGGTATAAGTTAATACCAAAATGAAAATACCTTTATCGAATAAGGAACGTTAATGAATCATCAAGCATTGCTATTATAAAAATATTTTAATTATTATTATCACTAAGTAGAGTGTTTTGAATTGTTATATAAATACGTTCTACTAGAATGCACTGGGCTTACAAAAGCTATTTGTTTTTCGTTAATAAGGTTTGGCCTCTCTCTGTAAAGATGCTCTTTTGGACGTCGGTTTCTCTTTTCACAGGTGCCGCTATTCAATTAAGAAATGATGCTTTTTGTTTAAACTGAGCCCAAACAGAGGTTCTTAATCTAATTAGTTCTGGTAAATTTAACGACATTTGTTTGTTAACTTACATTAATTGGCTTAATTGGTTTTTCCTAAATCTTTAGAAGCTTGACCTTACCAAGTTGTCTTTTCCTGGACATTCCTATTTTTACTATCTTTCGCGTATTTAGTGGTTTGATCGAAACTTCAGTGCGCTTCTAAAAGAAAACCTTGTCCAACAGACTATCTTAGTTAACTCGTTGTGATAAACAAGCTTTTGTTACTGCCTAGTTCAATTTACTTACTAAAAGTTGTAACGAGTGATGTCTTTGTTTATAGGCTTTCGCAATGTAAATATCTTGCTAACTGATTTTTGACTAGGGATTTGTAAACAATCTTTTAGTTAATATATGGAAAAAGGCGGGACTAATTACCACTGTACGATATTCCAACACGAAGCTTTTAAACGACAACTTAAGCACTGTGCGCGAATTGACAAATTGTACATTTTAGAGTAACGATATTGTACATATGTGATTTTCATTCATGTAAACATTCCTTGTAATTTTTGTCTGTCTCTGACTGTTTTGTTTTGATTGGACAATTATTGGACAAAAATGAATTTTGGAGTTTTAACTGATTTTCCTATTACGACACAACCTCGAAGGAAAATATGTTAATATTTCTTATAGCCAATCGAATTTTTACTGATGTAAGATTATTTTAAGTTTGAGTAAGATTGGCAGCCTTCAGATTCAGTCAGGATAAAAAGAGCTGTAACTAGGTCTTGTCAGAGAGATACTGTTGGCCTTGATTGAGAAAAGTTGAGCAACAAGTTATCTACATTAAAACAGTTTAAAGAGACAAAGAGTTTGAGTTCATTGTAGAGGATTACTGTTCCCCCCAAGTTTCCTACTACATTTTGGGGACTTGCATGTGAAACTGGTCGACCTTGCGCGGGAAACTGGGCTCAAATTCTTCGATCCAAAATACAGTGTAGTCACATTGAATCTAGGCTGCGAACACAAGACGTATTTCCGGTCGTCGCTTCTCTCCACCCGAAACACAACAAGGAAAAAGTACGGACGGAAGGAGGAAGGAATGGTGCACTTTCAAACCTCAGTAGTTAAAACGATTGACATTCTTCATTGCTGTCCTTGACTGACTTGGGGCTGCTTTTTGAGCGTATTGCTGCCTACGCACGCAAGGAAGGTCTGTCTTACACAAAGTAGAATTCACGTCTACTTCCGGTAACATGAAAACTTATTTATCGCCACCATGCAGGGGTGCGAAAAAATGCGCACAACGAGATTGAGGGCATTAGACGCTATCAACCTTTCGTCCTCTTTTGCATTGTTTATTACCAATAATTTAACTACTTCTTAATACTCTATTACTATTTACAGTTCAATTTTCTACGTCTTTTTAAAATATTTGGTGTTTTCATTATTATATATGACAATGATTCTTCTCCGCTAGAGTTTTAGGCGATTGATGTCTTCACTTCTGAAATCGACTCTGTGGGAAAAAGAGAGAACATAAGCAGGAATTTTCTTCCTTCTGGAAGTAAGGTATCACACCACGTGAGAAGACAATAAATTTGGCGGGAAAAAGTTCCAAATGAAGTTCTTACTTGCCATGACAACATAACCTTGTTTCTAAACATTTTCACTTATTTTAAGGCTTGATTTTTCATCTCATTAAAATGCTTTTTAGTACTTTCTTGCCGGCAATGCTGTTTAGTTGTCTGTTTCGATTGAATGTGCGAATCAAACTTTCATGTGTACACCCTGTTAATACGGTCACTTTTTATGGCCCATTGGTGACCGTATTAACGGGGTTCCAATGTATTCGTGGATTTTCGGATAAATTACACACAACTCTTTTGATCGACGCGGGAAGTATATAGTACTCTCTCAAACAGTATTAAAACAGACAAACCACAAGGTAACAAAGTTTGAATGTGCAATATGCTGATTATATCAAGAAACACACTAATTTCCTAGGAATAGATCAGCATTGAAAGAATCACTTGAGACTTATTACTGGAGCCAGATTCACAGCGGAAGTCATAATTTCATGATACTACTGTAGATGGTTCAGTCGACGCTAATAGGTGAAATCCTTGCACTGACCAGTGGAATAAAAGCTACTCCGCCAACCTCGTCCCCAGGGATTTTACTAAGGGAAAGGCTCTGCTCCTGCGCAGTACTCTCTCGTTGCTTCGTACAGGGTTAAAGTGGTAAAAACTATAAAGTAACAAAAAAGATTAAATCATTGTACTTCACCTCAACGACAAGACTTGTCTGACTTCAGCTGGAGTTAGTCGCCACGTCATTGGACCTGAGTTAGCCCCCCAATAGTCCATTATCTCCCCGACCTATAAATACAATAAAATGGATATCAAAAGAGGTGCCTTCCAGCCCCTGCCACAGGTGACGTATTCCCGCCCTCGATACCATTTACGCACCAATCTTACGCTCTCCGCACTTCTTGCAAGTTACATTTCCCCAACTACGCATGACAGCAGTTACATTGGCACCATTCACCAACCCAATCTCGTTCCCAGAGGCCGCGATCCTTATGCACAGCGACGGGGATCGCTAGTAACGGAGGCTCTGGGGACGAGATTGCAGTGAAACCAGTCACAGGATTGTTTTTCCACGCATGTAAACATTAACTACCATTTTTTTTTTCGCGCATGGCAAGAGGGTACCAATTACATATTTTCCCATTTTTGATACCATTCAGTATGTTTTCCCGCGCTTATGACCATTTACAGAAGGCGTTTTCCCTCACTTAGCACCGCTTGACCGGTTGACTGGTTACATGTTTTCCCGCGCTTTTTACTATTGCTTGACTGGTTAGGTCGGCATTATATTCTACCCAACAAAACCACATCGATCGAGAGGGACTGAGATTGAATTTTGAATAACTTAAAAGTCGTAACCGAAGAATCTCGGAAAATGTACGGATCAGGGATGATATGCACGAACAACCGAACATCCGAACACTAGATCGGAGGTTCTAACCACTGAACCACCAGGGCTCTAGCGTTAGTGAAGTCGGAATTCTACTATACCAGCAGAGTGTATAATACACTTCTATACTGGGAGCTGAAAAAAAGAGAAAGGCTCGAGAAAGGCTGCGTCCATTTCACAGTTGTGGGGATGCAGGAAATATATCAGGGGGGTACAGTTTCATGCATAATGACTGAGATGTTAGGAAGATGTTGGAAATGAGCAAAGCGGCGAGAACGAATCGCCAAGCTCGCTGGTAAGTGCTCGTTCTTTCTCACGCGGAGAAAAATCAAGAACAACCTCTGGAACCAGGGAAGCTAGGTGTAAATTGCAGCTAGCTTTATATTCCCCCCCCCCCCGCCCCACCCCGCAAGAAGAGGATTCTTTCCGGCATGGATTTTATCGACTATATTGACTTCCAAAATTATTTATGATTTTTTTCCAAAATTCTAAATTTGTAAGACTTATTTTTAAATGTACATTCACAATGGCGATTTTCGCTGCCCCCAATTATAATTACAATCACAAGCAACGAGCCTTGAAACACAGAAACACAGAAACACACAGAACGGATCGAAATCCACCAATCACAAATCACAAACGTTGACCTTTAGAACCCGTTAAAGTAAAGTTTTGTTTCCTAAGAGGTCCGTTAAGATAATTGACGGCAGCGAAAAACGCAATCGTCAGTTGGCTTTTGAACTTCAGAATTCGCAAGTTTGTGAAAAGCGCAGTAATAGATGAATCTTAGATACACACCAATGTTCCCAAAATCTTTGTCCACTTTGAAGCAGGAAAACTTGATCGTCGATCTCGTTTCAAACTCTGCGATGAGTTTATAAACCTCTTGGACGGAAGAAACATATCCAAAATTCTCAGCAAGATTTTCCTATCGAATGTGGGTTCGTAACTTAAAATTCCCGCCATGATCTTCCTGTTTGTTTCCCGGGAATGATGGGATTTGGAAGGTCGCGAGTTCGATTCTCGCCCGGGACACGAAAATTTTCGTTGCCCCGGACGAGCAAGGGGCGCGATCCATTCAACCAAAATTTCCGAAAATTTCGGTCCAAAACTCAATGGATCGGTTCGGTCCAACCGGAAAAGTTTTCCCGGTCGGACCGGTTGGAATTTTGGTTGAATGGATCGCGCCCATGGTTTCTCCTAAGTTCTTCCAAGTGAAAATGTTCACTGGAAGTGTAAGTGTGCTGCTCACAAGTGCACATTAAAAATAACTTGAATAATAATAATAATAATGATAATAATAATATTTATAATAATAATAAGAATAATAATAATAAAAGTAAAGAAATAAAATATTTTGTATGTGTAAACAATAACAACTTATATAAAAACCATGATTAAAATTTTCATTGTGTCAATAATAATTATGCTTTATGAGTATGGTCTTAAAAAGTCCGTCAGTACTTTGCAGAAGCGTATCTATGCGCCTAAAAAAAATTAAAACCCTTGCTTCTTTGGAGATTTAAGAATGGTTATAGGTAAGGGCTCATATGTGCGGTCTGGACAGGTCGAGTGGTTTTGGTGGATGTAGACTTCAACATCCACCAAAACCACCAACAGTGTTCGGGGCTAGATGTGTATCACGTAGCCTCATGAAATATCTGAAACATGTTTTAAAACTTCATGTACAATATTTGCCAAAATACAGATATACTCGTTATATTCATCCTTTGTTGGTGAGAACGCTATCTCCTAAATATAATAAAGCTCAAAGCAAAAGAAACGCGAATCCACGAGAGGCGAATACATCAAAACATCGTAGGCATCTTTCTTTGGTATAACAAGTCACAAGGTGTCCAAAATTCAATCTCAGTCCCTCTCGATCGATGTGGTTTTGGTGGGTAGAATATAATGCCGACCGACTGTTACATGTCGGTGTTTTCCCGCGCTTTTCACCATTGCTTGACTGGCTACTTGTTTTCCCGCACTTCTCACCATTGCTTGATCGCTTACAAGTTATGCGTTTTTCGCCATCCTTTATCCGGTTGCAAGTTTTCCCGCGCTTTTCATCGTTGCCTGACTGGTTACATGTTTTCCTGCGCATTTCACCATGGTTTATCCGATTACATGTTTTCCAGCGATTTTCACAATTGGTTAACTGGCTACAAGTTTACCCACGCTTTTCACCCTTGCTTTACTGGTTGCATGTTTTCCCGCGCTTTTTACCAACGCTTGTACCGTTCCAAGTTTACCCGCTCTTTTCAGCATTGCTTGACTGGTTACATGCTTTCTTGCGATTTTCACCGGTAAGTGACCATTGCTTGACTGGTTACGTGTTTCTGCGCTTTTCACCGTTACTTGACCCTGGCTCCAAGATTTCCCTCGCTTGCAGAGCAAACCGCGCTTCACAAAATTTAAAATTGTTTTCCCTGTTTTTTCGTACGTTAAATGGCTACAGAGAAAATTGAGGAACGGTAAAAGCCCTTACCTTTTCTAGATTGAGAATAGTTGCAATCTGTGTTAGTCTGGCAAACTTGTCCCTTATTGTCCACTGAGTGACAGCTGTCAAGTAGCCAACCAATGAACGGAGTTCCTTGTCGAACTGAAGACCACCTAACTAATATCAAGAAAATAAGAGTGGATATCAAAACAAACGTCTGATAAGCTACCTATGCAGTGAGACACAAGTTAAATCAATCGAAAATTCACTACGCAAATCAGTACTGTTTAACGGCCTCTCGTTGCAGATAAAATTTTGCATTCAAACCAAAACGTATTCAAAAGTTATTCAGGTAAATGCAGACTAAAGTTGTCTTCGGCGTAGAGTTGCTAACAAATATTTGTTGGCTTCAATTTTGCATCATAAAACAAAGCACTTGTAAGAGCTTAATTAAACCTCATTTTACGTTTTTCTCAATTTTCTGAGAACAAGGTTTATTTTGTTAACCGTGATTTTATTACTTAACATGTTTTGCTGATCATGTGATGTGAGTTGGGGATTATATCCTGAATCTTTGTACAGCGTAGCGATTTTCCTCGTCTCATGATCCTTTTCCAAGTTTCCACTTCCTTTCCTTCCCACCTGCCTTCTTTCGGATGGGTCAAAGATCTACGAAGTGGGTGAACCGGACAGGCTATAATCCCCAACTCACATCAGAAAAAAATGTTTAGTAATAAAATCACAGTTTTAACTCGTCGCAGAACTAGGTAATTTCCTCATTTTCCTTTTGCTGTACTACTCCTGGGGTGCTAATCCGAGGAAGAAGTTTTAAACAAGTTGTTAGAACATAATAAATTATGGGGTATATAACTGACAAAGTTGATCTGACAACTTACTCTGTTAAATGACGCTTTCATGACCGAAGCCTCTAGCTGATTGGTTATTTCTGTGGTTGCCATACTAACAAGGGAGTCGTAGTTGGTAGGGGTCAGCGGACCCTGTAAAAAAGTCATGCACGATTTTTATAAGTTTTTGGAAGACCATACTGACATTGTTTACTTGATCTAAAAGTGACCTATCCCTTGCCGATTCAACGCTTACAATTATTACTAACTGTAGCCTTCGTAGCACAGCAGCCGTCGCCGTTTTCATTTAGCCAAGCGAGATAAGGGGACGCGCGAGGGCATGGGGCGAAAATGAGCAAAAAACGAAGATAGGAAAATAGGAGCGGGGGGGGGGAGGGGCGGAAATGTCCTTACCTACTAACTACCCACCTTAAAAGAAGTTAACATTGAGTCCAGACTAGTGATGAAATTCTGTACAAATGGATCATTGACTTCATAAAACGCAAATTCCTCCTACAAGAGTAAAGAAAAAATAGATTATTTTGCTTCAGTTGCTCTTTTGGAAACATTTCAAGTTTTCCCCAAACTAGAGAGATAAGTCAAGCCCGATTAGCAGTCATGTCGCATTAACTTTATCACACATCGGAGATTTCAATAAACTAGACGGTTGTTGCTCTGCGTATGTAACATACGCGTTTCTCCGGGCGGAACAAGACAACTTTTGAAATAAAGTAACCTAAAGCTGACCTCAAGGAGCACATGCCTCCGTTAATGCGGCCAAAAAACTGGGGCTATTGGCTACGTTAACAACAACAACCGGGCCACACTGTTCAAATACTTATATTACACGTGCCCGGGGTTCTGTCTAGGATTTATCGTTTAGGGGAGAAGTCCCACGTGGCCAGGGCCATGAGCTTCGTACCAGGGTCCGGGGCAGGGCGGATAAAGGTTGGGCGGTGAAACGAGCGCGTCCGAGCAAAAAGGTGTGATGCAGTGGACTGGGACTCTGCTTAGAAATGTCGCTTGTTTTCGACTTTGGTCAGGGCTTCCGATGTGGGTTGTACATTAGACATGTACACTGCCGCTGTCACTGAATTATGGCGGCTTGACTTGTTTTCTTGCACTTCTTCCTCGTTCCTTTGTGTTGGTACGTCTCCGAGGGGCAAATGTTGCTATTTTTTGCGGGAGGTTTAGCTGGAGTAGACAAACATCTCTTTCAAAGGGTTTCTTTTATTACTTCCATGACTCTGCCACTGAATTATATTTTCGTTCTCCTACTAGCCAATGTCGATGTTATTCCAAAACAAAAACAACTAAGTACTGTCTAAAACACGAAGGAAAATCTCATCCATGTCATCCATGGCAAAACTAAAAGACAGCAGATCGTGTTTCATAACTAGATGACGTGTATTTTACAAATGCGTGCAGCTCGTGCAAGGTGAAATTATGCTAATTTCAATCACCATCATCCTTCTTTTTAATCTGGAAAAAAACACCTCACACGTCTTTCTGTTTCTTCGAAACTTCAAAATTAGTTTCCCTTCAGTTTTTACTGTTTACCTTGTTTTGTTTTAGCGAGAAAAACGGAGAAAAAACGTTACAACTAACCTCAATAAATTTTGTTTACATGCGGTTACCGGATTTGTAACGCATTGCGCAAATCGCCATGGCGCGTTGCACCACAGGTGGCCCAAGCGTAATATGGGCCTGTGGTGGCGTAATATGAGAGTTTGTATGGGAAAAATAGAGTTTCAAACTTAGATGAAATAAATGAAGTAAAAGCGATAAAAGTTATCAATAAAGTGTAAATATTGTTACCTGGAGTCGTTGTCTTTCTTTTTACGAAGTTTCAGCGCGATTTGAGTACTTTTACATCATCTGACCTGACAGTGTAATAATTATTACACTGTCAGGTCAGATGATGTAATTACACTGTCAGGTCAGATGATGTAAAAGTACTCAAATCGCGCTGAAACTTCGTAAAAAGAAAGACAACGACTCCAGGTAACAATATTTACACTTTATTGATAACTTTTATCGCTTTTACTTCATTTATTTCATCTAAGTTTGAAACTCTATTTTTCCCATACAAACTCTCATATTACGCCACCACAGGCCCATATTACGCTTGGGCCACCTGTGGTTGCACCCGAGAAGCAAAGTTTGAAGAAGTACAATGCCACTATATCAATCTAATTTTTTGTTATGTTAAATGAAATTTATCCCCCTTAAACATATGTAAAAATTGAGGTTAAGAAGTGTTAAGCTTTTGCAAACGAAACGGCGAAAGACGATTAGGTGATATTCAGTGGAAGGAGGAGGAATTCAACACTTTCAAATTAAACTCACATTTTGGCATTAAACGACCGACAAGCTTGACTTATAGACGAACAGACACAAACATATGAAATTGTTTATTGATACTGTTATGAAACGAATTTATCTATTTAACATTGTAGCCTGAAATTACAGAAAGAATTTAGGATTTCCGGTTTGCAAAAAGGAAAATTTCGCCGGCCTTCAAGCGCACCGAAAGCGCGGAAAGAGCGCTCGTGCCAGTCCTACTCCGCATCACACATTAAATGAAGAGCGGAGCGCTCGTTTCACCGCCCGACCTTTATCCGCCCTGGTCCGGGGGCATGCCTCCGCGGAAAGTTTTTGAAATGAATATGCAATCTGGTGTACTTTGAGACACAATTTTGAGAAATGTAACAAGGGTATTTTATTTTATTTTGTAGTCGTGATCGCGTTCTGACAATGTTACAATACTCCATGTTCCTTGCCATATAGTGTCCTTAGACAGGGAATACTTACTTCATGTGCTCTGACATCGTAGCGTCTGGAAGAGTTTTCCGATATAGTTACTTATACACTGTAATGATAACAATATTTTGGGGGGAGCTTCTACCCCTCAAATATCCTAGAAAGAACCCTGGTGCCACAAGTCGACCTCACTAATTTATGCGAGCGGAGCGAGCTCTTTAGGCTGCGAAGCGGCGCCTTTATTAAATCGGACGAAGGACTTTTTTAAAAGTCTGTAGTCACATAGGCTTGGTCACTTTCACCCAAATCCTACAAGTTTCGCACTCATCGCTCGGCCTATGACTCAGCGTTTGGTTCATGTTTGAAATCTTTACCTGAAATAGACACTTCTCGTTTTCTGCGCTTGTAAGTAGTTGGTGTTCCTGCGCGGCACATGTATGGCACAGGGCATGATTTCCCACGCGCGGCTCTTGTATTGTTTAGCGTTTCCCGCGCTTGCAGGACGAGTCGCAGGGGGAAACTTGCATGATTCTGCCTAAGTAGCTGAGTTTGCTAGAGTGTAAGAATGGTTTCCATAATGTCAAAAGTATGAATCCAATGGGGACCTCTGAATAAAATTTAATTTTCCAGTGAATCACCGTACATCCTTCTTGATTTCTTATTTCATAAATGAGTTTTAAATTTTCCAACTCTCTTTTGACCATCAGTTTACTTTCCTTACGTGTAAAACAGACCAGCACTTACGTCTATTTTTTATTTCATGTTTTATTTTACTATCATTTTGCCATTTAATTCATTAATACCATTAATTACTTACCTCAGATATATTGTGACTTGTTGAGTTGAAGCCGTCGATGAGAGGTTTCAGTCTTGGTATGACGGCAGTGGAACAAAGCTGATATACTCCGCCCTACAAATAAAAAAGAAGCTTTTTGAAGATAGTCTTGATTGTGCAGGGAAAGAACTAGTCACGAAGTAGTGTGCTACTGTGATGACAGGAGAGAAACTTCGGAGTGAAAAAAACATTGCCTGTACTAGAAACTCTGAGCGCACATTCGGAAAGAACTGCTCACGTTCTTTCATAAAAGGTTTGAGGGATCCCTAGCTCCTGCATTTATTAAGAAAAATTTATCATCTGTGTTGATAACTTTGAACGCATATTTTAAAGGAATTGCCAGTGTACATTTGTAATGTCTTCAACGGATCAATTGCTAGCCTGTTCCAGGCATTCACATAAACAGGCTAGTCAATTGTTCAGTGCTGCACTGGTTTCATCAAGAGAGCTGTGGTGGATCCAGACCTACAGATAAGGGAGGGGGGGGGGCGGTCTTTTTTTCGGCCCTTACGGCCACAGTTTGGTCCAAAAATAAGGGGGGGTGGGCCCCTCCCCTGGGTCCGCCACTGGAGAGAGTAACGACACAGAGAGGGAATCTTAGGGCGTTGGCCGGGATATACGAATTTCATTTAGTTGTTTTTAGAGGTTGTAATTAAGTCTAATTCCTGGGATATCCTCAAATTTCAATCGATTGTGTGAAACGTTATCAGGTCCAAGTGCCTCAAAGCAAAAATGCAGACTGTGAAATTCTTTATTGACAACGCTGAATAAAAGTTTGCGGACCTCTCCGGAAACCGACTTGCGATTAATTCAAGCGTCTACTTGGTCTAAAGATAACTTTGGTGAATAAGGCTAGACTGGGCGTTTCCTTATCTGTCACATTATGCCCTCTTGGTTTCATCCAACATTACTACTAAGAGACAAGTTAAAGTTGACATAATTAGGGACCTTAAGCAACGACGACGACGACAGTGAAAAACATTACTAAAAAAAGGAATTTGCGTCCTTTCAAACTTTATCGCGTCTACTTGGAACCGCTCAATTCGTCAAATGTTGGCGACCTTTGCTAGAGTTGAATTCTTAAGGGCATTATCCATGTTAAAATAGAGAAGGGAAAATCTGTCGTCGTATGTCCACGTCCTCCATAAAACGTCGCATTCGGGAGGTTTCATGTCGTAGTCGTGCAGTGGACGTCAAAGAAATGTACTGAAAAGCGTGATGCACGTGCAGAGCAGTTGTGTTGCTTATAAAACCAATTGTTTTTTGACGTTGTTGTTGTTGTCGTCGTCGTCGTCGTTACCTAAGGTACTGTTATGCGCGACACTTAACCGGTTAGCACGGGCTGGCACAAAACAAAACTACCTGGAAATGAATAGCGCAAGCGAGATAAATCCGAATTCTAACCTGACGTGTGTGGGGTCAAAAATTATTATGGTTGACATGGTAAAAGTAAGACAAAAAGGCACCTACTTGAAGTAAATCCTTGAAGATATTCGACGTGTTCATCAAGTCTGCGAGGCAGCTCTGGATGTAGAAGACAAAACAAAATAGGAATCTATCAGCAATTTGACGAAAATGGAGAGGACCAGGGGCCCGTTTCTCGGAAGTCTCGATAATTACCATCCCCGGAAAGCTGTTTACATTCAAGATCGTGGTTTCGATAGTTTTGAAGATAACATGATAAAACTAGCAATTAACCAAAAATGTGGCCTAGCTTGTTAGCTATGACCCGCGCTTTTATTCTTTATATTACTTGAAAACTGAATGGGGGCCCGAAAAGTTATACCGAGACTACCCCAGGGCCGAGTTCGAAGGTCCAACTGGTGCAAATCCAGGGTTAGTTGCCATGGCAACTCACATGCTCCGTTTAAAGTTAACCCAGGATAAGAGCTGACCGGCGGGTTTTTCACAACTCAGCGAAAGGCCGTGAAATAGTTTTAAAAATCCTTCTGACTGTGACCAGCGAAGAGAGGCAGCGGACCGACCAGGGAGTACTGGCGAGAGAAGGTAACTCCGAAACCTCTCCCCAGTCTCTTCTCCTTCTTCTCGCCCGCGCATGATCTTGTGTGAGTTTTAATTTCAATCACACGTAGTTTTCCGCCAGTGCAGCCTGAGAAAACAGCCGGCATTTCACGAGGACATCAACGCTTTCTCTCGAAAGAACGCCTGAGGAGCGAACGCAGAAATTCCAAACTGAGGACATGTGAATACTCTGATCTTGGTAGGGCTTCTGATTGGTTAAAAATTCACTTCAACTCGGCTGTTTTGTCAGGCTATCGCCGGCGTGAAGATATCATGCCACGTCTCTTCCTCAAGTAGTGTTTCAGTCTATATTTACGTGGGATTATTTCAGAGCAAATACTAAATGAATTTACCTCTAACTTAAGCTTTGCCGGTTCTCCAAGAGCGAGGTTCCTATCACATTCAACCTTGAGCGGAGACAAATTAGGAGAAAATTATATAAGTACAATATGTAAGTAGGTTGAGTATGATCGTTCGGGTGATCTCAGTCCTGAATAGGACTTTTGTTGTTGACGGTAACTGACGTTTCGACAACCTTTGCGGTAGTCATCTTCAGAGTCAAAGTGACGATTATTCTCAACCAACTTATGAAATCACTCCTGAGTTCAAACCGTTCACAGTAGTACAACTTATGAAAATACAATTGTATAGATTTCATCACTAACCGATCGTTTTCTGTATTAAGTCTAGTCAATAATATCATAAAAATTCGCTCTTCTGTTTTAGCCATACCTCAAGATCTTTCTTCAGTTTCTGAATGTTATCACTGCTAACTTCAAGATTGTTTAGTGTGACCTAAAACACAACAAAAAACAGCGTTATTCATATGTCTTTAAATGGTGTTGTCTTTTTCTTTGCTGCTATTAAACTTGTCACCACTGTGTTAATATCATTTTATAGCTAGGAGCTTGCACGAAAACATTTGTTTGTTTAGCTCCTAAACATCATTTAATTATAATCTATCGTTTCTATGTAACATTTTTTTTTCTTTCCATTAACATCGTAAAATTTAACGGACGTAATGTAAAGGTTGTTGTTGTTGGTGTTTTTGTTGTTTCGCAGCAAAATCTCCCGCCGCTTCTTTTCCCACCACTTTAACGAATACAACCAAAATAAACCTCAAGAAGGCAACACAAACTTACAAGAAAAGCCTTTCTTGCTGCTGCATTCTCCGCGGTTGAGGAATAACCAACTTGAATCTTGCCTTGCAACATTCCAGATAAATCAAGACTAGCAGAAAGGAAAGATAAAAACTCAAGTTATTTTGGTACGAGATTAGCTTGTTTACAGTTCCTCTATTTTCTCTTTAGAGATCGTCTACCCTGCGAGCAGCGGTTTCTCCAAGCCGGACGCTACACTACTTGCAGTGATCACCCAGCTCGCGTAAGAATATAAAACCGCGGAAGGTTTATTGACCCGAAGCGCAAGGGGCTGGGAGTGGAGGTGCTGGTGGGGAAAGAATAGTTCGCGCTTGTTTTCGCGCCCTGCGCTCGCACAGACGAAAAAGAAAAACTAAAACAAACTGACAACAAAACACAACTAGAAGAACACAGTTCGTACCTCCCAGATGGAAATCCTGCTTTTAATCTCGACGTTAAAACGTCACGATAATCAGATGAGAGAAGAGCGCTGCGAGCAAGAGTTAAAAAAAAAAGAAATGATATTAGCTTAACTCCAAGAAGTTTATTTGAGTTAATTAAAGTTTGTCAGTTAACGAGATTACATACATACAACAAAAACAAAACAAAAAAGGTGCGACGAGAAACTATTACTTAGTAGAAGACTTAATAGACAGGGGCACCCAGCGGCAGTTTTCGGAAAATATCTGTTCGAAAGACGATTTGAGATCTAGAATTTTCGGAACATTTGTTGTAAAATTTCTTGCTTGCCTGCCTCTCCTAGGATTTTCGAACATCTACAAAATGGTATAATTGCCCATTTTCAACGGATTTTGACCCTAAAAAAGGCCACCTAGAATTTTCGGGAGCCTTTTCCTGGCTGAAATTTTCGAGAAGCTACGTTTTTATCCCTATAATTTTCGGATCACTCGACTTTCAGCTAGGAAATCCGAACAGATGAAAAGTTTTTAGGGGATAAAAATATGCCTATATCTACCGTTTAAATACTAAAGTACGTCCAACAATGCTATGTTAAGTGGTTTTGAACTATATCCTCGTTGGGTGCCCCTGAATAGAGTGCATAGAATCACAAGTAATAACATAAGAGGGCACCTACCACGCGTGATTCAACATTGCGCATGTTCCATCAACACTAGAGCTGGACAAAGCACGTCTATTATAGGGAAATAATTTAACATGTCAGCGTCAACTTTATACAGACAATGATACAGACAATATTAAACATGGTCTTAGAGGAAAGTTAGGCGCAGTGAACTGTATCTTTAAAAAACAGATTAGAGCCCTGTTAAAAGTCAAACCACAGTCCAGTACATGAAGATTCGACTTTCACTGTATTGTGCCATAGGATACTCTGATATTTTCAACTCAGGATTTGAAGACTGTGCTTTCTTACCTGACGGCCTTCTGTACAATAAAAAACACATCATCCACCATACTGGAAGTAACTGCTTCATCGTCACCACCCTCTGACACATCCATTTTGACAGCCTATCAGAAGAAACAAAATCAAAGTAAAAACTACGGGGAACTCGTGGATACATTGTGTAGAAAATAGCGAAGGTATGATGAGATATAATAGAAATGATAAAACCAAGAAAAATTCCGGCTGCCGTGAATGTATCTGTCGCATTCACGAGTTTGTTTTCTATGAACGCAAACCTTGTTACTGACAACAAACAATAAAAACATATGAAAATACCCTTTAAATTAAGCAAAAAATAACTGAGCAGGGCTTCAACCGGATGCAGAATAGAGAATTCAGTGGTACCTTATGGTGAAATAGTCATAAGAGGCTAGGGATGAATGCGTCCACGCATTTGAGGGAAAAACTCTTATTACATCAAACATTGCACAGCTCACCTTCATAACAGTTTCTCTCATAAAATACTCTTCCATGAAAATATAGTTTCCAATCAACTCCTGGAAAAAAATGTTTATCATAAACAAAAATTGCCTCTACTACTTAAGTACTTTGAATCTCCGAAAAAGGAATCGTGAGGGCTTTTTAATATTAATAGTGTAGGGCATGTAAAAACAATAAACAACAAAAGAGTGACTTCTTACTCACTATTGCCGCTGAAATAGAATTAGACTAAACGATTAAATGAAAAAAAGGTAAGAACTCGAAAATTCTAAAATTCAAAATTCAAAACTCTTATTATAACTTTGCTTGGAGTTTTCCCAGGAAAGCAATGCCGTTAGTCTTTTTGAAAACAGAATAATTCATTGATATAAAGCTGAATTTTGAGACCTAGAGCAATTATTTTAAATATTAAATGATCATAACTCTATACATCGCCCATTATATACATTTCCAGCAGCAACACCGTTGTTAAGACATAAAAAACATAAATTATATGCAGAGTCACGTTTGAATGCATAGAAAATTAGCCCCAATGAGCTCAAAGTAACCTATGTTGCTCTGCAGGAATTCAACAGGGGGAAAATTGCTGATATCCTGAATCATATGTAGAATAAGCTTTCAAAAATACTACGAAAAGAATCGTAAAACTCATGAAGGCTAACCCACTTAACAAAAAGCACAAAAGGGTCAAGGGAGTCACTTAATTTGTTATGGCTGAATGTGCACACAATATTCAGCGAGCTGGATAGCAGATCCTTCTGCATACCCTACCAAACATCACTCGATCGCACATCTGAGATGTTATTCATCTCAACATCCTGCTCCTTAGAACAAATTTTTATTATTATTATTATTATTGAAATGAAATGTTACTTTAAACTAAGTTGTAAGTTGTAATTGTATATAGGATTTTGAAGTTAGCTTTGTTATCAATAAAAGAATAAAAAAATCTTTATTACTGTTATTATTATTTTATCTTAATGAAAGTATGATTACCTGCATTCTTCTGCTGAGATCACAGTTGGATATAACTTTGTCCTGAATTCCTAACAGTTCTTGGGAAGGAATAAACAGATAAATATCAGAACTGTGCTTAAACCCCTTAGGACTGGTCTTCTGTTTAAAACGTACAGGGACAATAAACATGGGAAATAGCGGGAACTGGCGATTCTTAATAGAATTCAATCATGTAGAAAATGGATCCTGACAAACCTAGTTTTTTTTCCACGAGGAAATTGAATACATATTATGTAGTTCCAAAAAATAGCCATACCTCCCCACATAGGGCTCTTTTCTTTGGACCCCCCACCCTCTGGAATTTTGGTTATTTTCCAACTTGGTTTGAGACCCCCTGAAAAGAATTTTTCCGTCAAAATTGCCGTTGCACTATACTACTTTGAGAAAGATAATAGTTTCTTTGATAAAGAGAGAAAAATCCTTTCATTAATGTCAGTACTGAGTCTAATAATCTTAATTAAGTCTTTCTTGGTTAATAATTAACGGTAAGTCACTAAGAAACATGGAGGCGATACGTTACTTGACACGAATGATACCTAACCGGCTTTAGAAGAACCAGTAACTTTCAAACTAAACACCCAGTTAACTTCAATTACTTCCCTTCAGATAAAAACATGTTACAAGAAGTCAGGACCACATTACGGTTAGTACCACAATGTATCATTTATTCATGAGCCGATGACAATAGTTTTACAAGTAAGGCGTGAAAAAAGGATTCAGCCGACCGTAAATAAAAGATCGTCAACGCAAACAATAATTCTTGTTTTGAACCACTAGTTTACAAAAAAAACTGATATCTTGCTCATCAGGGCAGCTGCTCATTTTTAATAACTAAGATGCCCCTGGAAAAAAGTCCTCAAGAAGCCACCCCCCACCCTTACGGAAAGTGCCTCCTTTTGGACCCCCCTCCCCTCGGAATTTCTGTTGCCCTCCGTGGGGGAGGTATGGATATTTTCTGGACCTACACATTAAATTGTTTAATAGCTACCTTCAGTTCTTTCCATTTCTGGAATATTCTCCATATCATCCTGAAAATACAAAACGAAAATAATTTCCTAACTTATGTCCCCAACAAATTCTTTAATTTCTGTGGTCATTAATACCAGTTCCAAGAATCATAAATCCATCAACAGGATATTCGCATGGTTTTCCTTGATGCTCGTTCTGGTATGGTTTGAAAGATCTCTTCCCCTTGCACAACGAAATCAAAAGCTGTAAAAGGGACGTAGTTCTGCATGAGGGGTAATGGGCTAGGGATGAATGGTGATTTTTTTAAAAAAATTCTACATAAAAGGTTCTTACCGAGATCCGTTTCTCAATAAACTTTAAATACATCTCAGCCCTTGAATTCATGATCACAACTTCTCTTAAAACAACATCAAGCTCTCTTGGATCATATCTGAAAAACAAAATACAGTGAGACCTCGATATAACGAACCTCTATATAAAGAAGTCCTCGGTATAACGAACGATTCTCTTTACCCCAGCAATAGTAAAATATATAAAAAAGAACCTCGATATAACGAACCTCCATAAAACGAAGGGCCAAGGGACTGGCAAAATTAGTTCGCTATAACGAGGTTCCGTTATACAGCAGAACCTCGATATAACGAAGTTCTCGCGTGTGACGAACGATCGCCTTAACCCCAGTAATAGTAAAATATATGAAAAAGAACCTCGATATAGCGAACTGAACAAATTTTGGCAGTCCCTGAGCCTTCGTTAAATGGATGTTCCACTGTATCACTCCTTGAATTAGCCTCCTCCACAGGCCTCACTGTCCTGTTTTAGAGAACGACTGGGAGAATGGGGAGAGAACAAGGAGTGACAGTGATCCACGACTCTTTTTTTCTCCTTTTGTCCTCAGACTCCTCACGGTGCCTACCGAGGAGGCAATCCTTGAACATGGGATACAAACAAGTTTCATAAAAAGTAAACTTTAAAAACAAACAGTGATACTACAGTCAAACCTGGAAAAACGTGAACACCAGAAATATTTCTGGAATGTTATTGCGTTGCAAGAAAAAAGCCAATCAGGCTTGAGAGAACTAAGCCGCAAGCAAAAATGTTGATTAGTTTGTGGTTTTGTGGCTAGTTCATTTGTCCTGATCTTTGCTATGATTGGTCATTGATAACACAATAAACATTCCTGAGATATTTCAAGTGTTAACGGTTTTCCCGGTCGCACTGTAATAACTTTTAAAATTTACGTCTGCGCAACGTAAGAGAGGCGGTAGCCCTTGCAATTCTTATACCTTAAGCTTTCAATAAAAAAGTAATAATAATAATAATAATAATAATAATAATAATAATAATAATAATAATAATAATAATTAGTTGAAAGGTTAATGTACTAGAATTGCAAGGGCAACCACCTCTCTCTTCCCTCCAATTATTGGACTCTGGTGGTTGTGTGGTTGACAAGTCCAACCGAAACCAATACATGACCTTCTGAAAAATTGTTAGATGACAAAATCAACTGAGTTAAATTAGGGTCCAGGCCTGACAGACCTGTGGTGAACTGTACATCATTCACAAGACTAAAAAATAACCTTGAGTTTTGACTCCTAGACCACATTATGGTAAGTCTATCTGTGACTCTATTTTTTGAGTCTGTGGACAAACATCTATTATGTTAGCGAGCAAATGAACCCTTTTCGGCACGACTTTTGCAAAGTAGTATTCATTTAACAGGATTCTACTAAAATTCATAAATTTGAAGATTTCCATGATTTTTTTTTGCTTGATTAGAAGTGATTCGATTAACGTTTCACTCATCCTGCCTTTGTCTACTGCTACCATGCAAAATAGCAAAAAATAAAATGAAATGAATAACTCATACGCATTAACTACCATATACTAGATATAGCTATCGCTAAGTGCCAACGAGCAAAGATTTTATCTATACGCGCGCGCCGTTCAATTTGCTTAGAAATGTCATGAACTACCGTAAATTACGAGAATAAAGGCTGCAGGTTAGTCACATGTCCGTCATTTAGGGCCTGTTTACATAGAGGTGGGGTAACTCAGGTAGGTGAGGTAACCCGCTTAGGTGGGATAACTCGCCTGTCCATATAATCTCTCATTTTAATTTGATCACGTTTACATGATACGTGGGGTGACCCGCCCAGTTGGGTAGCCCAGTCTGCCAGACCAGGTTACCCTCTCAGCCGGGGTCAAATTTTGCCATGTAAACGTTTCAAGGTGGGGTAACCCGCGTAGCCGGAGTTGGATTCGTGATACATCAAATTCGTGCAATACTCACTTTGGCGGCGGCTTTGCATCATTATCAAAGGTACCAATCGCAAGCCATAGCACTGAAGGTTGCAGCAAGAGCTGCAAGTGAGTGTAGAAGAGCATTAATCGCCAAAACATGTGGTTTGCCAGCATTTTTCTTGTTTACGTGCTTAGCGACCATTCAATAATCTTGAGAAAGTGCAGCCCGGGATGGTGGGGTTGTAAGATTACATGTGAAGGAGGGTTATGTTTTTACCCCACCAAAGCGGGTTACCTCACCTACCTGGGGTCCCCCACCTCTATGCAAACAGGCCCTTACCGTCATGGAACGGACTCGTCCATTTTACTCATGCATTATACTATGCCTGTGTTCGCTCGAAAACAATGCATTCTATAATAGTTACCTTACACTACGGTATGTTACGTCGCTTCGAGATTCATTCTGCCTTGAAACTTTCGCGCACAGCTATATTATACTGCCGCCTCACAGCCTCGAGGCTTGGAGAGACTGCTCGTTGGCAATATATTTTTAGATACAGAGTGAGCTTTTTTTTTGCACTATATATGCAGTACAGCCCACCTTTCCATGTGTGCAGAAGAGCTTTTCAGTGTTTGACTGCTCTGTACTGATTTAAACTGCAAAGAAAAAAATACATAATAAATCAATCATATGAGTATAACTTTCGTTAATTTTGTATATCTCTCCAAGATAATGCAACTTTCAGCTTTCATGTATTTAAAATATATGACATATCTAGGACAAATACAGTCGAACCCCTATTAAGCGGCGACCGTCTTAGAAATGGAAAGTGCCCGCTTAATAGGGGTTGGTCACAAGCGTTCGTCAGGAATTGGTCTGAAACTTACTTGAAATGTCAATTTATTCAAATGCACGAATGCTTAAAGACTTTTACCATTTGCTGATATAATAAAACGTTTAAAAATCGCACAAACCGCCGCCTAGTTGGTTCAGTTGGGAGAGCGCCGGTCTGCTGAGCGGGAGGTTACGGGTTCGAACCTCGACCGGACCAACACTCAAGGTCTTTAAGTAACTGAGAAGAACGTGCTGCCTTTGTATTGACATCTGCAAACGGTTAGACTTTCTAGTCTTCTCGGATAAGGAAGAAAAACCGTAGGTCCCGTCTCACAGCACTTACACTTATCTGGTTCATGTGGGACGTAAAAGAACCCACACCACTGTTCGAAAAGAGTAGGGGACGTAGACCCCGGTGTTGTGGCCAACCTTCACACATCACATTATTCACATCATGGGTTGGGTGGGTAAATTAAGCTCACAAATGGACTGAGAGCGGCTGCCAGTGGCGCCTTTGTATGCTGACGTCCGAGTTTAGTGTTCACATGTTAAAATGTATTGTAAAGAGGGCAAGTCTGTTGTCCTCTCATCCACGACTCTACATTCATTCATTCATTCAAAACCAATTTTAACAGAATCCTGTGACAAGGTCTCAACATGAACCAGGTAAGACAGCGCCTTAGTAGCATCATGAGATGATAAGGCACGATGTTCCGTTCAGGTAAGTAATAATTATTTAAGTGAGGGCAAGAGTGGAAACTGAAATTTACTTGCCCACTGGGCAGGTGGATTTCAATTTTTTTTCCTCCTCTGTTACTTAGTCAATCAACTTGTTTCTTCAACAGAAAAGAACTCAAAATGCCACACCATTTGATCAACCACCTTCACAAGCTTGTTGGCATTTTCAGTCATCCTTTTTTGTCAAAACTACTAACCACCACTTTGTGCATAATTTTGTAGTGTTAGGTAATTTAACGCTCTACTGGTTCATTTTCATAAATAAAGAAATCATCCATAATTTCAGGTACCTTTTCTTTAAACTGCCTCTTTTTTAAAAACTGGTCCACTATTTGATTTGCCTGTTTGTCACACTCAGCCTGAAAAATAACAATAATTACCGTAAAGTTCCGAAAGTTACGACCCCCCGAAAGTAGCGATAAAAAGTCACAGGTGTTAAAGAATCCCGAATGATACCCCAGAAAATAATGTCGTATGACCCTCCGAAAGTAGAGAGCTCAAAAATATTTCCCTTTTCGTTAAAAATATTAGATATGATAGACAACCTGACGAACAAATGGCACACTGATCCGAGGTTTATTAATAATGATTATTTGACATTCCCATTCATCACTCTTAAAGTACAGGATATACATTACCTTTTTTCAAAAAGTATTCCTTTCACATTTTTTGCGATTTTATTTTTTGAAGTGCCCACGTGGAGTACACGTTTTAGCCATCCGAAAGTAACGATCCCCCGAAAGAAACGAGCCTCCAAAAGTTGCGATAGCAGAAGGGTGCTAAATCCGAAAGTAACAAGGGTCGTTACTTTCGGAACTCTACGGTAGTACAGTTTCACAGACACTTTCTCAGCTCACAACAGCTCAATTTTAACGTTCATTTATGCCTCTCAATACTGAGGACACTAACTCTTGGTTCCAAGGACGTCCACAATAACAAGCTGAGTTGAAAATAAAATGAATTTAATCAAATCTAGTTCTTGTTTACTTGTTTCTTGGAGACAAAACCATCCTTAAGACATACCTGCATAGATTGCAGCAGGATAAACATTTTCCCTGGACCTTACAATGTAAAAAAGCGCATAATCAGGTTTGAAAAAAAATTAGTAGTATTAATAACTGGAAAAGGTAACCCCCTGTTTGCGTAAAAGGTCTATAGAGGCTTCCAGACGGGATCCTAGAGAGAGAGATAAAGAGAAGAAGTTTACAGTTTCTGTGAACAGTCTCTAATATGCAGGGCAGTCCTAGGGCATTTGCAAGGCCTCAGTAATTTTATAGCACCTTTATTGAGGTCAATTTATGTTTCTCATAACATGCATTCATTTTAGTTTGTTTTGCTCCCAGCTCCTATAGATGACTCTTGTTAAGTATCTACAAAACTATATTAAGTAGGTTGAGTATGATCATCCGGGTTAATGGAGTCGTGAATTAAGGACTGTTGTTGACGGTGACTGACGTTTTAACAACCTGCGCGGTAGTCATCTTCAGAGTCAAAGTGAGCTGTATCATGGTATTAAACTCTGGTTATTGACCTGATTGGTCAATTAAGTCGCAATGTTATTGGTTGTCTGTCAGTTACTGACAGTTAAGCTGTTATGTTATTGGTTATGAAGACTCATAATGTCATTGGTGTGTTTTGATCTGTCAATACTACAGTTCACAAAGGTTCTCGGTGTGATGGTGCTTTTCCGTTGCTGCTCAAAGGGTTGTCATAGATACCTTGCACACTCACTCATGACTCCCTCAGTTTGTGCCTGCTGCATTTCTATTGGTGATGGGTTTAATGGGCAGGAAGAGTGGAGGGCTGAAGTCCATTCACAAATGGTACATGTATTGCTTTTAAATACATCCATGTGTTAACTACGGCAGGATTAGCTCAGTCGGTAGAGCGCATGAATGCAGAGCGGGAGGTCACGAGTTTGATTTCCAGGGACGGACCAATACTCAGGGTCTTAAAATACTCTAACTGAGAAATGAAGGTAACCCCTTTGCACGCAAGCTGCTAGATTTTTGTGTGGCTTGGGTGACCAAGTAAAATAGTGGAATCCAGGGTCGCCAAATTGGTACTGTGATGCTAAATACATTGACGCTTAATAAAGTACACTACATTTTTTAAAAAAAGGTGTATGTGTTTGCAAGCAAGAGGCAGCAATAAGATGTGGTGACTGGAATGATTGAAAAATTAATTGAGTGATCCTCACTTGACTGCTTCATATTACTCACCATAATAGGTTTCAACAAATGGCTGATGCTCTTCCACCATCCGTGCGATGTTCTCAAACAACAGAGTTAGTGAGTTGGCAAAAACAACATTAGCGTGACGATCTGTGATCAAGAAACAATTTAATGCTTAATGTTACGTCTTATACAGAACCAAACTGTTCCAAAACTCTTTAAAACTTTTCAAACCACATGTATTGCTTTAAAAAGTTGTACTTATGTTATTTAACAGTTTTTTCCTCATGCTCGTTTTAGCTCACAATAATTTGTTGATGTACATACAGTGAAACCTTTATTAAGCAATCTCTCATTGAGCAGCCACTTTCTACCAATAACTATTTTGGTGACCAGTTACCAAAGTCTTGTTGACAAAATTATCAGACAGAGTTAGCCAGAGGGGCGCGTACCTCCCCTTCCCCCACAACAAAAAAAATGTAAGAGCTTATCACCTAAATTTCCTTAAATTCCTCTCCGTATAACTTCCAAAACTGAAGAGAGCGGTTCTGTGAACCAAATTTGTTTAAAACATTTTTTTGTTAAAATGTACCAAATGCACCATACATCTGGACCCAGTTGTTCAGAAGCGGGATAACGCCAGTGCCGTAGCCAGACCAAACGGCCAACCGAGGCAGGCGGGAGTTGCTAGGGGGGGTTCGGGGGCATGCCCCCCCCCCGAGAAATTTTGAACTTCAGTCTCTCGGAAATGCGATTTGCAGCGTTTTCTGGGCCTTTCGGTAACTTTTTTTCGAGTTAATTTAAGTGGAATTTAAAAAGTAATAATCAGAAACAAGCTACATAATCTGGGTGACCGTTAACCTCGCCAATGGTTTTGATCAGTATTTGTTCCAAAAAAATTTGAGTTAACGTACGTAGCCCCTTGAGATCGATGATATGGTAATTTTTTCATAGTATATTGACTGAATTGCTGAATTCTTTGTAATATCATGATGCGTTAAAAATATCCAATGATCGCTTATGTAAAATAAAAATGATCGGCGAAATTCGTCAAAATTTTACCGAGGCGAGTGCCTCGGTTGGCCTCATACTAGCTACGGCGCTGAACGCTATGCACAAGATAAATCTCTATCCAGTGGATAATGCAACAATGGTTTCACTAATCAATCCTAATCTTAATGCTAGTATTTATCTGCTAGATAGTGATTTATCTGGTGGATTGCACTATCCAACATTTAAACAAGTGGAGCCTGAATAAATACAGAAAACCCTCCCCCCCGGTAGTTAACTATCTCACCAGATTCTTTGGAGGCAACAGCAAGATCAAGATTTTTCTGACAATGAGCAGCAATCTGTGAAACACATTTAAAATAATAATAAAGCATCCATGACAATTTATTATTAGTGAAAACGTCTTTAACCAGAGCAGTCCTTTAGCCTAAAAAGGCTACTTCATTTCTGGAATTCCATATGGTTGGTTGCAGACTTATTCATTACTATCTACCCTCAATTTACTACATGTACCTTGCCTGACCAGATTACAGGAATAAGATAGCAATCCCTTGAAATGAGTACAACCAATCAATCAACCAATAATGATCAACATACAGTAAGATCATGACATTTTAGCAAAGAAGGTTAATATAAGACCAATTCTGATTCCTGAACTATTAAAGTCTGAGAAGAACATAAACAAAACCAGTCTCAATAACCTCTTGAGGGATATTAATGTGAGTTATGCAGCTTGTGTATAGTTCAATGCTTAGACTTTTAAAACACAATTAATCAAAATTACCTGAGAACACAAATATTTTGCATACTTTTCCAGCCCTACTTGATGCTGTCCAAGTAATGGAAAAATCTTGAAAAATCTAAAAATATATTGGCAAATTTTATGACTATTCTTTAAATCTCTTTAAATTGTAGTTTCATATCACTTCCAGAGTTTTCATTAAGAATTCTAGTAGCAGGAGAAAGGTGTAACATTACAGGAGAATATTTTGAAAGAGGCTCCACATCTGAATAAAAAATAGCCATAGGCTATACTACTGGCCCCCATTGTTCAAAAGATGGATAACGTTATCCTCCAGATAAATCTCTATCCACTGGATAGCGCAATTGGTTTTCCAAACACTTATCCAAGGGATAGTGATTTATATGGTGGATAGCACTATCCATCTTTTGAACAACCCGGACCTGAACGTTAGCTGGAGAATTCCGCGTGGTAAACGGAGAATTCTCCAATCGCCGATGCCTAATGAACACCCGGCACTTCACAATAAGAAAACCAATAAAATAATATTGTAAATTGCTATGTGAGTAGCAGTACCTTTCCACAGAGTTCCTGTCGCCATTCTGTATGGCAGCCTCAAACTTGTCATGAACTATTCTTTTCAGTTTTGTTTCTGCCTCATGAAGCAATGCAAAAGCTCCTGCTAAATCAGAACCTGGGTGAAATAAAAAAAGTAGTAGCTGGAAGCTAAAACTGTAGGTTGTCCTAACATTACTGACCCCCTGTGTGGAATGGGTATTTCTGATGAAATCAAAGTCATGACGTGTTCACTATTGATGCAACAATGCTCTTAGCGATTGCCATTCCAATCAAGTTTGACAATGTCAGTGGAACAAAGCCGAAAGAGAAATCTGCCGAAAAGTGTGTTGCATGTTCAGAGTTTTTGTTTTGCTTAATAAACCTGCCGCTTCTTCATTTCCTCATTTTCATTATTGCTGTGGTTCCCCAGCAGTATTGTTTGGTAATTGTTTGGTTGATAATTATAATGCTACTGGTGAGCTTAGGGGAACCACAGCAATGATGGAATTGAGGAAATGGAGAAGAAATGAAATGAAAAAATGATGGAAATGAAGAATGAAATCAACATCTGCATGTACCGACACAAAGGCTCGTTATTGTCTTTCAAGAGATGGGGGAGTGGCAGGGTGGACAAGCAGGGGGGGGGAGGGAGAGGTGACATGCCTAAGATTCTCCCTCTCTCACAGACGAGCAAAGCTCAAGATTTATAAATGGGTTAACCCTTGACATTACAGTAAAAACGGATGTATAACTGCTGTTGAAAGGGCAACTACTTAAGGTGATCTTGAAGAAAAAAAATTAAAATTCACTCTTCTTTGCAAATGTGAGAAGATTAAAAACAATGATTTAATAACCTTCTTTTGAATCGCCTGTGATTTCCTTTAGCACCTCTGCATCAAGATTAAGATATCTGTGAATGTGAGCTGCTGCCTTTGATGTGAGAATTCAACAAAAATAAAATGATAATTAGATCATTAAACTATTGATCTGCTACACTGTAAATTAGGATGCTGTCAATGGAAAAAGCCTAGGATGGGGCTAGGTGTCAGGGCAACTCAGAAAGGCTCTGCCCTTATAAGGTCCAACCCCTTGCTTTCTTTATGTACTGTTTTTTGACAGGAAAGGTACCCCTTTCATTTTTGTTCCACTGAATTTAATTAAAGGCCCTTTTAAGTATCTAAATGCAGGGCTGTCAACCCCCCATGTCTTCAAATATTGAGAATTGAAAGGGAAGGGGTGATAGATGATGTCATAAGGCATGGCACATGACATCATTTGTGCAAAAATTTGTGATAACATAAAATGCGCAAAAAAGATGCTGTTGGCATTGTAACATTAAATTTAACCTGCATGACGACCAATCACATTATTATATTACAATGGCATATACTGGAGTTTATGAGGAAATGTTTGACGCTAACATTTAAAGAGCTCAAAGAATGCAAAATAGTTGACACGGAAAGTCAAGTTTACTGAACAGTGGCAAACTTCGGTTCATCCAAGACATTTCATCCTCTATTCTGGAGACCAGGAGATACAGTCCAAAATCTGGAGTCTCCCGGGTTAAACGGGCAAGTTGACGGCACTGCAAATGACAATTTTCCCCGCCCTTTCAGTCACTTGAACTCATGAACATCTTATCATTTAACCCTTTAAGGCCCAAGAGTGATTAAATTCGATTTTCTCTCAACAATATCAATACATGATCTAGAGAAAATGTTGGGAGAATTTATGAAATGATCACCTGGTGGGAAAAGCTTTGATCAGCAAACAAATAATTCTCTCAACTGATTCTTTAAGGAAATGCATGGAGATCAGAATGGAGAATTTGTATTTGGATATTTGGGCTTAAGGATTAAATAACTCTAGTCTGAGAGAGATACTCAGCCTTTTGAGCAGAATCTCCTTGTACAGGCCATAATAGGGAGTCCCCCCATCCTCCCCCGCCCGGGATGAAAGTAACAAGTGCATCGAGATGAACATGTCCTGTTTAAAAGCTTCTCGCTTCCCTCTACCAAAATAAGTACAGTCAGCTCTCGCCTTGAGGACACCCCGATAATACGGACAGCAGCCAAATTCCAGGCAAAAATAAATTAAAGGTGTTTGACTGAAATAATCTCCCGTTATTATGGACTCTCACTAATGAGGACACTAACTCAAAGTCCCTACCGTGTCTGCTATAAGGGGAGTTGACTGCAAATACAAACAAAATTTTTGTCTTGATTTTGTTGAGGATTTAAAGGAGGATGACCCACAGGACAATTGGGCAATTCCAGGAAATATCCATACCCAACCACGGACGGCTTCCATGTTTTATCCCCCCCTTGCCTTCGGAAATTCCAAACTGCGTTACCCCCCCATGCCCTCAGAATTCCATAATCGTGAACCCCCCCCTCCCCTTCAGAATTTCCGTTTTTTTGGAAGTACATTTTCAACTTAGCAACGCCTATATGAACCTCCTCAAGGCTGTGATCTAGCGGCGCCAGGCGACAAGCTTTCAGACTCTAACCTACCGCTAGTAGACAGGCTGTGCAAACTCCTTTTTAGGTCCGAATTTGGCAATAAAAATAAACACCACTAACGGCAATTTTACTCCTCCTTGTTTTTTGTTGTGCTGTTTTGACTTTTACAAAGCAAAATAGCTCAAATTCAGACCGTTAAAATCTTTCGGTGGTCAAATATACCGTCGAAGTGTGTTGCGTCCTTTTATACAGTCCGGAATATCCCTAAATTTAAGGACAGGGCCAACTAGTCACGCGACACTTTTCAACCAATGAGAAGGCGCGTTTGTGTTTATCAACAAACAAATCAAAACATCGCCGCAGTGATCAAAACAGCGGACGGAGTTGGTCAGAATCAGTCATCGTTTCGAGGCTCTCAGGCATATTTTTAAGACTTTTCATGACGCATACACAATTTTTTTAAGAGGACAACCTATCGGAAGCCATATTAGAAGTGTCTCGTGAAATATTCAGCACATTTTGTGGCTTATTTCTTCTTTAAACAACGCGATGTATGGGCGAGATTTTGGTCGGTTTTCGAGGTAGGTGAAGGAGTATCTGTTATTTTTCGATTCACAGATTTTTTTTTACAAAGTTCTAGATATTTTTCCTCGATTGTCATATCGATTAACTTTTATCATGTATGGTAGACAACCTAGAATTTTGGTAGTATATTAATGAAAATTTAGCCGTTAATTAATGGCTAAATTTCTCGTTTGTATAAATAGTTAATGAAAATTTAGCCGTTAATTAATGGCTAAATTTTCGTTTAGTAAAGAGTAAAATTTAGCCGTTAATTAATGGCTAAATTTTTCTTTAATAATAATACAAAGTGACTTAACGGCTAAATTTTTCTTATAACTACAGTGTGAATTTATTGCAAATTTTGCCATTGTCTAAACACCGGTACGTTTTCCACTCCCGGGTTTCTCACAGAGCCGTGTTATTTCTTTTTTTTGCATTAGAACGAGCCTTTGCCTTTTTTCTTTTCAAGGCCAAAACAACTTTATTAGTCTTATGAATATTCACGTCCTACATCTCGCCTCACTTTGCCGAATTTGCGGGGATGAAATTGAAGATGATAAGCGCAAGGTAGATACTAATCGCTTTGTTTCTGAAATTCACCAAATCTGGAAAGATTTAATGTCGCTGGATTCTCCAAATGTTCATCCACCGTTCACAAACAATCAAAGAAAGAAGGCAAATTTCAAGTGTAAATGATGTATTTTGCAACTCATTGAACATGCACTAAATCTGGGATAAAATTAAAACATTGCAGGCACTACAGCAAGCAAGGAAAGCACCAGATGCGTGAAGTCAACACGATACAACACCAGAAAACAAACAAGAAAAATTAATAAATTTGAACTACTTTTTATTCTTGTTATGATGACTGGTTCTTTGATTCTTGTCCTTGTTCTTGCTCTTATTCTCATACATGAAATGTTTTTTTTTGAAATATTAAATGTGAAACCTAGACGAGTACTGTAAGCTCACCTTTAATTTTGTCCGTCGACTCAGTCCGTTGTTTTGAAAATTTTTGAGCACTGGGGCGATGTTTTGATTTGTTTGTTGATAAACACAAGTGCGCCTTCTCATTGGTTGAAAAGTGTCGCGTGACCAGTTGGCCCTGTCCTTAAATTTAGGGATATTCCAACCTCGTCCCCAGGGTCTTCTCGCTTTCCAATATGCCGCCGCCATATTGGAAAGCGAGAAGACCCTGGGGACGAGGTTGGGGATATTCCGGACTGTTATACGTCATGTAGTGTGCACGAAAAGTGTTCTAATCTGACAGGCGTTCCTTGGAAGCCAGGCACTGGTGCGAGTTTTTTTACTGTTCATCGGACGGGAGTATCAAGAAACTTGCAAGCAGTAAGATACATATTCCGTTTTTTTTTCATGTGACAAGACATTCATCAAGGTTAATGTGAAACCCACGTTTTACTGTTCACTTCTATAAGTTATGAGCGTAAACACGTGTCTGATCTATCGATGCTTGTCTTCTGCTTCCGCGGTCATACGTTCGTGGTTTATTTACGAACTACAAAAGTCCACAACAATAGCGTTTTCAAGGAACTCACTCTACACTTTCTACTCCAGAAATCCCACCTGTGGAATTCCCCCATGCCTTCGGATTTCCAATCGTAAATACCCCCCATGCCCTCAGAATTCCATAATCGTGAACCCCCCCTCCCCTTCGGAAATCCTAAAAGCCGTCCGTGGTATGGTATGGATATTTTCTGGAATCGCCCATTGCATGAAAGATCTGATCAGTGGCTTTGGATTTCGATATGGGACTTCCGTAGCCAGGTGTATCGGTTAAATTTTAACTCAGAACTTTCTGATTTTGGGGCAAGTACCTACAGTTTGTCTGTACATGTAACTGTATAAGGGACTTTGGTAAAATGAAAATTATAATTAGTAACAATAAATATTAACAAAATAAAGTGTAGCACATGGCATACTCCTCATTAACACAACTTTTAACTTTTATACCTGTTCATAGTGTTCTGTGTTTAGCGCTGTCTGTACTCCATCCACACAAGCCTAGTACAGTGTAAAAAGAAAAAAAAGAAAAATAATTAAGGTGGCTCCGTAATTAACACTAGAGCATTTTGCTGTGACAAATTTTCCGTCATAAGTTTTTCGATTTTAACGCGATGCCTGCGAAATTTTGCAAAGAACAACAGATATCATTCGGCAGTAATACGAAATATTCTGATTTCATTGATAGTAAATATTTCTTGAGAAATTAGCGTTTAAAAGGACCCTACTGTTGAAAGAAAATCGCGTCTAGTAAAAAATTTTGCTGATATTTTTTACTGAAATTTCTGGTATCGGCTTCTATTGATATAATAAATATGCCAGAGGAATTTCAGAAAGATCGTTGGAGCAGAAGTCCGTAACTAAAAGTCGCTCAAAATTCAGCTGTGAAATTGTTTTGGAATTTCAAAAATAAATTGCTATCAGGTAGAAGGAGCCACCAGTTTGAATTTTCGGGACATGTAAATTCAACGTTTGCTAATTCTTAAAACAAAAGCCGATTGCCTATCGTGCTATTCTTTAAAAGGTACTTTTTAGTTTTAGAAGCACTATAAATCGCTTCAAACCTGCTCTGAAGTAGAATTACTTGTTCTTCGACAGTTTTAAAATATCCCTTGGCAGTTTTGGCTCAAACTCCTGCTGCATACATTTTGATGTATTGCAATGCATTTTCAAGGACTTTTACCGCTGTTCGTTGCTTCCAACTCAGAAAAAAAGTATTGAGATTGGACGCTACCTCGTATCAGAGCTCAGATAGAACTGTCTAGCACCTTTGTTTATGACTACAAAATGAGCACGAGCGGTAGTTCTGCGAGGAATTCGCACCTCACCCAGGGGGGACGAACGACAATGATGACCATACCTGTGAACCGAATAACATCACAGTGCAAAATAAAATTATCGCAAAAATTTTACCCGTGAATAAATTTACAACTCTGAAATTTTTGTCAATCCTTCCTTCAATGAATGGGTATTTTTTTTCTCGATTATTATGTTTTGCTCTGCAATACATGTTTATACAGATCGGTTCACAGACATGGGCATCATTGTCATTCGTCCCCCCTGGCTGAGGTGCGAATTCCTCGCAGAGCTGCTGCTCGTGCTCATTTTCTGGTCATAAACAAAGGTGCTCGACAGTTCTGTCTGAGCTTCGATACAAGGTAGCATACAATCCCAATACCTTTTTCCTGAATTGGAAACAGCGTACAGCAGGAAAAGCCGTTGAGGATGCATTGCAATACATCAAAATGTATGTAGCAGGAGTTTGAACCAAAACTGCCCAGGGATATTTTAAAAATGTCGAGGAACAAGTCATTCGACGTCAGAGCAAAGTTTGGAGCAATTTATAGTGCTTCTAAAACTGAAAAATATCCTCTAAAGAATAGCACGATAGGCAATCGGCTTCTGTTTTAAGAATTAGCAAACACTGAATTTACTTGTCCCGAAAATTGAAAGAGGTGTCTCCTTCTTCCTGATAGTAATTTATTTTTGAAATTCCAAAACAATTTCACAGCTGAATTTTGAGCGACTTTTAGTTACGGACTTCTGCTCCAACGATTTTTCTGAAATTCCTCTGGCATATTTATTATATCAATTGAAGCCGATACCAGAAATTTCAGTAAAAAATATCAGCAAAATTTTTTACTAGACGCAATTTTCTTTGAACATTAGGGTCGTTTTAAGCGCTAATTTCTCAAGAAATATTTACCATCAATGAAATCGGAATATTTCGTATTATTCCCGAATGATATCTGTAGTTGTTTGCAAAGTTTCGCAGCCATTGAGTTAAAATCGAAAAACTTATGACGGAAAATTTGTCACAGTTAAATGCTCTTGTATTAATTACGGAGCCACCTTAAGGCCAGGCAATGGGAACAGTAAAATAGCATAATGAAAAGGTGTACTGCAATTGAAAGCCTTAATTTTTGATGCTGAAGAATTTTCTCATCAGGTTTCAGTAGCATAAAGCTGATGAAGAAGCACTTTCCCCCTAGAAGACACAATAGGGACCTTAGGAAACTATGATGATGATTGCAAAAGGAATGTCAAAAAAAGCAAGGGTTAATGAGCAAAACAACAACTCTGCCAAGCGTCAGGCTTTTTTGTATGAGTAACTAACATTGCCGTCCTTGCACAATTACGATTTGAAATAACCAAATTTTAAGTTTACTTGAGAACAGGAATGGCAAGGCAATAAATTCTATCATCTCTGTCTGAACTTGGGTACAGTCCCTTCTCTTCAGCTCCAACCTAAATCCCTTCTTTTGAGTAAGGGCAACTTGGCATAATCAAAAAAATTATAGTTTGAAAGGATGCAAAGTTTATTTTTCAGTAACAATTTCATGGACCTTGCCATTGTCACATTATAAGGTCCCTAACGTTCGACCATGAAGAGACACAAACTGGAGGAATGTTTCTTGACTATGGAAACAACAACACAGCAAGAGTTCAATCTCTCTAAGTCCAAAATCCAACTGCTAACCACTTATAACCAATAGCTCATCACTACAGTTGCAGTGATAAATTACTCAGTCATATGATAATATAGATTGCCATACAAAGACCACAATACAGAACACCCTGTAGACATATAATTGTGGTTGCACGAAGACTGCTAACAAGTGAGGAATAAGTGCAAGTGAAGCTGTTCATCATCTTATCCGTCACCTTAAATCAAGGCTGCTGCCTAACGGGCACCCGGTTGCCAGAGGCTCCTATGACTTGCTAGCGGGCAACTAAATTTTAAACAAGGAGCCTGCACTGGTGGCTAAAACTTATGATTCTTATCGCAATACAGCCTCTATGCCTGCTCATTTTGCACTTTTGAAATGAACACTTAAAACGTGTGTTTGTTAACCCTAGACAAAAAATTTCCACTGATAAGAGTAAACAAACAAGCACTTTTTCTGGAATAATTTGAAACTCAAACAAGTTTTCAAATCAAGTTTTGAGATGTGTGAATCAAGTTTCGAGCATCTGCTTACTAATTTAAGTTTACCAATCAATGGGCTCCTAGAAATGTGGTTCAGGCTCCTAACGTTTTATATTAGGAGCCTGAATTGTTCCAAAAAAATTTTCTTTAGTAGCAGCCTTGTTAATTTTTCTGCCTTTCATCACAAGTCACCTTCCAGAAAACAAAATGCAGAGCTTTGATGAGGTACATTAAAGACAGTGATTTTGCAAATTAATGTACTGACGTAGCAAATAATTAATTATTGTAACATATAGCATGATACCTGCTCAAAATACCAATATTCGTATCATGGGAAGAAATATTGCAGCTCATTGATATGTTAGTGCATTATTGCAGCTCTAATTACTGCTAGACAAGTAACATAAAACAAATTATCAGCAAAAATTTCTGGAATGTTGCTAAAGAAAAAGATTATAATTTAGTTACCTTCAAATCAAGAATGTCATCCACTCGCTTTATTGTTTCTTGAACTCGGTTCTAAAATATTTAAAAAAATTTAAATTGTTTCTTGAAGCCGGTTCTAAAATATTTAAAAAAATAGCTATTAAAAAGTTCCACTAAGTTACAGTAATTAAAACTTTAAATAATAATAAAAACACACTGCATAAGGGTTTTAATGCTTTTGCATTGTTAGTCAAAGTTACCCCTTTGTAAGATTCTCTCAAGAGCCTCTATTGAGTGGCCTAAAGGTGGCTGTTTAACCCTGTCAGCTCCAAGATCAACAAACAAATTCTCCTGACTGGCCCCCCTACATTAAATTTCCTTAAAGATTAGTTGAGAGAATTTGTTTAAAGATCAAAGCATTTTTCTTTAGTGATCATTCTCTTAATTCTCGTAACCTTTCTACTTGATTATACATTGATATTGTTGGGAGAGGATTGATTTTGGTCACTCTCGGGACTAACAGGGTTAATGGAGGTTCAACGGAATCTACCAACAAATTGAGTAATTTAATTTTCAGAGGACAAAAACTTTGTACCAGAATAATTTACAGAATATTGCATCCTTTTTTAAAATTTTTCATTTGTCAAGGGCTATAGATGTTATCTGTAATAACACCAAGGAAAATTTCTTACGGGAGGGTCCAGAGAAAGCGAATGTCAAATTTCACAAAATGACATCTTACACAAAAAATTTTCAGAATTTTACCTGTGTTTTCACAATTCTTGTGAAATTTGACATCTATTTTTTTGGGCTTCCATGAAAAATACATGTAGTCTTTGAAATTGAATTACTCAATTTTCTGATGGATTCCGTCTTAATATTATTGACCAGTTATACAGTAGTAGTACCTTGACAAGATCCAGAAGTCGTACTTTGCTGCTGACTTTTTCTGCTAAATCAGAAGTGTTAGAAATCATGGTATGCAAATGCTGGGCATCTCTCATCACAAGCTGCAGATTTGGACTGAAAAATAATTATGCAAAATTCATTACAAAGAACATAACTCACTTCACAAATTCCTTCTGTAGTGGACTTCTTTACAGGAAGTTCTGGGAATACACATGTACATTTAGGATGTTGAGATGTACGTTGTTAACATTATCATATAAAACATTAAAATACAGAGTACGTACATGTATACAGAGTACTTCATCAGGGTATATGTATTTTTACAATAACTGAGCAAATCCTTGCGTGCTAATTGGTTGAGAGCTATGGTCCATGAGAGTATAGACCACGGAAATGACGTAACATGTCACACAGTGCCGGTTATTTTGTTTTTTCGTAAAAAAAAAAAATGTTATTGTAAAAAACAAATCGACCACAATTTTCCATGGTCTACACACTTAAAGACAATAGAAATGATGCTATAAAGTGTAAACTTTGTAGTGAAACCACTCGTCTGCAGCTTGTGGTTCCTCTTGTGTTTTGAACATTTTATGATGTCATTTCTATGGTGTATAAGAGTGAAGACCATGGAAAAATTATGGTCGATTTGTTAAGTAACAATAACAGGAATTTGTACTCGGTGTCATTTGATCATAACAATCATTTTTACTGCCTAAGCATTGACACCCTGTCAGCAAAGCCTTTCTTTCACTTGCTAGATTTTGGCATACTTTAGAAAGATTCTGCATGAAGCAAGTGATCCTAGGATATAGTTTTGAACCAAAGCCTAATAGCCGTGAGCTTGCTATGCTTGCTGCATTAGGCTAGGTTACGACCATTGGTTTATTCATAACTGGATGCTCGTACTCAAAAAAACTAGTTTGACGACAGAGAACAAAAATGACTAGTCCAGAAATTTTGGTTGTGGTGACCTCAAAGGTTTTAAGCAATTCAGGCAGAGCTTTCTTTTCTTCTCCTCACTCAAGAAGACAGAAGGAGGCTCTTCACACATGGTGACGTGCTTACAGAGCTCTTTTATTAGAAGCTAAGATTGTTGTCTAATAGTCATGTGTACTCACATAACATTCTGCAGGGTGTTCATTTTTGCATCAAGTCTGGGCTGGCTTTCCAAGATGGCATCCAGTTCATTATTCAGTTTTTGCTAAATTAAATGCAGTGCAGTAAAAAAAGCAGAGCAGAATTAATATTATTCTTATCATTATTTTGTGAAAATGTATACTAAATTCATCTACAGCAGGGCTGTCATAAAAATTTTAAAGTAGGCACAGCTCATAAATAATTATATTCACTTGTAACTTCTTCAAGTTTGTTCATATAATTATTATAGTTTTTTTCTTTGACTTTCCATTTCTATCAACCATTATATGGAGTGACATCAGCTGTAGAAGACATTATGGATTACAGGTTAATGATAGCTATGAACAGTATGAAGAGAGATTTTTGAAATCACTTAAAATGCGAAGAGTAATTTATTAAAGCCTTATCACTCACTCCATAGCATTTGGTGACTATAAAATCTAATTGCTTGCTGCAGTTACCATAAAACCTTCCAGACTTGCCTTGTCAAGACTTTGTCGTGATCAAGTCTCATGATAGTAAAACCAATCTCACACTCTCAAAAGATGACAACTGATTTCTCACACTTTCTCAAAAAACTACACTCCAAAACATTTTTGGAACATCTGTGCGATTCATTCCCAGTGATGCCAACTCTCCCACTTTTGGCGGGAGACTTACACTTTTTTGCCTCGTCTCCTGCTCTCCCGCTTTGGTACATAAATCTCCCACTTTTATGTCCACTATAAATATTGAATACTTAGTAAAAAATAAAACAGACTTAGTTTGAGATTTAGCCCATTTTTAGCTCAAAACTTGAATTTTTCTTATTCGCAATACAGTTTCTGGGGCATTTTTGTATGTATTTAGTCATTGACAAAGACTATTTCTAGCATCAAAACAATGATTTCGAATTTTGATAGTATATACATTATGTAAGACGTCATATAATGTCCTAAGTCATTCCCATTGGGGGCTGGGTCGATTTTCCCGCAGGAGGGGGGGTTTCGTTGAAATTCCGGGGGGGAGGGTGGGTAGTGAAAAAAGGACAGTCTCCCGATTTTAGGTCTCCAGAGGTTGGCATCTCTGCATTCCTAAGTTAGATAGCAATTATTCTATCTAAAGAAAATGCAACGCAGTCTTGTTTGATTAGTAAATGTGTGAATTGCCAACTTTTATGTTTGTTTATAATCTTCAGCCATGTCTTCAGCCTACTGCAAACTGTTCCACAACTTGCCACAGCCTCTGTTAACCTAATTCTCATGGTGGCCACCACCAGTTTGAGGTATATGTAGGGACACACAATTTCACAGGATTTCGGGACATGCTTACACTTAGAAAGAGCCCAGGTCTCCGGAAGTGTCGTGTCAAATTTCACTTTAACTGGATGTGGCTCTGTTAACATTACATTAGTTCTACTTTTTAATTGATTGACATTTTGAAATCGGAGAAATAAACAAATAGCGTGTTGGAAAATTACTTTTGGTGATCGATCGAAGAAAAAGATTTGTATCAGGAATCATTCATAGTAAAAGGCTTGTTTACAACTAAAGGTGATTTTAAAGGAGTGAATTGTTTGTACCCCACAAATTCGGTACAAAAATGGTGCAGTGACCAGGATTACTACAGACTTCTACTGGCTACTATACAACGAGTGAAGGAATTGGAAAACATGAGCGATGGTGAGGAAAAAGTGGACACGTGGCACAACTGTGATGACAAACAGCATCTAGAGAAAGAAATAGACAAGGAAAAACAAAAACTCAAGTACTTTCTGGACGAAACAGACAAGCTAATTAAACTAAGGGATTACACAGAAACGGATATTGCCAACAGACGAGTGGAGAAAATCTTGGGCAAGTTATCGGATCTAATTTCACAAGCAGAGGAAATGAAAATAGATCATGATGTATCTGCTCAGTAGGTGAGACAATGGAAGAAGGACGTGAAGGCCAGGTATACCGTATTTCTTGTGGAGAAAGAAAAGCTTGCAAAGTTCTTAAACAACAGACAAGAGGAAATATACAAGAAAACGGAAAGAAAACAATTAGAAGCAAAACAAGAACAACAGCAAGAAGAGGAGCACCGTTTAACTGAGTTGTGTTTGCGACAAGAAGAGTGCACAAGCGACTATGTGGCAGGAGAAAATTGACGCAGAATTAAAGGTGACACATAAACAGCTGGAACTGGAGAAAGAAGCCCATTCAACCACAGCAGAACTGCCCAAATTGATAATAATACCGTTCAAGAGAATGCCCACAGACTGGGTGAGATTTGAGAACATGTTTGTTACACAAGTCCAAAACAAATCAATCAGCGCAGAAGAGAAATTTGGCTATCTGTTGGAAATGGTCAATCCAAACGTATGAGCAAAGATAGCAATCCCAAAGCCACTGAAATCTGAGTATGGCCAGAGCAAACTTGTTGTGAATGTGACTGTAGAAGAAATAGAGAACCTTCCTGTCGTCAAAGGATCCAATTACTTAAAGATTCACGAATTTTATGAGAGCATGAGCAGAAATTAAGATGCATTACTGACAATGGGCAAAGCCGACATGCTTCAGGGTTGGTGATGTCCATTCTCAACAAACTGCTACAAGTGAGGCCTGATTATATAGCGTGAACCGGCAAAAATTGGGAGAACAGTGATAAACAAAAATATACAACCTTAAGCAGTGGTTGAAAAGACACAGTGTAGATGATGCATGCAGAGAGGGTAGAGGTGTATGACCAAAAAGGGAGAGGCATTAGCATAGGAAAGAACTTGGCAGACGCGTGCAAGGTCGTTAAAACAATGGAAGCAAGGAGGCAGTTTTTCCAGGAAAAGGAATTGTGGCCGCACAGGACACTGGGGAAAACACTGTCGCAGCCGTGGTTGTTATAAAATGCAGGAGCAAGCACCACACCAGTCTCTGTAACTGATCTAGAGGAAAGAAGACAGAAACTCCAGAAAGTTCCAATGGCTATACCCCTTCATTCACAGAGAAGTCACTACCAGTAATAGTTCCACTGAAAATCAAAGAGATCACATTTTGGGAGTATCTAGATACAGGTTTGGGAAGGAACAACTTTATTTCAAAGGAAGAGATTTACAGTCTAGGATTGAAACCAGTAAGTCACGAGTCACACCAAATCGTCACTGTGAACGGAACAAAGAAACCGTCTTTGCCAGTTTTTAGCGAGACGATAGATTCTGTTGATGATAAAGTGAGCGAGAAAGTACAGATAACCATTATAAAGACACCAACTCTGACAGAGCTAAAGGCGAAGTATGAGCACTTGCACGAAAAAATGTTTTACAGGACCTCAAGTGAAGAGTACCCAACTCACCTCACACTTAGAGACGACACCTGCTGCGAGATCCAAACAGAGCAGATGTACAAAGTTCGACCAGAGGACCCAGTCATCAAGGGAACCACATTGGTTTGTTCATGGTGGAAAGGACTACGCAGACAGCACATGCATCTTCACCAGGGAGACAAGTGACTACGAGAAACTGTACTCCCTTAATGTTTTAGGAGTAGAGGACTGAGGGGAGGACAATCAGCTGGATGTGTGCTCTGAATTTTGAGACAACATTGTAAAGAGAAATGATGGGCGATAAAAAGTGGATGTCCCGTGGCTTCCAGGTGCCGAGCTGTTCAATACAAATGAGATAGAAAGTAGAAAATGCTTTGAGAAGAGGCCACAATGACAAAAGTAAGGATGGTTTTTGGTACCAGTGGTAATCCCCATCCTCTTGCCAACAGTGTCAATGAGTGTACGTACACTGGCCCACTGTTACAACCTCTGTTATGAGACATCATGGTTCGAGCATGAAAGTCAACCCATCTTTTGTTGGTGGATCTCAAAAAGGCATTTTGACAGATCAGAATTGAGGAGGAAGATAGTGACACATTTTGATTCTTATTCAACATAAATGGCAGAGAGGAACACTTGCGCTTTGCTAGAGTACCATTTGGGGCGGAAGCCAGACTGTTTATGCTAGGTGCCACACTGCAACATCACTTCACAATCACTAGCATTTGAGGAAACGATTGAGTCCCTCGAGGAGAATACTTACATGGATAACCTGATAAAGACTGGGAGTGACATCAGAGAACTAAGAAGGTTTAAAGAAGAAGCCATTGAAATCCTCCAGAATGCGAAGTTTCCAGTGCACAAGTGGGAGTCTGACATCCAAGAGTTGGACAAAGAACCTAATCCAAGCAAGATACAATGTACTTGGTCTCATGTAGGACAGAAGAAAGGATACACTCGAGATTCAAGTAAAGATGAGTGAGAACAGTTCAGTTACAAAATGATTTATTAAGAGTTAGCTGAGTGCTATTTATGACCCACTGGGGGTAATTTCGCCATATTGAACTATAGTGGAGGGGGAACGTATTTACAGAGATGGGTGTGATGAAAAGACTGGCTGGAATTTGGACGTGAGTAGTGCCACAAGGCAAGATTGGCTAAAGTGGAACAATTAGCTCGGGAACGTCAAAGTGCCTAGAAGCATGTAGTTAAAGACATGAGCAAGATATCAGGAGTACAACTACATGTTTTTGCCGGTGCCAGTAACACAGCATGTTCAGCTGCAACTGTTGCAGTTGTCGAACACTCCACTGGCTTTGCTAAAGGGCTGCTTACATGTACTTCCAAACTGTCTAGAATTTCGAAGTGCACCACAACAGTTGCAAGGCTAGAACTGGTAGACGTGTTGGAGTGGTGACCCCAACTTCCATGAACTTGTGGTTGGACAGTATCATGGCACTCTACTGGATCTGTAATCACAGGAAAGCGTCGAAAGTTTTTGTTTCCAATTGAGTGAGGAAGATTGCTGAGATCACAAAGGAGATGGGAATCGTTTGGAGACATTGTCCAACCGATAAGAACCTGGCAGACTTAGGAAGCCACCATGCATCAATTGATAAGATGCAGAAGCGACAGTGGTTTGAAGAGCCGGAGTGGATGATAAACAAAGAAGAATGGCCCATAAAACTAAAGTTGGAGAGAACCCAGAGTGTAAGCAAAGAGCACAAACTGGAAAAATAAAGGTGCTGTACTCTGAAGAAAAGGAATCTGATCAGTGGGACACACTTCTAGACAGAAGTACACTCTGGAGAACTTTCTGCGTGACTGCATGGACTCTGCGATTTGTTCACAACTCACTCTTCAAGAGATGTACACTGTAACACTAAAAAGAAGTCTGGTCCTTTGACCACAGAGGAGATCAATAATGCAAGAAACCAGTGGATAAAAAAGGCAGTGATTGGAGTGAAGCCGACCCTCAAAAATCCTTGCTGGAAATTGGGGACAGAAGAAAGTACCGGTGTCCTCAAGTGTTAAGGTAGAATTTCTGGTTACCAACCAATATACATTGAAGGGGGAGAGTTGGCCAACAAGCTTATAAGCCATGCCCACAAAGACAAAACACCTTGGTGTTATGAACACCATGGCAACTGTAAAAGAAGGTTACTTGATATCACACCTGTGAGCAAAGGTGAAGAAGGCGATAAATGACTGCAGGAGGTGCAAGGCGTTCAGAGCATAACCGTATGGACCGGCAGCAACGTCTCTTTCACCATCATTCTGAACCGAAGGTGGACGACTGTTCAAAACCACCAGGATCGACTTTGCTAGACCTATTACCTACAGGATCTCAAAGAAGGAGCAAGGCAAATGCTACATGTTAATTTTCATGTGTGCTATGTCAAGAGCCCTCCATTTAGAAGTAACCAAGTCACAAAGAGTGGAAGAGTTCAAGGAGAAGCTGAACTTTTATTACCTGACGTACTAGGCCAAACGCATCGTGTCAGATAACGGAGCAGTTTTCAGAACCACTGCAGCATGGATCAAGAAAATCCGAAAGAGTGAGGTGTTGCAAGATCACTAAGCAAGGCAGCAGATTACTTGGTAGTTCAACCCATCTAAATCACCATGGTGGGGAGGCTTATATGACAGACTCATCAAAGATGTAAAGAAGACATTCTACAAGACCAGGGGAAGATGGGTGGGTGGGACCAGGGTGATGGACATCGAACAACACCCAAACAACTACCCATTGATGTACATCTACATTGAAAACGAACTAGGGGAGGAGCAAGTTCTAATGCCGTGAGACAACATGTACAGCCATGGTGGAAGAGAGAATACATTCATGGTCTCATGGAGAGCCATCGCATCAAGAGGGGGGTGCGAAACTACCTAGAAGTTGAGGAGGTCGTACTGATTGTCAGAGAAGAAAAGAACAAGGGAGAGTGGAAGAAGGGTCTTGTTCTTGTTCTAAGGGGAGTCGTTCTTCAACACAAGGGTCACACCATTGAGAGACCATTGAACCTTGTATGCTCATTGGATATCACGGGACCTGCGGTGGTTGCTACTCCACCTATGGCTCAGGGACCGGTAGCACTCGACGTGCTGCACAGGATGCCCAAGTGAGGTTGCAGCTGTTATCACAAGGCAAAGACTGAGGACTGATGCTGACTAGTGACCATTTCTGTGATGCTGTTGTCTCAACTTCTACAGCTGTAAACTGTTGCATTGATGTGCAGACTGAATGTTTTGTTCATTCATTTCATAGGACATTGCAAATGATATTTTTTGGAAGAGTCATTTTCAGTAAAATTAAATTGCTTTAATTTTAGGAGAGCGTCCAGGATTGGGCGATTCCAGAAAATATCCATACCATACCACGGACGGCTTCCACGTTTTAAACCCCCCTTGCCTTCGGAAATTCCAAAATGCGTTACCCCCCCATGCCCTCAGAATTCCATAATCGTGAACCCCCCCTCCCCATCAGAATTTCCGTTTTTTTTGGGAAGTACATTTTCGACTTAGCAACGCCTATATGAACAAACGAACATGAATCTATGCCTCCTCAGGGCTGTGATCTAGCGGCGCTAGGTGACAAGCTTTACTCTTCAGCGACAAGAAAAACCTACCGCTAGTGACCAGGCTGTGAAAACTTCTTTTTAAGTCCGAATTTGGCTATAATAATAAACACCATTTACGGCAGTTTTACTCCTCTTTATTTTCTTGTGCTGTTTTAACGTTTACAAAGCAGAATAGCTCAAATTCAGACAGTTAAAATCTTTCAGCGGTCAAATATACCGTCGAGTCTTGTTGCGTCCTTTTATACGTCATGTAGTGTTCACGAAAAGTGTTCTCAACCCATATGTCTCATGTAGTGTACATGAAATGTATCATGATAAAAGATTAGGTCGAGTATAAGGAAAATCATGAGACTTGTTTGTTTTGGGGGCAATTAAGGGATTTCTTACATTTTCCGAGGACATTCCCTTCTCTAAACCCTTCAAATTATTCCTTCACAATGTTTAGCCCACAAACAAGTGAACACAAGCTGAAGCTTTACATACCATATCATACTCATTTTATTTCTCCTTACTAAGCTTATATTTGCTCTCTAGCAGGAATGGAAATCAACTACTAAACTAATCAGGAAATCTCCATCATTTTGCTTCATTTTCCAGAGATTGGACATCCAAAGTCATGTTTTTCAACCTACAATAACTACAATGTATCATGCAATATCTAAAAATTACTTTTTTGTACGGATAGGGACGCTATCAGATTTAATAACTTTGTTCTTGATGTTTTTGGCCACACGTTGTAAATGAACGTAACGTTTTGTTCTATTGGGCATTTACCATGCAAATATTTTGAAGAAATTGTCAAAGAAAAGATTGCAGTTATCAGCTTTTACCTTTTATATCGTTCTTTTGTCAAATACTGATTTTACCACGGACATAAACTGAAAGTTTCTATTATTGACCGAGATGTCTGTAGTTGTTGTTTTTATCGATTTTTTCAAAGTTGACGTATATTATTATGTGTGTAATGTTTTTGTCGCACTTCAGAGCTGTAAATCATTCAAAACCTATCTTCAAAGAAAATACAACATGTATAGCATTTCTGGAAAAATGGAAAGTCTTTTTAGATTCTTTCTTGCTGCAAGTTGCTAAATAACATGACGAATCTGCTCGCGCCATTGCTTTCGGTGTAGTCGTGGGCGCTAGCTCTCGCTAGTTTTTTCTTGGCAACGATAGAAGATTGCGAAGACCAGGCCCCGGTTGTTCAAACGTCGGATAGCGCTATCCACCGGATAAATCTCTATCCAGTGGATAGCGCAATTGGTTTCCATAATACTTATCCGCTGGATAGTGATTTATCCGGTGGATAGCGCTATCCAACGTTTGAACAACCGGGGCCAGACCTCGTTCTCCCGAGTCTTCCTCCGATTGCCCTCCGACGGTCCGAATGCTTCCAGGCGTTCCTTGGAAGCGAGGGACTGGTGCGAGTTTTTTATCGTTCATCGGACGGGAGTAACAAGAAATTTGCAAGCGGTAAGATTTATTCATGTGACAAGAAATTCATCAAGGTAAATGTGAAACCCACGTTTTACTGTTCACTTGTATAAGTTATGAGCGTAAACACGTGTCTGATCTATCGATCCTTGTCTTCTGCTTCCGCGGTCATACGTTCGTGGATTATTTACGAACTACAAAAGTCCACAACAATACCGTTTTCAAGGAACTCACTCTACACTTTCTACTCGAGAAATCCCACCTGTGGAATTCACCAGTACCTTCGGATATCCAATCGTAAATACCCCCCCCCCATGCCCTCAGAATTCCATAATCGTGAACCCCCCCTCCCCTTCGGAAATCCTAGAAGCCGTCCGTGGTATGGTATGGATATTTTCTGGAATCGCCCATTGTCGTGACAAATTTCATTTTAACTGAATGTGACTCTATTAACATTGCATTAGTTCAATCCTTTAATTGATTGACATTTTGAAATCGGCGAAACAAACAAATAGAGTGTTGGAAAATTACTTTTTGTAAAGACTTGCATCAGGAATCACTCATAGTAAAAGGTTTGTTTACAAGGTGATTTTAAAGGAGTGAACTGTTTGTACCCCACAAATTCGGTACACAGGAGTGGTTATTTTAATATTCCCTGGGATTCCTCCTTGACTGATTATACAAATCAGCGTTTCATAAGTGAATAAGAAAAAAATACAGTTATTAGTTAAATAACTGAATGTAACTCTTACAACAGTCATTAGCAGTGACACGTAGCAGCGAGCATGACTGGTTGAAAATACAACTCAAATATACCCACATTAGAAAAAAAATTGTAGCAGAGTTTGTTGCCATTATTTTTTTTAGTTTTATCATACCTCGTGAAGATGGATTTGTGCATACGCTTGCTGTATTTCACCGATATCTGTCAAGCTAAAAACATCTACTTCGTGCACCGCCATCTTGGAAAAGTGATTTGTAAGCGCCTGCAGTCAGCAGTGGATTTCGACCCCAATAAAATGTTCGTGATGTATGCTTCTTGAAATGTACAGCCAGTAATCCAACATGGCGGACGACAACGCCGACAACGTGCAACCGAAGAACCGCGCTGTGGTTTCTCAAAGGGTTCTTTTTGTACGCAATCTGCCCTTTTCTACGACGGATCAAGATTTAGAGAAGCTTTTCAGCGAGATTGGACCAATTAAGCGTTGTTTTGTTATCCGTAATAAAGGTAAGAAGCTTTGTGAAATTTTGCACGTGGCCTACAAATTCTTGCAAGTATGAAGCTAGCTTGTTTATTTTAGCCTAAATGTAGTGTCGCTTTCGGGAAGGAAATAAAAACTATATTTTTCATTCAACATTTTAATATATTATTAAAAGCTAATCTGTTTTTAAAAAACTGTAGAGATTTGGGTTGTACATATATACATAAGCTTTTATAAACTACAAAATAAAGGGCCAGCACAGGGACGTTTTTTTTTATCCACCCCCCCCCCCCCCCCCTCCCCCCGCCTAAGGATTACAGGTTTTTGAATAAGGGGATTCGTATGTTTTCTTCAAAGAAGCTAACCAGATTTTGACCCCTCAGACAAATTTTTCAAAGGTGCCGACAAAGAATGACCCCATCAGATTTCATTTTTCAAGGGGCACTGACAAAAATTTGAGGGTTCAGATTCCAGTCATCCTTAGGGGGCTGCGGGTAAAAAATGGAACAACCCACATAAGCACTTTAACCATTAAAGCAGTAAGGCCAACACAACAGATAATGGCTCCAATTTAAGTGTTACCTGGAGACAGAGAGACCACTCTGCCAGGGTCTATGTACTATCACTTCACCAATGGCTTCAATTCTTTGATAGGTTCAAGAGGTCTTTGTAGAGGATTTGGCTATGTCACGTTTGTGCTTGCTGAAGATGCCGAAAAAGCTATAAATAATGTCAAAACATTTGGAGGAAGGCAGCTCAGTATTTGTTTTTCCGACAAGAAACCAAAACATGAGGAGCGAAAACATAAGCCAGATGAAGATGATGACGACAACAGGGAGCAGCAGGAAAGTGCCAGTGAGTCCAATACGAGAAACTGTTGTTTATTGTTTTTTTAGTGTATTTATTTTAAAATGAGGTGATAAGCTGGTAGGAAATTTCATTCATGGCCACCTTCTTATACAGCTGTTATGGTGTTTATTTCAACATTAAAGTAGACAATCACTATATCACAACATGAAGTGGAAGATTACCATTTTATTTTATGAGTCTCGGTATGTGTTTAGCAGACACCTTTTAAAGTGGATATGTGTAGTGGGTATCCACTTTAAATATGGGTTTACTATTACATTGTATTTTCTAATTCTCACAAAAAGTGCCTTACATTATACAGTGTAAAACAAACTTTCTTAATTAAGAGTTGAGAAGATACTAACTGTACTTGATGATTAACCTTGGCGGTGTTAGTTCAGTTGGTAGAATGCTTGACTGAAGAGTGGGAGGTCGAGGGTTCGATTCCCGGGGTCGGACCAATACTTGGTGTCTTAAAATAACTGAGAAATGAAGGAACTCCCTTTGCCCTGCAAGAGGCTAGACCTTTGCGTGGCTCAGATGACCATGTAAAATGGCGGTCTGTCTCCAGTAGGAGACATAAAAATAGTGTCCCAAATTAGTATTTTCGTGCTAAATACCTTGACATTCAAACAAAAAGTGGCTTCAAGGCTCCCTCTTGTGGAAATAGCTTAGGTTGGGTTCTCTCTTTATATTTTGTGGTTACCAAGAGATAAATTGCCCAAGGGGAAGACAGACCTTGAACCCTGTTTCTTTCTTGTAAACATTGAAGACTGGCATGAATAATAAAATGTTTTTGACAATTTTTACCCTTTAATAAAACCTCCACATTGATCATTCTTAGCAATAGCCATTCTGTCCTTGTTGAATTTTGAGAAAAGTTGGTGCCCGCAAGTCAAAGCACTGGTCCACGAAATTGGTACCATCAACTTCTTGAGAAAAGAATTCTTGCCAACTGATATAAGGAATCTTTTTGCTGTCTTAATGTGTTTTTGAATATATTAAATGTAAAAATATTCACAGCAGTGCTCGAAATAATTTAATGTGTTTTGTTGTCGATTAACTTTAAGTCTGGTTTTACCTGTACGATTTTGCCAAAATGAACATTGCAGATAAGTAACATGTGGTTTCTACTCTTTGGTACATTTCACTCTCTCATGATTGGTTGATGGTTGAGCCACTTTGGGTTCTTATTAACCCATAGAACTTACCTCAGGAACTGTCATGGAAAATTCTTTTGTTCTTTTGACATCTCCTTGGAAATTTCCCTGATGCAATTTCACAAATGGGAAAAACGTTCACACTCCAAAAGTTGTTTCCCCTTGGGCAAGGCCAAGAGCTTTTTACCCAAGTGTAAAATGGCAAGTGTTATGACACCCAATGTATACAGGGTGTTCTTTAGGCATCAGAGATTGGAGAATTCTGCGTTTAATATGCAGAATTCTCTGGCTAAGGTTTGGTATTCTATGAATGTTTTTTATTCAGATGTAGAGCCTCTTTCAAAATAATCTCCTGTAACGTTACACCTTTCTCCTGCCACTAGAATTCTTAAGGAAAACCCTGTGTATAGTTCTTAACAAAGGGCAATACCACATGTACCCGTCTTTGTTAGTAGTTCACATTTCATGCACATATCATATGGCTGGCTCCACCAGCAGGCAAGATGAAGTGAGTCCATTTTGTGATTGACTACCTGAGATCTTGCCTACCTGTGATTTGCCTGCTTTGACCTACAAGTGAAGATCTTTTTTTGGCCATAAATCAAATTGTTTGTGGACCAAGCTCATGTGGTCAAGGTGGCAAAATAATGGCCTCATTGAGGGGGCAGGGGATATGTGCCAATGGATCAGTGCATTAATATTTTTATAAAGATTTTTGCCCAGATTTCGGACTCAGTGCAAAATTTTAATGAATTTGCAGTTGTTGCAATTGCGGTGGATTGAGGATTCATCCATTTTTATTTTTTTGGGCCTGGATTTTGGACTTTGTGTGTAATAAAATATTTTTGCCAGGATTTTGGATTAAAGAGCGAAATTTTAATGGAGGATTTGGTTAATAAATCATCACGGATCAGTGGATTTGCATACCCCTATTCACCCCTCTCCTCATTGCATTGCTATGGACTGAAAGAAAAGTGCCCAAAAAACAGTCATCTTGACTTTATGCTTGGTCAGTAATGTATAATCCTGAGCTTATAATCAGCGGCAATGCTGCTAAATTTGTATCTATGTGTGATGCATTTTTTGTGACTTGTTTTCTCAGATATCAAAAACAACAGAGCTGAAGAACTGGCAAATTATGAAGAAGAACCATCAAGGAAAAAGTTAAAAAGTGACAAACGTGACAAAAAGCTTAAAGAGTCAGGATATGACATTGGCAGAACAATTGTGATTACAGGAATTGCAACATCAGGCATTAATCCAAATCATATTCGGAAAAAGTGTCGCAAAGTTGGGACAGTGGAGACAGTCACATTCCCAGTTGAAGGACGGGATAAACCAACGGCATTTGTTATGTTCAAGTCTCACAAGGATGCAAGAGAAGCTGTTAAGAAACTGAATGGAAGGATTTTTAAAGGCAACTCCATTGAAGCTGTTCTTCTTTCCAGAGAGGGAAAGACTCCTAGTCAAAAATCTTTGAAGAAGTCAAGAGTGATTGTGAGAAACTTGTCATTCAAATGCAAAGAGGAAGACCTTCAGAAATTTTTCTCTCAGTTCGGACAAGTTACTGAAGTAAAAATTCCTTCCAAGATGGAGGGAAAGAGAAAGCTTAGCCTGGGGTTTGCATTTGTGCAGTTTTCCAATGTCTTTGACGCTGCTAAAGCCATCAAAGAATCAAACATGAAGGAGATTCTTGGGCGTCCTGTAGCAGTAGACTGGGCTGTTCCAAAAACGATGTACGAAACAAAGAAAGACGAAGAAGGTCTGTTGCTTGAGTTGTTTTATTTTTAATAACCTTGCCATTGACACATGATTTACATTTATGCATAAAGTTGGAAAAAGTGAGCAATATCAGTCCTCAACCTTAGTTTATTTGGTGATTTTTATTGTACAAATCAATTTGTAATGATTACAAACCACAGCAGGATTAGCTCAGTTGGTACAGAATGTAGATTGCTTGACTACAGAGTGGGAGGTTGTGGGTTCAATTCAGGGCCAGACCAATACTTAGGGTTTTAGTTTAACTGAGAAATGAAGGTAACTTCCTATGCCGTGTAAACGGTTAGACCTTCGCATATGTTACAGGTAACTAGGTAATATCAGCATCAAATTTCTCCTTGTGATATCAATGCTTTGTAAAACAGAGTGGTCATGAGAATTATGGAGATGATCACACAAGATGAATTTACTTGATATTTTATCAACTTCTCCTCACTACTTCTACAGGAAATGAAAAGGGGCAACAAGTGAGATTTCAAATTGTGATCTTAGGGTTTAAAGGGTTAAACGACCCTGTACATTTATTCTGGAGGCTTCACCGTCAACCTGCACGGCACTCAAAATGCAGAGCTCCTCATATCGATCATATGCATGCTGCTGTTCACAGTTCTGTGACTTATGGTTGCCAACTTGTTAATATGCAAAAATGCATAATTTACTAGGTGACGTCACCAGACGGCATTAGTACGCTCGGAATTCAGACATCTCTCTCCCCCGCGCCCCCCACGGGTTACAGGGTGGAGACATAAGACATTTCAGACTAGTCCTCAGACCATCTAATTATTATCATCATTTTTTTTTCATTGTACTGAAAGAAAAAATTGTTTTCTGTTCAAATAGACAAAGTGTCTGAAAGAGAGGAAGAAGAAGTTGAAGAATTCAAAAGAAGTGAGGAAGAAGGCAGTGATGATGATGAGGTTTTAAACAGCGACAGTGAAATTGAGTCTGATGTTGACGCAGCCAAAGATAGACGTGGTGGTTTGGATGACAAAGACCGTGATGATGATGATGATGATGATGATGATGATGATGATGATGATGATGATGTGAAGAGTGAAGATGAATATAAAGACCATGGACACAAATCCACCCTCCAAGCTAGAAAACCCAAACAATCGACTGATGTAAAAGAAGGCAAAACATTGTTTATCCGTAACGTTTCATTTGATTCCACTGAGGAGGCTCTCCAGGAGCTGTTTGAGCAGTTTGGAGACATAGAGTACTGCAAATTAGTTGTGGACAAGCGGACCGGTCACAGCAAAGGAATGGCGTTTGTGAAGTTCAAAACCACAGAGAGTGCTGAGCAGTGTCTCCAAGAAACTTCTGATGAGGGTGCAGGTTAGGTCGTGGTGTAAATAATAGGCTGATTTAGCAACAGAACGGGAACGTTAGTTGACGACGGCGCGCGCAAATCAAACAACTGGGCACCGGAAGTAGAGTTTAGTCCTTTTCGCGCGCTTTGCCATCGTCAAATGACGTTCCCGTTCTGTTGCTAAATCAGCCTAATTTAATAGAGACCTTTAGATTCTTGGACGAGGGTAACTAGGAGTACAAGATTTTCTCAATAGTAAGTAGCGCGCATGCGTGAACCAGTGTCATTTTGGCGGGAAAACGTGATACCTGTCACCATTCGTAGAGACGGAAAAAAGTCATCAAATGTTAGAAGTTTTATCATTTTACAATCGGAAAAAGGGCTTAACCTCCTTCACTAAAAGTAACCCTACTAACTTTTGTGGTGAAAAAAAAGTGAAATTGAACTTTCAGGGATGTAATTTTTTTTTTTTAAGAATAAGCGAAAAGAATTTTTTAAAAAGTCAAATCTTGTCTTCGTTGTCGTTCTCGTCCCCGAATCTAGAGTTCTCTAATGAAAGAAAACCTGATGTTGAAGCAGAGTCTTTCTTTACCTGTTTTCCAGAAAAGTCGTCTGCGAGTGAGAGCAGTCCCTTGGCCCTTTGTTATGAATGTATAAACCTTAAAAAAAAAAACAGCTGAAGTGGAGGAAAATTACTGTTCGAGTTGCTTTCTAAATGCCATTGAATTCAACCTGCTGAAAGCTGCAGAATGTGCAACAGCTTTCCAGCCTTTTGAATGGCTGGTTTCTTTGTGGCATTTGATTGAAGTAATGATGTTACTCAATTTTTATTATGCAGTAATTTTAATTATATTTAGTCTCCAGAACATTGAAAAGAGGTTTCGCTAAGGTTTTAATTACTACAAAACTAGGACGGTTGAGGTACTGTAGGAATTCTAACGTGCCATTTTTTTTTTTAATCTAGGTCTTTCTTTAGACAACTTCACACTGAATGTTACCAAAGCTGTTACACGTGGAAAAGCGACGGAGCTGGCCAAGGAAAGAAAAAGGACAGGAGGGAATAAGCAAGTTAAAGACAAACGCAATTTGTACCTGGCTAAAGAAGGTCTTATTCTTCCAGGTTCGACTGCCGCTCAAGAATTGTCAAAAAGTGATATGGTAAAAAGGCAGAAGGCTGAAGCGGAGAAAAAAGCAAAACTGGGAAATCCAAACTACTTTGTCTCAACGACCAGGCAAGTGCACAATATTACTTACCAGCTTTTCTGGACACTGGCCTGCCCAGGGGGAATGTGCACGAATGGGACTCATAGGTCCCATGCGAGGTGCCATCCCTACCCAATCAATACACAAACACGCGCCTGTTTGTGTAAGGGTTGATTTCCAGTGTCACGTACAGAGTACCGCTTAAAAGTAAGTTGACAGTCACTCGCGTCTCGATCCTTGAGACGCGAGACTCGATTCTCGATTCTCGAAACTTTGGAGGATCGAGTCTCGCGTCTAGAGCATCGAGTCTCGAGTTTCGATGATCGAGGATCGAGTTTTAAATTTGGAGTCGAGAAAGCGCTCTCTCTAAAAGTGTACACTTGCCTTTCATTCTAAAAATCACGGCTCCGTGCATTGGGTGAGACTCGTTCGCTTTCACGAAAAATTTTTACGTGCGTACGTGCGTAAAATTTGCGTTCGCAAATAAAATAGAGGCAATGCATGAAATGTCGCTCGTAAGCGTAAAAGTTGAACGTCGCTTAACTTCTCGTTTAAGCTCGGCACTTTTTATCTTGCCTCTATTTTATTTACTTGAGTAAAATTTACGTGCGTTAATGTGCGTAGCCAGAAACGCGTCAGTGGTAATCAACCTTTACTCAACAAACCACTCATCGCGTTTGTTTGCTTCTTAGTAAGAACGAAATGTTTCTACTCTTTGGCTTTAGGCTTTGCGTGCGGAACCTTCCCCTCAATGTTGACGATAAACGGCTTAAAGAAATTTTCAGCACCGTGGCAGGACGAAATGCATTTGTCAAGAAGGTGCTGATAATTCGCAGCAAAGATCGCGTGGACAGTTCGGGCCGCGGACGTTCTATGGGATATGGTTTCGTTGAGTTTGCCAATCACAACGACGCTTTGGCAGCCTTGCGCGCAACCAATAACAATCCAGATCTATTTGGCGCCGATCGCCGCCCGATTGTTGAGTTTTCATTGGAGAATAGCCTCGTTGTGAAAGTGAAACAGCGGCGGTTAGACAAAGCTCGACAAAGACAGCAGCCAGGTAGTGAACAGCCCAAGACAAATAAAGAGAAGAGACTGGAAAAGAGTCAGAAACGGAGAGAAAAACGGCAGCGAAAGAGAGAAGCGAACAAGGAAATGAAATTAGAAGAGGGAAAGGAAAGCAAAGAAGAGAAACCTGACACTGGAAGCAACGAGGACACGGCTCCAAACAGTGATGTAAAGTTCCAAAGAAAAAATAGTGAAAATTCATGGAAAACGAAAAAAGGAAAGAGGACATTTTCAGCGGAGCTACCAACTCCGCGAAATCTTGGTAAAACTGATCGTCAAAAACAAAGAAAGTTTCCACCCATTTCTCCAAACATGAATCAATCCTATAATGAGCCCGCGGTAGCGAAAGCCAATTTACCAGCGGCTATTAAGGATAACAAAAAGAAGAAACCTCTGAAAGGACGGGGGAATATTGGTAAAACTTTTCATGAAAGAGCTGATTCATTTACTCACACCAAAGCCAAGAACGAAGTGACGAATAGAAAAAGGAAAGGAGCTAGGCGGAAAGAGCAAGAGAAAAAAGACGAATCCAACTTCACCGACATGGTGAACAAATATAAGAATAAGTTGTTTGGAAGGGATGAAGGCGAAGTTCCTGCTAAACGTTCGCGCTGGTTTGATGATTAATTACCTTTACTGCTCATCATCAAAATCTTTTGAATTATTGTTTAATCACATCGTGTCAAGAGTTGAAACTATTTTTTGGCAGTTTGCAGCTTGTCTTAAAGATGAAATCTTGTTGGTCTTTTTTTTTATCTTGACAATTTAAACCGATTATGCAAAGTGCATGTAGCTCGCGGTTTCCGCGATACAGTAAAGACCCGCAAGTAACAATCTTCATTTTCCTAACTTAGCTTTAACAGGTTCTTACATAAAGTGGTAATAAGCACATTTTTCTTTTTTCACGCCATTATGCTCCGATTACTTCACTGTTATAAATCCTTCCAAAATAGGCCTCGATGGTTACGATCCAAGTAAAGTTTAGAATGATTGAGTGTATAGAAAGTCATCAGAGTATTACAGTACTTATATCTCACCACCAATTTGCACTAACAGGCTGATTTTCAGCAGCTCTGGGCATTTTCTGTACATGCTAACCTATCCCATAATTTCCCAAGATTTTGTTTCTTTTTTTTTTTTTTTGAGGTCATCACTTCTCCTTTATATAGTATAGTGATCTATAGATGCACTGAAAGACAAATGATTCCACACAGCTTTACACAAAGGCTTTATATTTTATTTTTAATCCTTTCAACGACATTTGATTTAGTAAGCTGCAAATTGTTATCCTTGATGCCAAACCACAAGTGATCGACACTACAGTTGTATAAGGTTTTAACCCTGTTAAATCTAACTGTTATTAAGCCTTTGCTTGAAGAAGCCGTTTTTTATGTTGACCCAACGGACTTATGTTACAGACAGTGTATTACAAGAACTTGAAGTTTTTGTAATACACCACGTTACTGTAACCATTGGCAACCAAGACACCACCACGTTTTCTGATTGGATAGCGCGGGTTGAATGACGTCACCAATGTTCCTTTCAGGTAGACCTTCACTTCCCCGGCAGGTGTGGAATTCGACACTGCCACCCTGATGTTGAACCATTCTGCTCCCTTGGGGGGACCGTTGGGGCAAGAGGCGGACTTTCCCCCGTCAAACTTTGGTTGACCTTTGTAAACGTAACCCGTCTGAAAACATGTGCTGGATGAATGAGGCCTGGGAAATAAAAAGAAACGTTACATAAAATTAAGCAAATGCGATTATAAGACCAGTAAAAGGTTTATTGCATAACCGAGCCACGAAAACATGTCAGCTAATATAGCACTCCCCATCTTCACATAGAATTTCTAATACCCCGAAATCATTTACGTCAACTGAACTGGTCGTAAGAAGGTTTTTTAAAATTCAGGTTGTCGCTCAGGTTTGAAACCAAAATAGTGACATCTTCCCTCTTACGCGTGTATAAATTGCAGCAAACCTGAAATAGACGAAGTCATAGTTGTCTTGATCTTCGGCGTTTAACAACACTCCTGGATGACCAGAGTTGGCTCCTCGCCATCCAATGAAGTTGTACATATCGACTGAGAGCTGGTAACTTGATGTACTGTGGTCTCTAAGGTACGCCACTTGACAGAAGCCATCCTGCGGCCAACGTCCGTGGGCAGCATCCACTTTAGTGTATCCTGGCAACTCAACCACGCGTTTGCATCTCTTGCTGACGTGAATGATAGGAACAGTTTTGAACTTTCCGAAGAGTATCACATTTTTGTAACCGTTATAAGCGAACACTCCTCCCCAGGCCCTAGGGGGGAAATGGGGCTTGATGGTCGCCACCAGGACCCCACTGTGGTATACCTGTGCGTCTTGGCCGTGCACCGTGACTGAGACTGGGAACCAGACACCACCTTTTGGAGGTCCATTAGGACAAGCAGCACTTTTGACAAAGGTCAGCTTGCCACTCGCCATGTATCCAGTCTGATAACATCCACTGGAAGAGTGAGGTCTGAATAGTAAGTGGTAGGATATTTTGCAATTAGTTAGTAAATTAGATAACTGATGCATGAGTTCAAAACAACGTCTCTTTCCGGGCCAATACTGAACTTACGCAACAGGACGGGAGAGGAAAGAAGACGGCAATCCTTGTGTGAAAACGTGACAGTAATTGTGTTCGTAAAAAACCTTCCGCCAAACTTCACCTTCATTCAAACAGATCTTTTTGTAAAAGACCAGAAAACGTTAATGTTAAGTGAAGATCACGACAAAACACGCAGGTAATAGCCTTGTTAGGTTTGTCACACACAAATGTTTTGCCATCCTCTTCTTCCTGCCGTCCGCTAGTTTTTTATTTTTTTTTCACAAAATCGAAATTATACATTCCAGTAGCTTTTGATCAGTTGACTTTCAGGCCCTGACTCGTCCTTAGACGTCTTTATTTGGGTTGATGGTAAGAAGGAAAACGGAAGTGAAAACATGCTGGAATTTAGAATTGTTTCATCTGCGCTCATTATGCAACAGGCAAGGTTACGTGTTACGCTTTGCACGAAAAGTCAAATAATTGCACTGGCGGATCCAGGGGAGGGGCCCGGTCCCCCCCTTATTTTTGGACCAAACTAAGGGCCGAAGGGTCGAAAACAATTTTTTGAGAGACCGTCCCCCCCCTTATCTAAGGGTCTGGATGACCACCCCTCCCCACCTCATCTCAAGGTCTGAATCCGGTGGCACTGAATTGTGCAGTTTATCCTGACATGATAATTATAATGAGTTGCATTCAACCTCGTCCCCCGGGACCATGAAAAAAAACCCAGGGGACGAAGGTGACTCATAATTACAACAGTATGAATGAACCAAGATCGAGAAGTCCAAAGACTACTGCAAAGCTGATTCAGAACAACGTGTATTGTTTTTTATAACAATATTTCGGCTGGCCATACCAGCCTTCTTCAGGTTTACAGATGTTACTGAACTTATGTAGCAATCACAATATTATATAGATGGAGAATGTCACAATAAAAATCATTTAAAAGGGAGAGGCGGAAATGACGTACAACACAAACACTGGAAAGGGAAAATATCATGGATGAAACCGCTTCCTTTTGATAGAGTTATCCTGTTTAAATCATGAGAAGAAAGGACAACAACGTTCCAGTAGTTTCTTGGTGTTGTGGACGGGTGCAATCATCTAATGACGTAAAACAAAAGAATGGCAAAACACAGAAGCTAACCAACAATGGTTTCCGCAACCCCAACAAAACACCCAACGTTGCTCATAGTATTACCTTAGGCCATTTGAACTAAGAGGTCATGTGACATCGTTTTTATGAAAAATGAAAGTTATATGATTTTGCCTTCGAAAAACGATTAGTGGGTCATATCTTAAACAAAATAATAGTGATTCGGTTTTTCAAACCCGCACCATTTTCTTAAAATGAATAAGTTCTTAGCTGGTCACGTGACCAAAATGTGATTTTTAACATTATGAATTACCTCTTGCTGAACACAAATTTTGCACTTAACCTTCAAGGAAAATGTTGAAAAGATGATGTGGTAGCGTTTACGGCACATCTGAGCGTAACTATCAAACGTTTAACAAGATATAAGCAAAAAGTAGTTTTGGCCGCCATGTTGGAGGGCAAGAGTTTGCCCGCCAACATGGCGAAAAATCAAAGTGCCATAAAATATCTCCCTTAAATGCGTTTCCTCTCAAATTTCGGGTGTAAGATAATTTTTTGGTGCTCTCTCAATATTTGGCATCAGCAAGATTCCAACTCATTGTTTAAAGGGAGCATTGGTCACGTGACCTCTTAGTGCAAGAGGCCTATTGACCCCCATTCCTCCACAACTTCACCCCCCACTCCCCCTCCCCTAAACCTCTAGCTATTCATTGTGTGAACTTTTGGAAGTCTGTGAGCAAAGGAGTTACCTGAGGTAAACGAAATCAAAGTTGTATTCGTCCACAACATTGAACAGCAATCCCAGATGTCCACTGTGTATTCCATTCCATCCAGCCTTGTTAAAGAGCTCCGCTGACACGGTATACGTCTGCGATTCTTCAGAAGGATGAGCGAGGACTCGGCACAATTGAAGGGTGGCTTGTGTGTTGAGCGTGTAGTACAAATTGACTGGAAATGATTTCACCAGGCTCGTACAGTCCACTACAGCGGCTACTGAGAATTTGTCTGTTTCAAGGACGTGAAAGCAAAAATTTAATTAAGCTTTGCCTATTTGCCGATGATTAAGAAAGCATTTTTAAGGATTGGAGAAGGGTAGTAGTGTTCCTTTGAGCTGTTTTGTGACCCAGCCTTTTCCCTTGGAGAGAAAAAAAAAAACGAGAAAACCGAGCACGATGTTGTATCCTTGACTACTTTTTTCTTTTTATCCCTGGAAAAAAAAAACTATTTTTTGTTTTTGTGCCGGTTCTTGAGGCTTTGCATGCCACTCATTCATGTTATCTGAATTTTTTCTTCACCTAATTGGACCAGCTAGCCACCGGCATAACAATCCCAGCCTGACCAACTTCCGCAGCATCCGGGTGAGATTGAAAGCGCGCACTCACCCCATTAAGTTCATCCATATAAAAAGGGACCCTTATCTATAAAGTAGAAAAGATATGTTGATTTACAATATCGATAGAAAGGTTGTACTGTCTGAGTCATTAAGTAGCCTAACTTATCAGCACTAACATAATATAACTCATTATCTCCTTTGACGCCTTTTCCTTTAAGTTTTGATGATCTCAATGTGGTATAATTTACGCGATCGCACTTTGTTTGGAATGACAAAAAATGCCCTTACTCGCTCTGCAACTTTGGTAATCAGCGCTATAAGCAAGTCTCCTTTTGGTTCGTTTCTTAACTCGGATACAGTTGGAGGAAACCGATACAATTTGTAAGATCTCACTCTGTCCGCGAATGACGTAATTGTCCCCAAAAAGATAGGAAGTAAATGATTTAATTTAAAAGAGCCTGGTATCGCCTGGTATACCGTATTTATTCGATAACACTCCACAGCGTTTCTTGGGGGACGGCATTTATTTCAAAAATCCATTTTCAAAATTACTGATATTAAAATTAGACACTTAGGGTCAATCATTTGTAAATACAGTTAGACTCGGGTAACTCGAACTCGGATAAGGTAACTCCCCGCTAACCGTCCAACTAAGCCCCACTTCCCTTGGATTTGACCCTACTTTTCAGTCACTTTTATTTTTTTTGTATGACTCGAATACTCCCCGCTAACTCGAACTAAATTTCGTTTCCTTTGATCAAAATTTACCTCGCTAACTCGAATTCTGGTTCTCACGAAGGATGCCATCCCATTAGCGTTTCCTTGTCGTGCAATCGGTAAAATCCGTAAAACACTACAGCATTTTTTTTTATATAGCAAGTGCAACGAACGGATCACGCACGTATTTGACAGTCATTTCCCGAGTGTATTATCATATAAATGCATAATCGCGTTACAATTTCTGATGAGATAAGTTTAATTGGCAATCTGCTGTATACTGGAGTGCAGAAATGTCAGTAACCATTCAACACTAACGTGGGAAATTGAAGATTCAATCGATCTCGATAACTCGAACCCTCGCTAACTCCAACTATTCTTCTTTTCCCTTCAGAGTTCGAGTTACCAGGGTTCTACGTACTGTGTTATGCAAAACCAAGAAAGACTCTTCAGGGGAAAACAGAAAAATGTTAAGAGTTCCTTTGTCTCGCGTTTTTGCTGAGGTAGAATCATAATAATTGTCTAGATGATGATAGACTATGAAAACTAAAAAAGTTGTACCTAGTTTTTTCTTATGATCCACGAATAAACAACGCCTTGTTCTAATTGGTGCGGCGATTATTCGACTAAATCCAGTTCCTACCATTTCACCATTTGACGATAAGTTCTGAAGAAAATTTTGCCTTGTTACACTTCACTTTATTTTGAAACAAAGTACGTTTCTGACGTTTTTGCATTTGCATTTAGACCGAAGAGGGCATTTTAATAATTCATCAACCCTAACCTCGCAACTAGTGGTTTTTGCTTCATCCTTCACCGCGAGGTGAGTCCCTTACTGTGAATGGGCTATGTAAATGACAAATTTGTTCATCGGAAACTTAGGTTTAAAAAAAGAGTCAATATTTTTTTAAATAAGAAAATGAAAAGTTGTTAAGCTCTTAGACAAGAAGATCTGACGTATAGTTGCGGCTCATTGAGATGTGAACCACCGTCAGGCGAGTTGTCATTTTTTCATGTTTGATTTTCACTTCCGCTGAGTCTATTTTATATTTTATGATGATCAGCTCTATTTTCCAACCAAACACATGATTATTTTGTTAATTTTGTTACTTTTATGCCGAACTGATTACCAAGTAAATTAACCACCGTATTTAGATTCAAAAGTTAGGATGACTCTTTCCACCAGCCTTTCACATCCAAAAATCCCTTTCCTGATAGAGGTCTTAATTTAAGAACATCTTAATAGGTTAATGACTTCTTTTTTTGTTATCATAGTTTCCGAAATTGTGCCAGAGTACATGCCAAATATATGCATACTTCAATTTTTTGAAATTGAAATAAATATATAAATCTATAAACTGTGAATAAAGTATTCAGATGATTGATGGATATGATCCTGTCAACGATGCCGTCACAAATGTGACGATCAACCCAGCTGTTCAAGTAGTTTAAGGCTTGAACGCATTACCGAAAAATATGCTTAATCGTCAAGATCTTCCATAAGATTGCCTCAAAAGGATAAAATTTGCCTCGATGAATATATTGAGGTCGCTCTTATGCAAAAAAGTCAGTATAAGTTACGCACACGGGTTACTAGTACTTCTGATCTCGAAATTTTACGGGCACTGGATGAAAAAGGAATTTAAAGGCATTCATAAAACTTACCTGCTTCAGGACAACTGCCGCCAAGTATCGCATTAACTTTTTTTTCCATTAGATCTTGTTGCCGCAAGACGTTATCTAGTGCGCCACAGACCTTGGCTACCGAACATTGGCTCTTTGCGCCGCCAACCGGCGCCAGCAAAAAGGCCAACGCAATTAGCGAGACGTAAAGCATGCTTTTCCGAGCAGACGGGGTAATGAAACAAGTGAACTGTAGCTTAGAAGTTTCTTACACAATGAATAATCTCTACTGAAACCATCATTCTTGTATATTCCATCTACCAATGAAAACCTAGCGCTAGTACTAAACGCGCGCGTTAACACGTGTTGATCACGCCAGGTTAGTTTACTAAACGCGCGCAATGGGGAGTCGCAGATTCGTCGAGATTCAAATCTCAAATTACCCTGGTTGCGGTTTCCGGTTTCGGTCAAGTCTTAACGAGACTCACCAAAAGGCGTATTCACTGCGCTGCTTCTGCTAACAGTAGACAGAAATATTGTATTGTATGAAAACGAGAAGTTTACTAAAACAGACAGCCAACTGCCCATTGACCCCGATCCATGGGCCTGATGGATTACACTGAGACGGTCTACAGTCTACATGAAAACCGTTTTCATGTTATTAACGCATTATTTTTTCCACAAGATGATATATATTCAGTTTTAAGATTTTTCTCTTGGTATTTTTCTCTAACTTAAAAGATTAAAATCCTTTGGATTTTGTAACCTATGTTGCTTTCATGGGCACGCACTTTAAACAATGTAAAAATAGATGAAACGATCGATAACACATTTTTTTACCGCGATACTAAGACCCGATTCAGAGGCCGAACTTTTCGTGAGCTGAATCTAATTCGAATTAACTGAGACCGACCAAAATTATTTAGACTGGCTGTATTGATTCAGACACCGATCTTGATTGCAGCTGAACTAAGTTCAAAAGGCGAAAACTGCTCATTTCGGTAAAACTGTTTACAAAACGTTATAATAATTAGTTTTATGCATTAGGTGCTGTATATGAAAAGCTCGTCTTAACCAAAGCCGTTCCAAAGTCAATCCGCGGAAGGCGAAATTCCCGGTCGGGCTAAGCGAAAAAAAACGGCTGAGCCGTTCTAAATTGAAACAGGCGTTCCTAATTGATTCAGACGCCGAACTTTTCATGTACTTAATTCAATGTACTAGGTTTATAAGGGCCTAATTTGAGTTCAAAATTCGCTCGAGTTCGCGTTTGTCTCACCGTGACTTAAACGTTTCTTCATGGCAGAAAATTATAACTCCTCCGAAGGTTTAGGCCAGCAAAACAATATCGAAACACTATTTAGTCTATTTACAGTCCTTGAATAATAAAAAAGACTGAACAAACGAAACGCACTATGTGCCCTTGTTTACTTCTCTGACTTCTGATCACATTTGCACGAACTCTCTCTTTTCAAGCGATTCATCTCAATGCACAATAATTGACTCTTATATTAATTAAAACCCAATCGTTCATTCATATTTATACTGTTTTTGCCCCTCACATTTACTGTGTTCGTTTGAATTCAAAACACATTAAGGAAAATAAAGGTCGTGTAAGTCATGTTTATTATGTTTAGAGCTAAATCGATTATGACAGGCTTTTTTAAGTTCCCATTGTGGGGTGTCTTAATCAGTTCACATCTCCATAAAATGGTACAAGAAACATGAAGAAGCATCACGTGAGCAGACAATTTTCAAAGGTTTTTTTGAAATTCCCTAATGCTGACATCAGTATATCATGCTTGCTGAATGGGCGAAAACACAGAATTGAGGGAGGTGAGCCATAACGAATGATAACAAGATCATGTACAAATTTAATGATAAAAGCTTAGCAAGATACAGATACAAACAAAAGCAAACCCCCTGAAACCTCTGGGCTACACTTGTATGCTCTAGTCAGTCGCCAAACCTTGTCAGAAATAGCTCCTATTTTCCTCAAGTTGGTCTTTGTGAGCGGCTCCCGGATCGGATGTTCCGGTGAAGCTTTGAACTTGTACTCAAAATTCTCAAAGTTCCTATTTTTGTCCTTGTCTTTTTTATCCTCAGTATCCGAAATTTAGACCTCCAAAGTGGCTTGTGTTGCATTAAATAGAAGGAAATAATAAAATAAAAAGCCAGTCTTCTGACATGGCAAAGTTGTCCCGTCCCTACGCTCATGGACGTCCATTTCTTAACACCGAGATTCATCTGACCGTTCACCGGCAACTGAATTGTTCGCTTCAGTACTGAAACAGTTTACAATCAAGTCTTCAGCCATAGTGATCAGCAACTGGTAAAATGCTTTGCTCATAAATTATGCTTACTAATTCCTCATGTACTACATAGATCGATAGTTCTCTCTTTGAGTTAACGAAACGGCCCCGGCGTTCCAAAACTGACGCTCACAGTCATCTTTTAGTGTGAACCTACCGTGAACGCCGTGTTGGTTCACGGTATGCAACGTGAGCATTTCTCTGAGCTTCCCAGCGCTAACATCATCAACTGAGCGAGAGCTATACGCGAATGTCACAAATAAATCCACACAAAGTCAAACCGTTTTTTGACAAAACTTGTCCGTTTATTGTTCTTGACTATAACCTGAGATCAGGCCCAATTTTAGCAGTTCTCATCACAGGCGGCCCAGACGTACCTACAATTGCAAAACTCAACAAAATGCCACTTTAACCGGCCAGGAAAGACAAGGATACGTTCAGTTAAAGGTATCTTAGCTTTGTTTTGTCATATTTTGACTTTGGACTATTTTGGTTCATGGGAGTTTCGACGACTCATATTTTGTCTATGTGAATATTAATATATTCATTTGACACATACTACGTCTGGGCCGCCTGTGGCTACTACCGCTAAAAATTGGGCTCTCTTTTCGTTTCGCCTTGCCTGCCGGAATGTTGATTTACAATGCGAAACGAAAATTGAGCCTGATCTCTGGTTATCTTGACTATGGCATAAGCAGAAAAAGTATATTTTAGAATAGAAAGTTATTAAGTGATAAACGAGCTATAAATCTAGTCCAATGTTTTCTTTGCTTTATATAAAAAGCCTTTTGTTAAATTGAAGAAACACTGACTGCTTTACAAAAACTTAAAGTTTTTGTAATAAACCACATTGTTGTAACCATTGGCAACCAAGACACCACCACGTTTTCTGATTGGATAGCGCGGGTTGAATGTCGTCACCAATGTGCCTTTGAGGTAGACCTTCACTTCCCCGGCAGGTGTGGAGCTCGACACTACCACCCTAATGTTGAACCATTCTGCTCCCTTGGGGGGACCGTTGGGGCAAGAGGCGGACTTTGCTCCGTCAAATTTTGGTTGACCTTTGTAAACGTAACCCGTCTGAAAACATCCGCTGGATGAATGAGGCCTGGGAAATAAAAAGAAACAATACATAAAGTTAAGCGAATGCGACTAAAAACTGACGTAAAAGGCTTAAATACTACATAACTCATTCACAACAACATCTTCTAATTCTCCGAAATCACTTCCGTAAACGGAACTGGTCGTAAAAAGGTTTTGCGGGATCGCTCAGGTTTGAAATCAAAACAGTGACAGCAGTCTCTTAAATCTCAACAAACCTGAAATAGACGAAGTCATAGTTATCTTGATCTTCAGCGTTTAAAAACACTCCTGGATGACCAAAGTTGACTCTTCCACTTCCAATGAAGTTGTACATATCGACTGAGAGCTGGTAACTTGATGTACTTCCGTCTCTAAGGTAAGCTACTTGACAGAAGCCATCCTTCGGCCAACGTCCGTGGGAAGCGTCCACTTTAGTGTATCCAGGTAGCTCATTAACCTGCGTGTATCCGTTAGATGAACAAGATTTAGCGTAGGAAAATCAAGTGCTAAAATGCCCCTTCACCAGCCACCCCCCAGGGAAGGGGGATGGACTCCTATATAAAAAATACGGGGAACCCTTACGAAGATTAATCTGGAGGTGACTGAGGGTTTATTTCAACCCTTAAGGAGATTCGTCTAAAACCGACAACTTAGAAAAAGCAAGAGTCATTATGGCTCTTGCAAAAAGCCGCTATTGTGATTTTAACTTTGGTAAAAATGGTGATACCGAATATTAAACGAGTGAAAGAAATATAAAGTTCGGAGAACACGTTATATTATGAGTCAATTTATGGTCGACTCGAGGAATTCTCGTCAACTAAAGTTAGGTCGCTTTAGAATTTTTGTAAAACTGAAGTCGCTGATGAGAATTTTTCTCATATTGGCCGTTTTCACTCTGGAGACGGATTATCCGTTGAATAATTCGCGCCAGATAGATAATACGACTTAATTTGAAAATGAAACGGTTTTAATTTTGGATGAAAAATCCGCCTGACTTTGTCCATCTGTTCATCCGTTAATTTTGACGGATTTTGCAGATGGATTATCCGTCTCTAGTGTGAAAACGGCCATTGTCATCGACTGATCGATGTCAAGTACTGCTTTGGTGATGTCGAGGTTTTACACTACCTTTTTGCATCTTTTAGTAACGAGCGTTTGAGGCGCAACTTTAAACTTCTTGAAGAGGATCACATTTTTGTAAGCAAGGAAAGTGAACACTCCTCCCCAGGCCCTTGGAGCAAAATGGGACTTGACGGACGCCACCAGGACTCCACTGTGGTACACTTGTACGTCTTGACCGTGCACCGTGACCGAGACTGGGAACCATACACCACCCTTTGGAGGTCCATTAGGACACGCGGCACTCTTTACGAAATTCAACTTTCCATTGGCCATGTACCCTGTCTGGTAACATCCGCTGGCCGAGTGCGGTCTAATTCATTTTCAATAAGAGCATAAGAAAATCGACGTTAAAACTAGACGATCTCGTCTCTCTTAACTATGGTGTACTTCACCTATCGTGTGGCAAGAAATTTTTGTGTGTTCTAATTATAATTCTTCGGATTTTTTCAGCGATCGGCAAAAAATAAGTTCCCGCAAATAAAAATTACAGCAAACATTTTTCCCCCAAAGTATTCCAGAGTAAATTTTCTGTAACTTAAATTCGCTACACAAAAATTCAGTACTAAGAAATCGTGTCTGTTCAATCACAACTTGTCTCTTTCATTCAGAAACAAAACGGTGTACAATGAAATACTAGTTTATGGTTTGAAAATATGGATTTCTATTGCACGTACTCAATTAAAAAGGAAAATATTGTCAATGCTGGGTACTGGGTACTTTCTGAAAATAGCAAAAAGTAATTCCCAGCACGAAAAACCAATCTGTCCTAATCTCAAACTGGCAAAACAAAAAATCGCCAATCCGCAAAAATTAACTCTCGCAAAAATTTCGTGCCACACGGTATCTGTGCACTCATGTTGTCAAGAGGACTGTGCAATGGACCTCTCAAGCTTATATGTTTTGTTTCCTAAAGGTAGGTTATGTGATAAAATATTCTAATACTCTGATTGACGATTGCATATCAGAGTCAGTATTCCTTACTTTGTATCCTGCGCCTGTGTCAGCTCATTAGATTAAAAGTGTGACAAAAAAATATTTAACAATTATTCCTCGAGCCCGAATGGGCTCCGAGTCAATAGCCTATGAGGCCGAATAATTGTTTTAGTATAATCCAATTAGTTGGTCGAAAATATCGAGACAAAACAACTACAGCTAGCAAAACGCGATTCAGCCGCCATTGTTTTGGTTTTCAAAGCCGGCGCTTTTCGCTACTAGTGGGCAATACTAGTGGGCTATAACATATAGCCTAGTAGTAGCTCAACCAATCAGAACGCAGCATTGATAATAGACCACTAGTTGGATTTTACTAGTTCATAATAGACCAAACTCACCGGAAGTAAACAAAGTCAAAGTTGTTTTCATCCAAAGCGTTGTACAGTAGTCCGGGATGTCCGCTGTTTATTCCCTTCCAACCCATCTGGTTCAGAAGTTCCGCTGACACGCTATAAGCCTGTGTTTCGTCAGTTGGATGAGAAAGTGCTCTACATATACCTGACCCTGGGTTCCTGGCATCCAGCGTGAAGTGGTTGTCGTTAATAGATTTTACCATGCTTGCGCATTGAACTACAGCAGAAGCCGAAAACTTGCTACCATCTGGGATAAGAAAAGAAAGTACATATTATTAAAAAGAAACTAAGTCTACATTATTTTTAGCTTCCATTTCGTTTATTTTTAGTCTCTACTCGTTTTTCCCTAAGTGGAAGACATAGTAGTCCGCCTGAGACATTCAGATCGATCAGCAGATACTAAATTTTACAAGGTTTTAGTCTAAAATTACCAAAAGTTCAATTTGGAACGAATTGGAAAGAGCTATTAAGTCACAGACTAGTCACCAAACGTCTTACCTTCTGTACACAGGGCCGTTTACCAAACAATTTCCTATTTTCTTTGAATTGCTTTTTCAAACTATCCTGTTTTTGTTGTGGTCGGGTACACAGGGAACTAAAATGTAACACCCACGAGCATTTTTGTCTGATTTTTGGCAACATAGCCTTTCTTACTAACTCGAGTACCCTAATTTCCAAAATCATTTGTTGCCAAGCTCAATTCTTGTGTTAAGATGGTATTTTAGGGCATTTTATTATTATGTTTTTCTTGTTCAAATAAGGAGTTTTTTCCTTTAACAATTTTAAGTTACATATAACCAGAAGCACTTTAAATTTGTGATAAGGTGTACTGTAAAGATAATTAAGAAAAATTCTGAGAGTTTTTATGCTGCTTCTACGCATGTTAAAGCTGTCCCTAGACAAATGACCACGCCCTTCGAATAGAATGCTTATTTTTGGTTCAGTTACTTTTTGAGGAACAAATGTACTAATTGTATTAACAAAACGCTGCAATTAAAAACATGCAACCATTTCAACATCGTCCATAACACGTCTCTGTGGTAACTGCAAAACCTCTCTGTTCTTTTACTAAGCACGTTGTGGTAAAAACGTTTACGGGTAATTTAATGGTGAAAACTAATGACAAGACAAAGGGTGTCCAGAAGTGGCTAGATCTGACTAGATGAAGAGTGGTGACATTGTTTTTATCAAGAAAACTTGTTCCGTGCTTAGCAGATGGGCTCTATCCTCCACCTGGGTTTCCATATTGGTGCTCAAACATCAACGATGTCGTTTTATTTAACATTCACCACGATGCGGACCACTTGATCCACAAGAAAGAGTGCCGGGGAGAGATGAGAGCAAGTTAATGAAGCTGCAAATGCACTTCACTAGAAAACTTTGGGATGCTCTTCTCCCAGACCAAAAAAATCCTGCCTGTGATGACCTCGGAAATTGAGCAGTCCTTTGTCCAAGTTGTTCTAATTGAAGGGACACACTGAGGTTGAAAATTTGTGGAATGTTAAGGAGGCTACTTTCTTCAGACGGAAAAGAAGAACGGCATTACAAAGTTAAAAGTGCTAGAACTAGCTTCGAGAAAAACAATTCTACGCGTAGACAAGAGAATGTTATGTTGTCTATAGTTACAGCTTATGAATTGAGGAGCGAGGTAAAAATACACACCATATAAAAACATGAGTTAATGCCAGTGACACTGTCTTTCGCAGAAATCATGAGCCATAACATGCGAACGGGACACAAGTCTTTTTAGCAGACTTTCTGACAAAGAAAGCCAAGTGCCCGGAGTCAATCACACTTTAAGGAAATGCTGGTTTGTTCATCGATGGCTAATTTCTTCGATACAACTTATGCAGTCCCAGAAAAAGCAAACCATTCGGAGGCTTTTTGAGCTGCCACGTAGACTTTGTGTTAAAGGGAAGGTTTGGATCATAGAGGATCGTCGTGTTATTCGATCGTTATCAGAGGCAATCCACTAACAAGCAACGACAAGAAGTCGACGCTCAAAGAAGGCTCCATTGCAAGTATTTCTTGAACTAGGAGACAATAAAACGGATTTAGCAAAGTCTTTGACTCTCTTAGACGAATGTATCGCATAAGCAGCCGCTCACACTACAATCGTCGTATGTATCTGGTGGTTGTTCAAATTAAAAGTAATTTTCCTTTCAGGTCCTACCCTCGATGTAGCTGTTTTGAAATCCAACCACGAAGAAGCCGATAGCAAATTTTGTTCTTTTGTTCTCCATGTAATCATTTCTAATTATATAACGGGCATATCAACGCTGTTTTGCACCAGACACACATTCCAAAAGCGGTGCATCGGCACCCTGAGGGGACAGGATGAAGGCTGAAGCTGAAAATCTACTGGTCCCTGTCTTTATGATCTTCGATCCAATCCCAGAGACTTGTCTGCAGCGAATTTTAAACTGTTTCGCCACTACTGAGCTGTGCTGTAAATATAGTGAGTTGCATGTCCTGTGCACCCGGCTGTATGGATGTTCTTAGGCCGACCCTAACTGATGTGTCAAACGGCACTAGTTTATGTTAAAATCAATGTTGAATAATTTAAGAAAGTTTAGAAAATTTATTTACAATATTTACAATACTAATCAACAAATTATATTTGGCCGAATGAAACCTTAGAGTAAGGGCAACGTCCTGTCATGTTCTATTTTAGATTTTTACATGAATTCTGCGAGTCATTATATGAACTCGACAAAGTAAATGGTAAAATGCATGACTTAGGTTCAACAATACAGTCAACTCTCTCTAAGATGGACACCTTTGGGACCGGCACTAAGTGTCCGCCTTAGAGAGGTGTCCGTCTTATATAGAGTCAAATAAAAGGAGTAAAAAGATTGGCAGGGACCAACTATAAGTGTCCGTTTTACAGAGGTGTCCGTCTTCTAGAGGTGTCCATTAAGAGAGAGCCGACTGTATACTAAAACTAAACTGTATACTAAAAATACTAAAACGTTATCTCCACATATAACTTTAAAAATGTTTTCCACCAAAATATCACAACTATACAAGGAGTATAGAGTTCTAAAGTGTGACGTCATAAAAAATAAATTTGTGAAATTATGGGATTTGTCGGGATATTCTGAAAGAACAAGGTCCAGGAGGCCTACTTCATGAAAAACTAGAATTTCGGAGCAAATTGTCTCTGAGATATTAGCCCAGTTATGTTCCGATGGCTCCATACAAATCCCTCTACATTTGATTCAGTTCATAACATTAGGAACCGAGTCAAATTTACAGTTTCTTTTTTTCCTGATTGCCTTTTACTCTATTTTACAGCAATAGGCTGCTTCTTCCTTTTATACATTTAATTGCCTCTATTTTATTTACACACATACTGAATTTACGGTGTGAAAAATTACGCGACAGTGAAAATCCACCCGAACTTTTATAAACTTCCAAATATGTATCTCTCATAGCCAAGAAAATTATTTGAAAGAGAAATTATAGCCTGTAACAGACGTTTCTCCTCGTTCATTGCCGCTGAGAAACGTCTGTTTTCGCCGGCTAAGGAAATTAAAACCCACAGCCTTCGCATATTGCGCTCTAGAAGGACCCTTCGATGCAACAATTTTCAATGGGCTCAGCCCTAATGCCCGGAGAGGTACTTCCTATGATGGCCTATACGGGGAGGCTCCGCCCGAAAGGGGTCCCTTTTTAGGCCTCAGGTATATAAAAGAAAAGGGATTTCATTCGTATTTAAAAGACAATACATTTACAGCAGTTAAAAGAGATGCAAAGTTCTAAACGAGGTATGTAAAAGATGAAAGCGAAGAATGATCATCGCAGTAAATTTTCCGATTTAAGCAATTGGAAAGAAGAAGCCTGAAAAAAAAACAGGGCTTCAATGGGATTCGAACCCGTGACCTCCGCGTTACCGATGCGTTGCTCTACCAACTGAGCTATGAAGCCACACATTGGGAGCGAGGTCAATTTATTGACTTCATATCTCCTGTGAGGAGTGAAATGATGTGAAGTATATATGAAATAATTCATGTAAAAGAGTTACCCTCCCCAGGCCCTAATGCCTGCTATGCGCGGGTCGCCTGCAACGCAAGCTACCCTAAATTCCATTTTGCATGCCTCTATACGAGAGATGCCGCAACGTGGTGCATAATTTTCACTCTAAGAACTTTCACCGCGCTAGAGATTTTTTTATTAGTGGAGTTGACCAAAAAAAACTAAATGCTCATTAACCTTACCTTCATCACAGCGACCACCAAGTATCGCGCTGTGTTCTTTAACCTTCTTCTCCAAACGATCTTGCCGGTTCGAGACGTTATCGAGTAAATTGCATACGTTTCGAACTGTACATTGTTGCTGGCTTGTTGAACTACCCTCAGTGCCATACACGTTCAACAGCAATAGAGTACAGACGATAAAGGAAGCAAAGTGTTCCATGTTTTGTGACTAATCTTCGTGTCAAATAGCGTGCCCTAGCAAGTGCCTTTTATATCATTATAACCCTTACAGCCGTGACGCACAATAATCCCATCAAATATGTTTTCTCCTCGTCAAAGGTGGATGCTCCAATAAGAAACATGTTCTAGCACAAATTACGCTGAAACGTCTTGAAACGGTAGCGACAGGAAGTCGATTTATCGCTTGATCCTGGTTGATATTAAGGACCTTAAGCAACGACGACGACGGCAGCAAAAAAGTCGCTAAAAAATGAATTTGCCTTCTTTCAAACTTAATCGCGTCTACTTTGGACCCGCTAAAAATGTCACATGCAGGCGACTTTTCCTGGAGTTGAATTCGTAAGGATTTTATTCAGGCTCAAAAAGAGGAAGGAGCCGATTCGTCGTCGAATGTCCTCGTCCTCTGATAAAACGTCAAATTAGGAGTTTTCACGTCGTAGTCGGGCAGTGTGGACGTCAAAGAATGGACTAAAAAGCGTTATGCACGTGCAGAGCTGTTGTTTTGATCATTAAACCTATTGCCAGTTTTGAAGTTGTCGTCGTAGTTGCTTAAGCTCCCTATTAATAAAGAAAATAGCTTAGCATCCGGTCACGGCGGGATTTCTTTGGGCAGTAATCGAGTAAAATGAACAAATAACAGCACGTAACCTTTTTTTTTTAAAGAGGGTGGACGCAAGGTTTAGGTACTTCCACTTAATAGTTGATTCTCGATCTTTTAATGTCAACCTTCCAAATGTCCTTAATTGGGTAACAATCTGTTAGGTGAAGCTCGTAATTACATACCATTTCTAACGAAGACGAGGAAAAGAGACAGTTCTCTTTAAAAAAGGGCTCACAATATATTTTTTTCTGAACGTGCTTTGACCACCATGGCTTGTAGTCAACAGATAGCAATCCAACAATCTGGAGGCTGGCCATTATTATATCGGGCACTTGTCGCGCGACAAAACTTCACGTGTAAAGACCCTGTGATGTCAGCGCAATTTGACGCAGGCAACTCGCAGTCAATTCTCTGTTCATAAAAAAGCAACGTTATTTGGGAATTCCCGTAAGCGAAAACCTCAGGACAACAAATAGAAAAGTGATAAAAGAAATGGTTTAAGTATGAATAATTCCTGGAGGGTACTCAACAAGTTTTATACAGGGAGGCTCTTCCCCCCCCCCCTGCCGAGGTCTCACCCTTTATCCTTTTATACACCCTTTTTGACAGAAAAGGTACTCCTTTCATATACCTTCAGGAAATTTTCTCTTTTCTGTTAGCCCTTTTAGGTCTTTTTACCGACGGAAATAACAGGTTTGGCTACCCTTTATATACTTCAACTGGTGAAATCCCTACCCTGATAAAGGTACGAACTCCTTTCGGGCCGAGCCTCGGTGTATAGGACATTATGGGGAGTACCCCCCCGGGAAATAATTAATTGTATTGTATAAACACCAATGAAATACCAAGTCAGCTTTCGCGCGAAAACTTGATATCTTCACATGTGAAAATAACTAGCCTGTGAACAGGCTCTCTGTTTGGGGAAAAAGGCCTGTTCACAGGCTAGAAAATAACATGTTATCTTTACATGTGAAAATATCTCCATTGCTATGGCTTCATAATAAACCGCACCTTTCAAACCAAAAAACTTTTAAAGTAAAATGGTTTGGCATTTCATTATCGTGTTGGAAAAAATATTTCACTCGTTCGCTGCGCTCACTCGTGAAATATTTTTCAACACTCGAAGAGAAATTTCGTATCTCCGCGCGGCCATGTAATATCCTCTATATTCAACGTAAAAGAGACATTAGAGGATAAACTTGATCTGATCTGATTTCAAGTCAACAACCCCATGTTGTGCCATCGGAGGCAATACGAGAAGCAGGCCAAGTAGAATACTCAAGGATTTTTAATTGCAGAATGCTGTAGAAGATGATTACAGGATCAAGGACCAAGGTCAACTAACTCTTCTCAAGCAAACGCTTCCAATTCATTTCATTTATACCATCTTGCTTTGAATTGAGAGACAAACTTGTCTCCGGAATAATTAATCCTACTGATTGTTGAAAATAAGCAATGATTAATAGATTTAAAATTATCTTAAACAATTAATTTTAAAAGGAATCAGTGATATAAATTCAAGTAGCTTTTGCAATACTGTAATACTTTGTTATAGTCATGCAATGTTTATCTTGCCTCCATTTTATTTACGTGATTAAAATTAACGTGCTTTAATGTGCGTGACCAAAAACGCGTCAGTGGAAATCAACCTGTACTTAACAAACCTCTCATCGCGTTTGTTTGCTTCTTAGTAAGAACGAAATGTTTCTACTCTTTGGCTTTAGGCTTTGCGTGCGGAACCTTGCTCTCAATGTTGACGATAAACGGCTTAAAGAAATTTTCAGCACCGTGGCAGGACAAAATGCATTTTCAAGAAGGTGCTGATAATTCGCAGGTTCAAAAAGAGGAAGGAGCCGGTTCGTCGTCGTATGTCCTCGTCCTCCATAAAACGTCAAATTAGGAGGTTTCACGTCGTAGTCGGGCAGTGTGGACGTCAAAGAATGGACTAAAAAGCGTTATGCACGTGCAGAGCTGTTGTTTTGATCATTAAACCTATTGCCAGTTTTGAAGTTGTCGTCGTAGTTGCTTAAGCTCCCTATTAATAAAGAAAATAGCTTAGCATCCGGTCACGGCGGGATTTCTTTGGGCAGTAATCGAGTAAAATGAACAAATAACAGCACGTAACCTTTTTTTTTAAAGAGGGTGGACGCAAGGTTTAGGTACTTCCACTTAATAGTTGATTCTCGATCTTTTAATGTCAACCTTCCAAATGTCCTTAATTGGGTAACAATCTGTTAGGTGAAGCTCGTAATTACATACCATTTCTAACGGAGACGAGGAAAAGAGACAGTTCTCTTTAAAAAAGGGCTCACAATATATTTTTTTCTGAACGTGCTTTGACCACCATGGCTTGTAGTCAACAGATAGCAATCCAACAATCTGGAGGCTGGCCATTATTATATCGGGCACTTGTCGCGCGACAAAACTTCACGTGTAAAGACCCTGTGATGTCAGCGCAATTTGACGCAGGCAACTCGCAGTCAATTCTCTGTTCATAATCGAAAGTACGAGAAAATCATACCACTGCCATGCTTATCCCGTTTAGGAAAAAAGCAACGTTATTTGGGAATTCCCGTAAGCGAAAACCTCAGGACAACAAATAGAAAAGTGATAAAAGAAATGGTTTAAGTATGAATAATTCCTGGAGGGTACTCAACAAGTTTTATACAGGGAGGCTCTTCCCCCCCCCCCTCCCCTGCCGAGGTCTCACCCTTTATCCTTTTATACACCCTTTTTGACAGAAAAGGTACTCCTTTCATATACCTTCAGGAAATTTTCTCTTTTCTGTTAGCCCTTTTAGGTCTTTTTACCGACGGAAATAACAGGTTTGGCTACCCTTTATATACTTCAACTGGTGAAATCCCTACCCTGATAAAGGTATGAACTCCTTTCGGGCCGAGCCTCGGTGTATAGGACATTATGGGGAGTACCCCCCCGGGAAATAATTAATTGTATTGTATAAACACCAATGAAATACCAAGTCAGCTTTCGCGCGAAAACTTGATATCTTCACATGTGAAAATAACTAGCCTGTGAACAGGCTCTCTGTTTGGGGAAAAAGGCCTGTTCACAGGCTAGAAAATAACATGTTATCTTCACATGTGAAAATATCTCCATTGCTATGGCTTCATAATAAACCGCACCTTTCAAGCCAAAAAACTTTTAAAGTAAAATGGTTTGGCATTTCATTATCGTGTTGGAAAAAATATTTCACTCGTTCGCTGCGCTCACTCGTGAAATATTTTTCAACACTCGAAGAGAAATTTCGTATCTCCGCGCGGCCATGTAATATCCTCTATATTCAACGTAAAAGAGACATTAGAGGATAAACTTGATCTGATCTGATTTCAAGTCAACAACCCCATGTTGTGCCATCGGAGGCAATACGAGAAGCAGGCCAAGTAGAATACTCAAGGATTTTTAATTGCAGAATGCTGTAGAAGATGATTACAGGATCAAGGACCAAGGTCAACTAACTCTTCTCAAGCAAACGCTTCCAATTCATTTCATTTATACCATCTTGCTTTGAATTGAGAGACAAACTTGTCTCCGGAATAATTAATCCTACTGATTGTTGAAAATAAGCAATGATTAATAGATTTAAAATTATCTTAAACAATTAATTTTAAAAGGAATCAGTGATATAAATTCAAGTAGCTTTTGCAATACTGTAATACTTTGTTATAGTCATGCAATGTTTATCTTGCCTCCATTTTATTTACGTGATTAAAAGTAACGTGCTTTAATGTTCGTGACCAAAAACGCGTCAGTGGAAATCAACCTGTACTTAACAAACCTCTCATCGCGTTTGTTTGCTTCTTAGTAAGAACGAAATGTTTCTTCTCTTTGGCTTTAGGCTTTGCGTGCGGAACCTTGCTCTCAATGTTGACGATAAACGGCTTAAAGAAATTTTCAGCACCGTGGTAGGACAAAATGCATTTGTCAAGAAGGTGCTGATAATTCGCAGCAAAGATCGCGTGGACAGTTCGGGCCGGGGACGTTCTATGGGATATGGCTTCGTGGAGTTTACCAATCACAACGACGCTTTGGCAGTCCTGCGCGCAACCAATAAAAATCGAGACATATTTGGCGCCGATCGCCGCCCGATTGTTGAGTTTTTATTGGAGAATAGCCTCGTTGTCAAGGTGAAACAGCGGCGGTTAGACAAAGCTCGACAAAGGCAGCAGCCAGGTCGAACAGCCCAAGACAAATAAAGAGAAGAGACTGGAGCCAATCAGAAACGGAGAGAAAACGGCAGAGAAAGAGAGAAGCGAACAAGGAAAGGAAGGCAAGAAGAGAAACGTGACCCAGGAAGCAAGGAGGACAAAACTCCAAACAGCGATGTAAAGTTCCAAAGAAAAAGTAGTAAAAATTCATGGAAAGCGAAAAAAGGAAAGAGGACATCTTCAGCGGAGCTAACAACTCCGCGAAATCTTGGTAAAACTGATCGTCAAAAACAAAGAAAGTTTCCACCATTTCTTCGAACGTGAATAAATCCTAATATACAGATTTAGCCAGGGCTAAAAGCGAAGCTGCCATTAATAATTTTATAATTTAAATCAAACAATAAACTTGTAATCCACAAATTAGTTAGCTTAAGGGCACATTCATGTGACTTTTGAGGGAAAGGCTAAGTTTTTTTAGAGTGAAACATCTTACATCGAGTTGACAGCCTTATATGTACACCCAAAAAAATAGCAAACATCTTCGATCACATTCAAGAGCCATAATGGCTCTTGATCACGGTAGATTAGGCCTCGAAAACAAATTCTTGGAAGACAAATCAGGCCGAATTTTTTTGCGTTCGACAGGTTTACTTTACAAATTCTTGCCGATAAATCTGGGGGTGTGTAAACCAACCTTTTACACTTTTTATACATCACATCTGAGATGAAACAGTACTATTTATCATACAGACCTTGGAGAGAATGCGGTATTTCACAATCTTTCAAGACAAATTGCACTTAGTCATTATTCAGGACGATCAATCTTGGGCTTTTAGCGAAACCGTTCAAAAAATTTCTAAAATAACCCATACGGCCAGCCGGTTTTCATCACTCCAGTGCGAGCTCTCAGTGTGGTCGAGTGTTTGAATGGACTTTAATAGAGTTAGGCTTCAACATCATAACGAAATTATTATTATTATTGCCAACGAGCCATCCGAGCGAAGACGCTCGGATGGCGAGGCGGCAGCAGAATAGAGCCGCGCAAGACTGGGCAATAGGCAGAAAAATTCTCGATCGAGCTGAAAAAAGTGTAACCTAATGAAACCTAGGGCGCTTTCCATTTACCAAAAAAACCCGGAAATTTCGGTGGTAGCAAAAGTGGAATTTCCGATCGGTAAAAAGTTGTTCCATTTGGTCGTAAACCCCGGTACGTGGCCGGGTGCCCGACCGTGGACCTGGAACTGGTACAAACTACAAGAAACGTCAATGGAACACGACATTCCGTTCGGAAATTCCAACCGGGAAAACGGGACCACCTTTTTAGATTTTCCACTTTTTCTGGGAATTTTCCAGTGGGACGAACCGACGACACGTGTTCCATTTACCGCCGAACCGGAAATTCCGGAAATTTTGACTAAATGGAAAGCGCCCCTGATGTAATGTAGATTCCCCTGAGACCAAGTGGTCAGTTGTGAACCAATCAAAAGGCAGTACCTGGCGCACGGGCTCAAGTTGAATAACAAACAAAATTTCACACACTTCCCGCCGTCGCGACTTCCTGTGTTTATTTACCTAAATTTTTTCGTCAAACCTGGCCACCGCAGTCAAGAGACTTGAGCACTTGATATATTCTATTAATTTTAGGGGCCATAATGTTAAGTTTTAACGAAGAGAAGTTTGTAAAACAGCAAAAGTGTTCTATGTGCATCAAGCAATATTCTCACCGCTAAAAAGGATCAGATTACAGGAGGAGATAAGGAAAGCTTTACACCAAGAAGGCAGTCGCTTCTGTTGGAAAATCTGGTGTTGGGGAAACAATCTAACCAGCAAACAAAAATAATGAGAACAAAAACGAATTACAAGCCTAAAGCGAACGACAAAGGAAAAGAAAACAACGCCATTTTTTTCGAAACGTGGCCTAGTTCAGTATAAAAATAATGAACTAAAATTAAATACCGACGTGCCGTACATCGCATGTCCTTGGAAACATTTCAGATGGCCCAGCGAATCATTCCAAGTTTCAATCCGATAACAAAAAGCCTCGGGAAATTTGAAAGGAGGTTTAAATGATTAAACTGTGCAAATATTTATCAACAATGTGAAACCGAACCGACAGTAGATTTGTAGCTGGACTTAATAATATTCCCGATCGCTTCCTCTGCAAAGCTGACTTTATTCTTTCAAGGCACTTCATACTTTTTACAAAGCAGGTTTGTAAAGCAACCAGACTGAATCTGAGAACTTTTCAAGAAAATAATCCTTGCCAACCAAGAAACGGTCAAATGGGAAAAAAAGGAATTTTATTCCTAAGCAAAATACGCATGATTTGCTCGTTGGCACTCTATCGATAGGTATACCTAGTTATATTTTTTGTTATTTAATGGTTTCAGTTATAACGATGTGTAATATAATCTTATAAAGCGTTTGATACGCGCGACATTTTTGAGTACTCCTGCAAGCGATGTTCATGAACGATGAAAACAAACGGCACGTACAAGCGATTAAAATTGCGAGAGAGACTACTAACAATCAATAAAAGAAATATAATTCGGTGAAACATTTACAGAGAAAACAATTTTCATTCACAAAAACAGGTATTAAAGTGTCTCTAAAAATCCTGAGTCTTTTTTGGGGGGTGTTTGCTTTTTTCAAAAATGAATTCTTCGCAGCAAGAAAATCGCTCAAAGTTTTCTTTCTACAGCCAGATTTATAACTAAATATTCTTCAGGACGTTTTCTTTCTATTTGCGGTGAGAAAATATATCTGAAGGCCTTTTAAAGTTCTGTAAGCTTATATCAAACTTCAAAATGATACTAGGTCAGATCATTGACACAAATCTTATATTACAAACGTGTATAAACGTGCCGCATAAACTGTGCTCGACTTCGTGAAATTAGATATGACAAAATCGAACATCAAATGCAATAATTACTCAGGCTTACCAATCGAGATTCAGTTGCTGAAAGGTATCAAGGAAGGCCACAGTTGCTTGAGACTATTACACCCTCTTACGCATTAAGCAAGGTGAAAAACGAAAACGGTGCCATCCGAATTTTGACACTGAGGGACGCATTTCTAACCAAAAATCCAATAAACGAATCAGCCATGAATAACAAAAGACTCTTGATATCAGCTGCATTTCACTTTGTACCTCCGGTGGAAAAAGATATAGTTAAGAACATCACAAGTTGACACAAAACTCTGTCAGCTTCAGCTGTCAAAGTAAACAACTTTAAAGATGTTGCATAAATTTTCCGCATGAACTCACCCGTCAAATTTTGACCAACCAGAGCATAAAAATTGGACGTAGGGCGTGACCAACGCGTCACCATGGTAAGAAAACGTCTTCCCCGCCTGTATTTTTAAAAAACTGGCTCAATTTTTGCGTCCGAGATCAGTTTGAAGTCAAAATCTTAATAATGCGGGGCCGTAGTGACATAAACACAACATATGTCATATGAATCATTGGAAAAAAAACTTGAGCCTGCGATCATTTAAAACTGGTAATTTGTCAGCGGATAACTTCAAAAAATACTCGACCTCGATGGGTCGACACTTGAGCCCGCGATACGGTCAGGTAATACTAGTCAGCGGTTACCCTGTTTTGACAGCTGTCAATTGATCACAACATTGATGTGCAATTAGTTTTGTCCTGGGCTCCTAAACTAGCTAGAAAGTGTGAGAGTAGACATTGGTTTCCCTGTGGTGCGGACGGACGGTCGTTGGTTCGTTCGGTGTACGGTCACGTGATTACCAAATTTTCTGGGAAAGGTAGGTTTCCTTAGCTATGGGGCTCCGCCCACGTGTGCGCCTCGCGCCGCGCGTGGAGCTCCACTATAATGATCCTGCGGTAGCGAAAGCCAAATTACCAGCGGCTATAAAGGATAACAAAAAGAAGAAACCTCTGAAAGGACGGGGGAATATTGCTAAAACTTTTCACGAAAGAGCTGATTCATTTATTCACACCAACGCAAAGAATGAAGTGACGAATAGAAAAAGGAAAGGAGCTAGGCGGAAAAAGCAAGAGAAAAAAGACGAATCCAACTTCACCGACATGGTGAACAAATATAAGAACAAGTTGTTTGCAAGGGATGAAGGCGAAGTTCATGCTAAAAACGTTCGAGCTGGCTTGATGATTGATTATTTTCCGCTCATAGTCAAAATCTTTTGAATTATTGTTTAATCACAACGTGTCGAGAGTTGAAACTTTTTTTGTCAGTTTGCAGCTTGCCGTAAAGATGAAATCTTGTTGGTCTTTTTTTTATCTTGCATGTAACTCGCGGTTTCTGCGATCATGGCAGTAAATACCCGCATGCAACAATCTTCATTGTCAAAGGTTAGCTTTAACAGATTCTAACACAAGTGGTAATAAGCACATTTTTTTTCACACCGTTATGCTCCAATTACTTTATTATAAATCCTTCTAAAATACGCCTGGACGGTTACGATCCAAGTCAATTTTAGAAGGATTCAGTGTATGGAAAGTCATCAGAGTATTACAGTACTTATATCTCACCACCAATATGAACTTACGGGCTGAGTTTAAGCAGGTGGGCATTTTTCATCTTGTTCTTTCTGTATATGCTAACCGATCCCATATTTTCGCAAAATTTTGTTTTTTTGAGGTCATCACTTCTCCTCTATATAGTATAGTGATCTATAGTTGCACTGAAAGACAAATGATTCCACAGAGCTTTACACAAAGGCTTTATATTTTATTTTTAATCCTGTCAACGACATTTGAAAGCAAGCTGCAACTTGTTATCCTCGATGCCAAACCACAAGCGATCGACACTACAGTTGTATATGGTTTTAACCCTGTTAAATCTAACTGTTATTAAGCCTTTGCTTGAAGAAGCGGTTCTTTATGTTGGCGCAACAGACTTCCTTACAACAACTTGAAGTTCTTGTAATACACCACGTTACTGTAACCATTGGCAACCAAGACACCACCACGTTTTCTGATTGGACAGCGCGGGTTGAATGACGTCACCAATGTTCCTTTGAGGTAGACCTTCACTTTCCCAGCAGGTGCGGAGTTCGACATTACCACCCTGATGTTGAACCACTCTGCTCCCTTGGGGGGACCGTTGGGGCAAGAGCCGGACTTTGCCCCGTCAAATTTTGGTTGACCTTTGTAAACGTAACCCGTCTGAAAACATCCGCTGGATGAATGAGGCCTGGGAAATAAAAAGAAACAATGCATAAAATTAAGCAAATGGAATCAAACCTAAAAGGTTTATTGCATAACCACGCCACGAAAACAATGTTTCAGCTAATATAGCACTCCTTATCTTCACATAGATTTCTAATACCCCGAAATCATTTCCGTAAACTGAACTGGTCATAAGAAGGTTTTTTAAAATTCAGATTGTCGCTCAGATTTGAAACCAAAATAGTGACATCTTCCCTCTTACGCGTGTATAAATTGCGACAAACCTGAAATAGACAAAGTCATAGTTGTCTTGATCTTCGGCGTTTAAAAACACTCCTGGGTGACCATAGTTGACTCCCCCCCTTCCCATGAAGTTGTACATATCGACTGAGAGCTGGTAACTTGATGTGCTGTCATCTCTAAGGTATGCTATTCGACAGAAGCCATCCAGCAGCCAACGTCCGTGGGCAGCATCCACTTTAGTGTATCCTGGCCAGTCAACCACGCGTTTGCATCTCTTGCTGACGTAAATGATAGGAACAGTTTTGAACTTTCTGAAGAGGATCACATTTTTGTAACCGTTATTAGCGAACACTCCTCCCCAGGCCCTAGGAGGAAAATGGGGCTTGATGGTTGCCACCAGGACCCCACTGTGGTACACCTGTGCGTCTTGGCCGTGCACCGTGACTGAGACTGGGAACCATGCACCACCTTTAGGAGGTCCATTAGGACACGCGGCACTCTTGACCCACGTCATCTTGCCATTGGCCAGGTATCCAGTCTGATAACATCCACCGGAAGAGTGAGGTCTGAATAGTAAGTTGTAGGGTATTTTGCAATCAGTAAGTCAATTGGTTAACTGATGCATGCGTACAGCACAACGCCCCTTTCCGAACCAATACTGAACTTACGCAACAGGACGGGAGAGGAAAGAAGGCGGCAATCTTTGTGTGAAAAACGTGACAGTAATTTTGTTCGGAAAAAACCTTCCGCCAAACTTCACCTTCATTCAAACAGATCTTTTTGTAAAAGACCAGAAAACATTAATGTTAAGTGAAGATCACGACAAAACACGCAGGTAATAGCCTTGTTAGGTTTGTCACACACAAACGTTTTGCCATCCTCTTCTTCCTGCCGTCCGCTAGTTTTTTATTTTTTTTTTTTTCACAAAATCGAAATTATACATTCCAGTAGCTTTTGATTAGTTGACTTTCAGGCACTGACTCGTCCTTAGACGTCTTTATTTGGGTTGATGGGAAGGAGGAAAACGGAAGTGAAAACATGCTGGAATTTACAATTGTTTCATCTGCGCTCATTATGCAACAGGCAAGGTTACGTGTTACACTTTGCAAAAAAAGTCAAATAATTGCAGTCGTGGATTCTTATTTTTGGACCAAACTGAGCCCTAAGGGCCGAAAAATGTTTTTGGGAGACCCCTCTTATCTAAAGGTCTGGATATCAGTTAAAATTGATAACAAATTAACCGAATCCTTTACTTGTCATGGCGGGGTAAAGCAAGGTTGCATGTTGTCACCCACTCTTTTTAATTTCTATCTAAGTGATCTACCAAAATTCCGAAATACGGCGAGTTCAACCAACATTATGCTAAGTGATAAATATATAAATTGTCTCTTATATGCGGACGATCTAGTGATCTTCTCTAGATCAGCAAGACAAAAATTAAGATTTTTAATAACTGTGGTAAGTCTTCAAACAACTACTTGTCCAGATACGGCGCTGATAAACTGGAAAAAGTCAAATCCTACAAATATCTTGGACTCATAATGAGTCCTTTTGGAAACTTTAATCTCGTTCTTCAAGAGCAGAAGAAAGTTGCACTTAAAGCACTCTATAAATTACGAAAAGAGATGGGAAACCACTTCAACAGAGAAAATATAAAATTAACGATGGAGTTATTTGATGCAGTGATCCGCTCCTATACTCTTTTGTGCGAGTGAAGTGTGCGGGATTGACTTCAATAGACAATTAGAAAAGGATCCAGCGGAATATTGGTTCAAAATAAATTCCTAAAGTGGTTGCTGGGAATTAATAAATACTGCAATAACAATGCGTGCAGGGCTAAGACAGGAATGTTCGCAATAAGAATTGAAGCCCAATGTAGGAACTTTAAGTTCTGGTTAACCTTAACTAAAAATGAAAACAGATTATCCCAAATAGCATACAATGACATTAAATGGAATGAAAATAAAGCTCTCTGGAGCAACAGAAACAAAATCTTATTGGAACAGATAGGAGTAGGAGAACTCTGGGTGAAAGCACACTATACGGACATAGGAATCGTAAACATGATCAGGCAAAGACTTAAGGATATCGAACTACAAAGATGGCTAAGTGAAATAAATAACGACACCAGAAAAGATGCTAACCACAGCAACAAAATGAGAACCTACCGGTTGTTCAAAATGATAGACAATTACAAATGTAAAGATTACCTACATCAGGTCACCTATACGCGACACAGAATAGCTCTAACAAAATTGCTTCTTAGCAACCACAAATTAGCCATAGAGACAGGACGTTATTCGAGACCGTTTAAGAAACCTGCAGAAAGAGTTTGCCCAATTTGTAAAATAGAAATGGAGGACGAATACCATTTTCTAAATATATGCCCTGCTTACCAGGAAAAAAGATGTTCGTTACAAGATTATTTGGAAAAAAATATAGAATAAAAATAAGCAGAATGTCACCTAACAAAATATTCATGTTTCTAATAAACCCCCCTAGCGGAAATGCTAAAATACAAAAACTAATAGCAAAACATATGTTCGAATGCTTTGAAAAAATGGAACGGGGAAGACGGCAAAAAGTAAATACTCAATAACTTATTGGCCATATATGGTTAGGAATTTTTTGTTGTTTGTAATTTTAGTTATTTGGAAATAGTTGACACTGACTATTTATTGTATAAAACTCCAAATAAAAAACATGTATGTATGTATGAAGTGACCGCGCCCCCTCCTTATCTCAAGGTATGGATCCAGCACTGAATTGTGCACTTTATTTTGACATAATAATTCTAGTGACTCATATTCAACCTCGTAGCCCAGGACCGTGAAAAAAAAAAAAACCTGGGGACGAAGATGACTCATAATTACAACACCATGGTTGAAACCGCTTCCTTTTTAGAGAGCTATCCTGTTTAAATCATGAAAAGCAAGGACAACAACGTTCCAGTAGTTTCTTGGTGTTGTGGACGGGTGCAATCACCTAATGACGTAATGCAAAAGAAGGAAAAGAAACTCAACAATATCAAAATCGCAACACAAACGCGAACCAACAATGGTTTCCGCAACCCCAACAAACACCCGACGTTACTCATAGTTTTATCATTGACCCCCATTCCTCCACAATTTTACCTCCCCCCCCCCCAACCTCCAGCTATTCATTGAGTGAACTTTGAGAGGTCTGTGAGCTAACAAATTTACCTAAAGTAAACGAAATCAAAGTTGTATTCATCCACAACATTAAACAGCAATCCCAGATGTCCACTGTGTATTCCTCTCCATCCGGCCTTGTTTAAGAGCTCCGCTGACACGGTATACGTCTGCGATTCTTCAGAAGGATGAGCGAGGACTCAGCACAACTGATAGAGGGTGGCTTGTGTGTTGAGCGTGTAGTATAAATTGACTGGAAATGATTTCACCAGGCTTGTACAGTCCACTACAGCGGCTACTGAGAATTTGTCTGTTTCAAGGACATAAAAGCAAAAATTTACGCGCTTTGCCTATTTGTTGATGATTAAGAAAGCATTTTCAAGGATCGGGGAAGGGTAGTAGTTTTCCTTTTCAGGTATTCCACTTTGTGACCCAGCTTTCTCCCTTGGGGAGAAAAAAAAGGAGAAAACCTCGGGCATGATGTTGTATTCTCGACGGCTTTTTTCGTTTTATTCGAAGTAGTCCGGTCTCATTTCGTGAAAAACAAAGCCGAAAAGTCGCGAACTTGCACTCTCAATCATGTCCCGAAACTAGTGCATAGTTTCATAGCTATTTTTCATATAGCGAATTACCTTGGGTCGTAGTAGGGCAATCGGCTAATCCCTCAACTTACTGCGCTTTTCACAAAAATGCGAATTCTGAAGTTCAAAAGCCAACTGACGCGGATTGCGTTTCTCGCTGCCGTCAATCACCTTAACGGACCTCTTAGGAAACAAAACTTTACTTTAACTGTTTCAAAAGGTCATGGTTTGTGATTGATGGATTTGGATCCGTTTTGTGTGTTTCTGAGTTTCAAGGTTCGTTGCTTGTGGTCGTAGTTATGATTGACGGCAGCGAAAAACGGAATTGTGAAGGCGGCTTTTGAACTTTAGAGTTAGCGTGTTTGGGAGAAGCGCAGTAAAGTCTTCTCTGATCTGACGGGTCGCACAGGTGAGTCGGTTCAAACCCCGGGAAAGCCAAAATAACAATTCTTTCTTCCTCGAATAAGTTGAAGAATGAAACAAAGAAATCGATGTGATCTCGAGATATCTCGAACTAACTCGGCTCTCACTTCGTCAAATAGCCGAATAAAACCGAAAACAGACTTTGCGTGGCCAATCCTGTCCCAAAAAGGTCAACGAGCGTCGCGAATCCTTTACTTCGCGCTCCGCCGAAGTAATAAACCTTGAAAACAGCTCACGCGAGAAAGGCGTGGGGTGATTTCAAGCGCGCTCGCGTTCCGCTTGCTCTACTATCCCTGAGGAAAAATGGGGACTACTCGACTTCTACTATTAACGTGACAAGCTGCACAGCTTTCGATTTTAACAGCTTTCCAAAATAACATTGAAATTTTTTCTCCAAATTAGAACTGTTCATTAGGAAATTGTTACTTGTGCTCTTACAGGGGTAAAGTACGGTCGGCGACCCAAAACAATAGTTTTGTATTTTAAAAAAATCGCTGAATAAACACGGGGGTCACTCTTTCATGTTAATTAATATTTTTACCTGTTTTTCACTGGTGTGTCTGCGAGGCTAAAACATAACTTGTTATTCCAGCAAAATACGATGTATACAAAGGAAAAGAGACGACTATTATTGTGATTGTAATAGAATGGGGTATAAACCTATAAGGTCCCGCATTGTCTTTTGTGTCGTGACAAGTCAAAATACGTATCACGTACTAAAAATAAATACGCAAAAGCTAAATTTAGCGGTCAAAGTAGAGCTAGTTTGCTACCGAATCCGCTAAAAGCTTATTTGTCCTGAACATTTCACCGATTCCCGGAAAGCTCCACGGTCCGCGGGATCTCAGTCAATCTTAAGCGAATTTTCTTTTCAACCTAAATAAAAATGATTAGAAAAAATAAAAGTGCCTTTATTTTTTACCCAAAAAGTTTTGTAAAAAATACATAAACAGACCAGAATCTTACTTTTCCATTTAAAAAACATGAAATATTAGGCGGCGCTGCCCATGTTTCTCATATGGCGCGAAAACTTACTTTCATATGACGCGCGGGGTTTTTGGTCGGACGCTCGGGAGGTCAAAGGATGTGTCTTTTCATGAAAAAATATTCACAAAATCCTGCTTGACTTGTTCAGAAAATAATTTGTTTAATTTTTAATAATTAACTAGCAGTTCACTGATTTATTAATTTGGGTTAGGAACTTGGAGGCCCGGGTGTAGCAGATTACGTCTCTCCTGCACACATTTGTTGTTGATACACTACTCAACTTTTCATCGCCATTCAACATACCGGTAATTCTTTCTTATACCAACACATCCCGCGTAAACGCCTTCAGGCGTCTTCTTATTTTAGGAAGTCTCCCTTAAGTTGTTTTGTACTATATTGAAAGCTGAAGAAGTTAGACCACCCCCTCCCCCCCCGTTTTTGAGGAATTAAATAGAAGACCCATACCTTAATTTTCTTGAGCTTATCTCTAAAGTAGAAAAGATATGTTGATTTGCAGTATCGATAGAAAGGTTGTACTGAGTCATAAAGTAGCCTAACTCACCAGCACTAACATAATATACCTCGTTATCTCCTTTGACGCCTCTTCCTTTAAGCTTTAATGATCTCAATGTAGTTTATTTTACGCGATCGTACTTTTTTTGGACGGACAAAAAGTGCCCTTACTCGCTTAGCCTGCGAGCAGCAGACGGATTTCCGGTCTTCGCTTCTCTCCCTACGAAAAATAGCCCCCCAGACGCTATTTTCGGAGGGAGCGAAGCGGCGACCGGAAATGCGTCTGCATTTCGCAGGCTATTACTCGCTCTGCAACTTTGGTAATCAGCGCTATAGGCAAGTTGCCCCCAACCCCCCAGCCCCCTCACCCACGAAGACCCGAAAGAGATTGTGGCAGAGAAGTCCAATTTATTGAAACGGTGATCCGTGCGAATTCGTGGTGACTTTCATTGCGATTTTCTCGAGTCTTCTCGAATCGCCAGTCTTGATGCACCGCTTACTGTAGCGGCGCATCTGACCTAGACATATTTTTTTGGTGGTAAATTCCGGCGTAGTCAATCGAACGTTGGATAAAAGATCGACCCAATCAAACTCCAATCGTTCGATTGACTTCTATTCAGGGCTGTCTATTGGGTTTGGTAATCAAACATAGTCGAACCCACTCAAATTTTACCAATCGAACACAATCGAACGTTCGGAAATAGAAAACTTTAGCTATCGACCATAATGAAAAATTCAAAAATCGAAGTTTCAAAAACTGAACACAGAACGAGTTTCATCTAAGTTTCACACAAGTCGTTGCGGTTAACAAGTAAGTTATGTGTTAGCGTCAATTTCAAACACGAGAACAAAGGTAAGATGTTGCCGGGAGAGAGCGGAAAGAGTGAAACCCAGCGTAAAACTACAATTCTGGAAGCGATCTGATGGATAAAGCGATGGATAAAGGCTGAGTTTTGGTTCGGTTTCGTTCGACTGAATACGCTGCGTAAATCCACCGATGAAACTTAGCCGCAAAATTCGAGCAACTTGGAAACAATGACTTCCTAAGGACATGTTTAAAAACCACGAAAAACTTTGGAAAACCCCACCCTTGCTTTATTTTTCGCTCCGTGACGCTCTTATTGAAAGCTAGGGCCAGCGCTTCTTCTATTTTCGATGAAAAGCTATTTAATTGGACCTGTATTCAAGTCTCTTTTTGGTTCGTTTCTTAACTCGGATATTGGAGGAAATCGGTACAATTTATAAGATCTCACTCTGTCCGCGAATAACCTATTTGGCCCCAAAAAGAGAGGAAGTGAATAATTAATTGAACCGCTTACAAAAGGGGCTGATATACCGTATTTATTGGAAAAACTCCGCGGCTTATCTTGGGGGACAGTATTTATTTCAAAAATCCGTATATAAAATTGCTGATAATAAAATTAGACACTTAAGGTCTTTTGTAAATACAGCAGGACTCCGGTAACTCGAACTCGGATAACGCGAACTCCCTAAGCCCCACCTCCCTTGGATTTGACCCTACTTTTCAGTCACTTTCATTTCTCTTTTGGATAACTCGAACTCGGATAACTCGAATTCCCCACTAACTCGAACTAAATGTCGTTTCTTTTGATCAAAATTAACCTCGATAACTCGAATTCTAAGGGGTAGCCAACGACGGTTTCCTTCTAAATTCATTGAAAACACTTTTTAGACTATCCAAAGCACTTTTAGATATATATCTAGAAATGTATTCTAAGTGGCGCTATAAAATTTGTATCTGTTCGGTCATCCTAGGGCCGGAAACTTGATTCTTTTCGAAATTACAAGGTCTTCAGTATTATTTTCCCGAAAATTTTAAATGCAATTTAACGTATTACGAAGGTAAGAATTTTTGTGATTCCTCTCTCCATCATGCACATTTTTTAATACAAAAACTTGAGGTTTTCTTTTATTCTACAAAAAAATAGCCTCTCCTGGGTAATAAAATGTGAAAATAAAACTTCAGAAAATCGTAGGAATTTATTAGATAGGCTTCGAAAATTGTGCATGAATAGAACGGTCATCTAGAAACTTGTCTACTAGTAGCTAGTAGCCGTCCTCAAGTAATAGAAAATTCTAGGCAATATTTGCTTCCCCGAACAGATATTTTACAGAAAACAGTTGTTGGGTGCCCCTGAATTCTGGTCGTTGGAACTCACCAAGGATGCCACCCCATTGGCTTTTTCTTGTCGTGCAATCGGTAAAATCCCTAAAAGTAACACAACAACATTTTTTCTTATATAGCAAGTGCAACGAACGGATCACGTATTTGACAGTCATTTCCCTAGTGTTTTATCATAGAAATGTCATAGAAATGCATAATCGCGTTACAATTCTGCTGGCAATCTGCTGTATACTGAAGTGCTGAAATGTCAGTAAACAAACATTCAGTAGTAAAGTGGGAAATTGAAGATTCAATCGATCTCGATAACTCGAACCCTCGCTAACTGCAACTGTTTTTTTTTTTCCTTCAGAGTTCGAGTTATCAGGGTTCTACGTACTGTGTTATGCAAAACCAAGAGAGAATCTTCAGGGCAAAACAGAAAAATGTTAAGAGTTCCTTTGTCTCTCTTTTTTGCTGAGGTAGAATCGTATTAATTGTCTGGATGGTGATAGACTGTGAAAACCAAACAGTTGTACCTAGTTTTTTCATATTACCCTAGAATAAACAACGCCTTGTTCTAATTGGATGCGGAGTTTATTCGTGTAAATCTATTCCCTACCATGTCACTATTTGACGATGGTAAGTTCTGAAGAAAATTTTGCCTTGTTACACTTCACTTTATTTTGAAGACAGTATGTTTTTGCATTTGCATTCAGAGCGAAGAGGGCATTTTAATAATTCATCAACCCTAAACTCGCAAATAAAGTGGTATTTGCTTCCGTCCTTCACTGTGAAGTGTGAGTACCTTACTGTGAATGCGCTGTCTGAATGACAAATTTCTTCATCAGAGACTTAGAGTTGGAAATGAGTCAATAATTTTTTTTTTAAACAAGAAAATGAAAAGATGTTAAGCTCTTAGACAAGAAGATATAGTTGCGGCTCATTGAGCTGTGACCCACCGTCAAGTTGTCATATTTTCATGTTTGATTTCCACTTCCGCTGAGCCTATTTTACATTTTATAGTGATCAGCTCTATTTCCCAACCTTACACATGACTATTTTGCTAATTTTGTTACCGTTATGCCGATTTGATTACCAGGTAAATTGGCCACCGTATTTAGATTCAAAAGGCAGGATGACTCTTCGAGCCCTATACAACTAAGCGCTATCTTTCGCCAGGTTCAATTTTTTTAATGTGGTTTCCATCAGCCTTCACTTGAAAAAATCCCTTTGTTGATAGTGGTCTTAACTTCAAAACAGCTTAATAAGTTCATGACTTCTTTTTTTGTCATTATAGTGTCGGAAATTGTCAGTACATGCCAAATATAAGCTTACCTCAATTTTTCAAATTGAAATAAATATATTAATCTGTTCATCTATAAAGTGCGAATGAAATTATTCACATGATTGATAGATGTGATCCTGTAAACGATGCCGCGATAAATCTGATGATCAACCTAGCTGTTCAAGCAGTTTAAGGCCTAAAAGTATTACCAAAAAATATGATAAATCGTCAAGATCTTCCATAAGGTTGCCTCAGAGGAATAAAAATTTGCCTCGATGAATATATTGAGGTCACTCTTGTGCAAAAAAGTCAGTATAAGTTACACAAAATTTAATATGTACACTTGTAGACTCCTCGAATTTTTGTGGGCATTGATCGATGAAAAAGAAATTTAAAGACATTCGTGAAACTCACCCGCTTCAGAACAACTGCCGCCAAGTATCGCGTTAACTTTTTTTCCAATTAGATCTTGCTGCCGCGAGACGTTATCTAGTGCGCCACAGACCTTGGCTACCGAACATTGGTTCTTTGCGCCGCCAACTTTCGCCAGCAATAAAGCCAACACAATTAGCGAGACGTAACGCATGCTTTTCTGAATAGTCGGGGCAATGAAGCAAATAAACTGTAGCTTAGACGTTTCTTACATAATGAATATCTCTACTGAAACAATCCTTCTAGTATATTCCATCTACCAGTGAAAACCTAGCGCCAGTACTAAACGCGCGCGTTAACACGTGTTGATTACGCCCAGTTAGCTTACTAAACGCGCGCAGAAGGGTCAGTTTTCCAAGGGGGAGGTCGCAGATTTGACGAGATTCGAATCTCAAATTACCCCGGGTGGCAGAGGCTTTTCATACGCAGTTTCTGGTTTTGGTCAAGTCCTTATAATAAAGGCGTATCGGACTGTGGCCTACGAAGCTTTCTTGTACCCAGGGTAATCTCAACTGGACTGCTGGCACCAACAGGGACTTAACCATTAACTGCCATTATTAGACATTGTACCAAGTACCTGCCTTCTCATTGGCTAATGAGCCTACAGTTACTGATGTTTGGTAATTGGCTTTTTAGGATGATTAGTATATTCAGTTTTAACTTGCTTACTTATAATTGGTGGATTCATTTGCAACTTACGCTTATAGCTGTCGCATTTGCCCGCTGGAATTTTTTATCGTTTTTAAGCCTAAAAACAAAAAATTTCAGCTGGAAATGCGAGAGCTATACGCGTATGTTGCAAATGAATCCACACAAAGTCAAACTGTTTTTTGGCAAAAGTTGTCCGTTTATTGTTTTTTGACTATGACATAAGAAGAAAAAGTATATTTTAGAATAGAAAGTTATTAAGTGACAAACGAGCTATAAATCCAGTCCAATGTTTTCTTTGCTTTATATGAAAAGCCTCTTGTTAAATTGAAGAAACACTGACTGCTTTATAAAAACTTAAAGTTCTTGTAATACACCACATTGTTGTAACCATTGGCAACCAAGACACCACCACGTTTTCTGATTGGATAGCGCGGGTTGAATGACGTCACAAATGTTCCTTTGATGTAGACCTTCACTTCCCCGGCAGGAGAGGAGATCGACACAACCACCCTGATGTTGAACCATTCTACTCCCTTGGGGGGACCGTTGGGGCAAGAGGCGGACTTAGCTCCGTCAAATTTTGGTTGACCTTTGTAAACGTAACCTGTCTGAAAACATCCGCTGGATGAATGAGGCCTGGGAAATAAAAAGAAACAATACATAAAATTAAGCGAATGCGATTATAAGACCTAAAAAGCTTATTACAAAACTGAGTCACGAAAACATGTCAGTTAATATAGCACTCCCCATACATACATAGAATTTCTAATACCCCGAAATCATTTCCGTAAACGGAACTGGTCGTAAGAAGGTTTTGAAAAATTCAGATTGTCGCTCTGGTCTGAAATCAAAATAGTGACAACTTCGCTCTTACGCGAGTATAAATTGCAACAAACCTAAAATAGACGTAATCATAGTTGTCTTGATCTTCGGCGTTTAACAACACTCCTGGGTGACCATAGTTGACTCTTCCACGTCCAATGAAGTTGTACATATCGACTGAGAGCTGGTAACTTGATGTACAGCCGTCTCTAAGGTAAGCTACTTGACAGAGGCCATCCTGCGGCCAATGTCCATGGGCAGTATCCACTCTAGTGTATCCAGGTAGCTCATCAACCTGCGTCGGTACATTAAAATTACGTGTATGTCGTGAAGTAAAATCATGTGTGAAAATTCTTCTTTATCACTCTTCTTGGGGAAGATGGTAAACTCCCGTATGAACGCAGGAACACTCGTCGGAAAAGTAAAATTAAACCCATAAATTAAGGAGACCGATCCGAGCATGGCGTGAGCTATGTTTGAAGCTTTACAGAACAATTAAAGGGTACTAAAAACTATTTGAGTGATTTTTAAATGTGCTTAAGACTTGATATCAAACATTACCCGAGTCGAAAGAATAAAAAATTGAAACTAGAGATTGCAACTAAGAATCCGACCTCTTTACAGCCGTGTTAATGGGCCTTTAACTGAAGCAAAATGAGTCAGCATTTAATAAAAGCCAAACTGGTTATGCCACTTTTGGAGAACACGTTTTTAAGTTTATTTGTGTAGAGGAATCCCTAATTTTCGAACCATCTTGGCAAAAGGCAATTAGTCCGAACTATCTGGAGATTCGAAAAATCCGCGGTGGAAATTACACGTTTTGACTTGTGAAGAGAAGTAATCTGTAGGTTTAATTTGGTTCAAATTATCGCGAAATTTCAAAAAACCTAGGGTTCGAGAAATCGGGATTCTTCTTCAATGAACTTGCAGACTTCTCGTCAAGTGGTTTTGGAATCTTTGTAACACAAAGTCGTTGATGATACTAATTTCTTATTGTGTCATTGACTGGCGTCAATTACCGCTTTTGTGTCATAGATGTTTCTCACCACCTTTTTGCATCTCTTAGTGATGTACGTTTGAGGCGCAATTATGAATTTCCTGAAGAGGACCTCGTTTTTGTAACCATGAAAAGTGAAAACTCCTCCCCAGGCCCACGGAGCGAAATGGGACTTGATGGAGGCCACCAAGACCCCACTGAGGAACACTTGTACGTCTTGACCGTCTACTGTGACTGAGACTGGAAACCATACACCACATTTCGGAGGTCCATTAGGACAAGTAGAAGTCTGAACAAAGGTCAACTTTCCACATTTCATGTATCCAGTCTGGTAACATCTACCGGCCCAGTGCGATCTGAATCATTTTATACAAGAGTAGAAGTGAAAAATCGTTAAAACTGAAAGGAATCGCCCCTCAGAAACTACAGCATACTCCTACCCATCCGTCGACTCTTACTGTCGACATAAATGGGCAATAATCCATTTCTAGCGATAATGATGATCAGACCAGTTCCAGGTCACTCCTAGGACAACTTTGTTGGGAACGTACTGCATCGAAGTCAGGACAAAAATAGACTGCAAAACAGTCCGTATTTTTGCGTATTCAAGTACGTGCGAGCAGTCAAACAAAAGGTCTGGAACGAGGCTGAAAACAGAGAGCGAGACTGGGGAGAGATGCTCGCTTCACACGCCTGTAGGGCGGTGAGGCTAGCACGCTTCGCGCGTGTAAGACTCTTACGCAAAGCTTTACCGATTTCTTTACTGATTTTGAGAAAAAAAACCGACTGTTTTGCAGTCTAGGACAAAAATCGGGAATCTAATAAACTAGCAAAATGCACTTCCGTCGTTCCCAGCATTCCCTACAATGCTCCAAGGTGCTTTCTCCTACTGAGGATCACACTGCAAATACAGCACCAACAAGGGCAAAACCCATACCCTATTTAAATGGTGGAAACCCTAATAAAAGCCATACATTATCGGGTGACACTTGCCAGTCTAGCCCATATATGGGAGTAGCACCCACGCAGACCTTGAGTTCATTTGATGCAAGCCCGAGCAAAGTTTACAAAGACAAATATTTTTAAGTAATTTAGATAACTCAGTTTAAGTTAATAACACGAAGCTTTACAATAATACCATACGAGCGGGTGAGGCCAAATGGACATGATTCCCGTTCCGTATAGTGTAGCAACAAGTTAATAATAATAATAATTAAAAAGCCTTCCCATGGGAAACCTCAAATCCCGTGTTTCGACTTTATTTCTTTCACAGTAGCTTTAATTAATTTTAAACAGGAACTATTATATATCCCCCTCCCCTTTCGACAACTTCCGTTCGGGCTTCGGTACCGCCGAAACTGTAATTTTTTTCTCTGCTGTCAGTCATTTTTCCTGATGTCTTTTTTTTATTAATCATAAGATATATATTTTTAATTTTTTTATTATATTTCGTCATTATCATTATTTTCTTAAAATAGTAGGTTGAGTTTGATCGTCCGGGTGAACGTAGTCCTGAACAGGACTGTTGTTGTTGACAGTGACTGACGTTTCGGCAACCTGTGCTGTAGTCATCTTCAAAGTCACATGACGAGCTTTGAAGCGCGAAAAAAATTTATGCAAATTAGCTGGCTGCACATTCAATGTGCAGCCAGCTAATTTGCATAAGTAATTCAAAACCAAGGTCTGACAGCTCTAGGCTCTTGAGGTGTTAGCTGAATACCCTAGGACTTCCGTAAATTGCCCACAAAAGAGTAGCTCAAGCTACCATAAACTGAAATGAAAGTAACCGCAATATCCGATTAAAGCAAGGTTTAAATCTTTTTCTGCTCGGCTAACCCTCTTCTGAGACACTTACTATTTTGGTAATAATAAAACGCCATAAACATTTTACATTGCGCCTTTTTCAGTCTCGGGCAGTAAGTTATAGTATGAAATGGAGGTAAACTCAAGAATTTAGTTTTGTGACTGCCCTGCAACTTTGAAACTATTTAAGCCGCTTCCTAAAAGGCCGGGAAAATGTTTTTCGTATACGCTACCCCGGATACTACAGGAATGATTAGAGCATTTTTGCAAGTTAACTGTAGGTTTCAGGTATACACTACCCAGGATACTACAGGAATGATTAGAGCATTTTTGCAAGTTAACTGTAGATTTCAGGTATACGCTACCCAGGATACTACAGCATCGATTAGAGCATTTTTACGAGGTAACTGTAGATTTCAGGTATACGCTACCCAGGATACTACAGGAATGATTAGAGCATTTTTACGAGTTAACTGTAGATTTCAGGTATACACTACCCAGGATACTACAGGAATGATTAGAGCATTTTTACGAGTTAACTGTAGATTTCAGGTATACACTACCCAGGATACTACAGGAATGATTAGAGCATTTTTACGAGTTAACTGTAGATTTCAGGTATACGCTACCCAGGATACTACAGGAATGATTAGAGCATTTTTACGAGTTAACTGTAGATTTCAGGTATACGCTACCCAGGATACTACAGGAATGATTAGAGCATTTTTACGAGTTAACTGTAGATTTCAGGTATACACTACCCAGGATACTACAGGAATGATTAGAGCATTTTTGCAAGTTAACTGTAGATTTCAGGTATACGCTACCCAGGATACTACAGCATTGATTAGAGCATTTTTTGAGTTAACTGTAGATTTCAGGTATACACTACCCAGGATATCGGCAACGCAGATAACAAAAGCTCAGGAAACAAGGGGACCCTGCATGACCCAGCGAGGCTGCTTGTCTGCGAAATTTTTTTGAGAAAAGAGCCGACTCTCTCGAGGGTTGAACTAGAACAGAATAATCCAGAATTATAATTTTAAACATCAATTGCTACTGATATAATTATTAAGTTTTCTTACCTGTCTGGAGTCTCTTCCACTGATGTCAATGATCTGGGCGCCAAACAAACGCGCGCGGTACATATTTCCCGCCACAAATAATTAAAAGCACTTTCGTGAGACGGTGATCAAAATGCAAAAGCAAAATAGGAAAGCCGGCGCCAAATTGCTAGAGGCTAGCGATCGTTTGTTGGGCGGCGTGTGATAGAGTGAAACTGACAAAATATCGAGAAATCTGGACAGAATCTTTTTGTAATACATTATCAAAAATTATGTGAAATACATCATCAGAGAACACGTGCGAAAAAAATAATTTCGGCTCGATATTTTTTCTCGGTATTTTTCATCGACAAAAAACCGAAACATTAAAAATCACGACTTACCATCAATTACTCGGCTAAACAAAGCTAAACTTACCAAAGTCGATAACCAAGTAACGATTTCCTACAGAAATAATTTGCCACACTCGTTTAGCAGTGTAGTGGTCGAACTTGACGTAGGTTAAAACGGATTCGTTTTGCCGGCATCTTCCCGTTAAATTAAAGTGGATTTAACACTTGCCAGGAGTAATTAGAAATCTAGCCATTTTGCTCATAGCTTCGCAAATGCAACCATCGTTATGCAGTAAAGCGACAGAAACTTTAGCGAAATATTCACACGCGACAGTCGCGACAACCTCAGTAAATCTAACAAATGAAACAAGATGCTGAGAGAAAAAAAGCGCTTCATTGATTGTTTCCGGCAGGCGGTGACAAGTAATGTACGAGATTAGAAGACCTCCTGGTCAGAATTTTTTTTGTAGCCTAAGCCCGTCATGGTGAGTTGTATCACGTCAATTGATGGTATTATACTCTGGTTATTGATCTGATTGGTCAATTACGTCGCGATGTTATTGGTCGTCTGTCAGTTAAGCCGTGATGTTATTGGCTATGAAGACTCGTAATCAATAATCGGTGCGTTTCGATCCGTCTATTGTCACAGTTAAACAGTCGTCTATTGTTAGTCAAGTTGTCAGTTCTCCACTGGGTCGTTCTCTCGTATAGTTTTGCTAGCTTTGACAGAAGCTAAAGCATCGTGCGAAAATGCAGCAACATCTTTTTCGGCAGCTTCGGCGTTGAGGGTGGGCGACTTTCAGTGCTGAATCGAAGGTGTGTTCCTCAGTTAGCAGTTTCTTTTGTGTCTCCTTGCTGCGAAGACCACAGACGAAACGATCGCGTAAAGCTTCATTCAGGTGATTGCCGAACTGACAAGTGGAAGCCGGATGTTTCAGGTTAGCAGCGAGCGCTGTGACACTCTGGCCTTCGCGTTGTGTACGGTTGAGGAATCTGTATCTTTCGGTGATAACCATTTTCTTCGATGTGAAATGATTGTTTAGGAGAATGGTGAGCTGTGTATACGCGAAAGAAAAGTTTGTGAGCTTAAGCAAAGGAGTTTTTGATCGACTCAGGTCAACCGGAAGTAAGGCCCTTTTTTCCTTTTAATATATATGCCTTGACTCTATCAAATTTATATGGCTAAGTGTCTTTACTCTTATAGAGACGAATTGCTTAAAAAATTTGGGCAAAATCTTTTTCCACTGGAACAATTAAAGTCCACTTCCGAATGACGTTCGTTGCACAGAAACGTCTTTGCTTAAGCTCTCTTTTAGTTCGTCCTCGAATATAAAGGTCTCTAATGTAACGGAATTAAAAGAAGTGTGTGTTGCATATTCACAAGCGTTACGGTACACAATTTTCGGGAAATCTCACAAGATGGCCACGCCTTGCGTGTCATCGCGCGCGGGTGCCTGCTATGATGAAATCCGTTTACTGCCGTGAAAAAGATTGAACAGCCACTGTTTCGAACGCTAGTTTTTAGAGACCTTTAGATTATTCTGAGACGAGTAGAACTACGAGTACGAGATTTTCTCAATACTAAGTACTGCTCACTCGTGAACCAGCGTCATTTTGGCGGGAAAATCATGATTGCAGTAGTCATTCTACTACGAGTTTTGTCGTGGTAATGGAAACAATTTAGAGTTTTTATCATTTTTTGTGGCCGGGAGATGTCACTAGCTCCTTCAGTAAAGATAACAGTGCTAATTTTTTGGGTGAAAAAGAAGTGCAATGAAGCTTTCCTTGTCTTTAATTTGAGAATATGCGAAAAAACGTTAAGTCAATTCTTGTACTCGTAGTCGTTCTCGTCCTAGAATCTAAAGGTCTCTTCTGTTAGAGGGAATGAAATATGCAATTGTGGGTTGTGCGTGATTAGATATCGAATCGATTGGTGGAGCTTGCAATGCTCGAAAAAAGGTAACATGAAATTATTTGAGTCAGAAGCATCCATTAGTTTCATGGGATTTAGAGTGCCGATTCGAAAAAATATTTGTATCGTTATATTCAGAAACAATGATTGGATTGATCTCTCGTGGTTTTGATCGGTGGGTTTAATGTTCGTGATTTTTGCCTCAGTTACAGGTATTTCGGCTACCGAGTCATCAACTAGTTTTTTTTGTCTGATTTAACTCCTCAGTTTTCATTTCGTTTTTTCTGGTGTTGGTACAGTTTTGAGGTTGATAGATACCAAAATCAGCCCAACAAAGCCACGAGTAAAATTTTGAGAAAAATGCTCGCGCTGTTATTGGCCGAATTAAGTTCTTTATAATTCCATTTTTAATGAAAGCACGCATCGCGCATGCTTTATTACATGCGGTCTATTCCACCAGTACGAACAAGCGTAAATAATATGTACTTATTGACTGAGTGGGAGCGCCGGACGGGAAAATATTTGACATGAGGTCCGTGCGTCCTGACCGAGAGCCAAATATAAGCAATAAGCATTTTATCATATGACCGTTGCGTTTTTAAATTTTTCTGTCGATCAATACGCTTTTCTAGCAGAGCCGTAAGCGTTTCCCCGGCCCTATCACTTGACACTTACGGTTCTCATACAGGACTTTTTTCCGTATGGTTTTCCAACGAAATAACGCGCGGGGCCGTACAAGTCATTACGGGTCATATAATAACGGGGAATTCTTTTCGTAAATTCGCGCGTGTTTGTCTAACTAATAACAAACCACTCACCGCGTTAGTTTGCTTCTTAGTAAGAACGAAATGTTTCTACATTTTGACTTTAGGCTTTATGTGCGGAACCTTCCCCTCAACGTTCACGATAAACGGCTTAAAGAAATTTGCATCACCGTGGCGGGACGAAATGCTTTTGTGAAGAAGGTGCTGAGCAAAGATCGCGTGGACAGTTCTTGCCGCGGACGTTCTGTGGGATATGGCTTCGTTGAGTTTACCAATCACAACAACGCTTTGGCAGCCTTGCGCGCAAACAATAACAATCCAGATATATTTGGCGCCGATCGCCGCCCGATTGTTGAGTTTTCATTAGAGAATAGCCTCGTTGTGAAGCTGAAACAGCGGCGGTTAGACAAAGCTCGACAAAGACAGCAGCCAGAAAGTGAACAGCCCAAGGCAAATAAAGAGAAGAGATTGGAAAAGAGTCAGAAACGGAGAGAAAAAAGGCAGCGAAAGAGAGAAGCGAACAAGGAAAGGAAATTAGAAGAGGGAAAGGAAAGCAAAGAAGAGAAACCTGACACAGGAAGCAACGAGGACAAAACTCCAATCAGCGATGTAAAGTTCCAAAGAAAAAATAGTAAAAATTCATGGAAAACGAAAAAAGAAAAGAGGACATTTTCAGCGGAGCTACCAGCTCCGCGAAATCTTGGTAAAACTACCGGATCGTCAAAAACAAAGAAAGTTTCCACCCATTTCTTCAAACGTGAATAAATCCTGTAATGAGCCTGCGGCAGCGAAAGCCAATTTACCAGCGGCTATTAAGGATAACAAAAAGAAAAAAACCTCTGGAAGGACGGGGAATATTGGCAAAAGGTTTCACGAAAGAGCTGATTCATTTACTCACACCAACGCAAAGAAACGAAGTGACGAATAGATAAAGGAAAGGAGCTAGGCGGAAAGAGCCAGACAAAAAATACGAATCCAGCTTCACCGACATGGTGAACGAATATAAGAATAAGTTGTTTGGAAGGGATGAAGGCGAAGTTCCCGCTGAACGTTCGCGCTGGTTTGATGATTGATCATTTTCCGCTCATAGTCAAAATCTTTTAAATTATTGTTTAATCACATCATGTCGAGAGTTGAAACTTTTTTTGTCAGTTTGCAACTTGTCGTAAAGATGAAATCTTGTTCGTCTTTTTTTTGTCTTTCTTGACAATTTAAACCGATTATGGAAAGTGCATGTAACTCGCGGTTTCTGCGATACAGTAAATACCCGCAAGTAACAATCTTCATTTTCCTAATTTAGCTTTAACAGATTCTTACATAAAGTGGTAATAAGCACATTTTTCTTTTTCTCACCGTTATGCTCCGATTACTTCAATAAATCCTTCTAAAATAGGCCTCGATGGTTACGATCCAAGTAAATTTTAGAAGCATTCAGTGTATGGAAAGTCATCAGAGTATTACAGTACTTATATCTCACCACCAATTTGCACTAACGGGCTGATTTTCAGCAGCTGGGCATTTTTCATCTTGTTTGTTCTGTATATGCTAACAAATCCCATAATTTCACAAAATTTTGTTCTTTTTGAGGTCATGACTTCTCCTCTATATAGTACAGTGATCTATAGTGGCACTGAAAGACAAATGATTCCACAGAGCTTTACACAAAGGCTTTTAATATTTTATTTTTAATCCTTTCAATGACAGTTGAAAGTAAGCTGCAACTTGTTATCCTCGATGCCAAACCACACGTGATCGACACTACAGTTGTATATGGTTTTAACCGTTTTAAATCTAACTGTTATTGAGCCTTTGCTTGAAGAAGCCGTTCTTTATGTTGACGCCACAGACTTCCTTACAAGAACTTGAAGTTCTTATAATACACCACATTTTTGTAACCATTGGCAACCAAGACACCACCACGTTTTCTGATTGGATAGCGCGGGTTGAATGATGTCACCAATGTTCCTTTCAGGTAGACCTTCACTTCTCTGGTGGGAGTGGGGTTTGACACTACCGCCCTGATGTTAAACCATTCTGCTCCCTTGGGGGGACCGTTGGGGCAAGAGGCGGTCTTTGCTCCGTCAAATTTTGGTTGACCTTTGTAAACGTAACCCGTCTGAAAACATGAGCCGGATGAATGAGGCCTGGGAAATAACAAGAAACGATACATAAAATTAAGCGAATGCGATTATAAGACCTAAAAGGCTTATTGCATAACCGAGCCACGAAAACATTTCACCTAATATAGCACTCCCTATCTTCATATAGAATTTCTAATACTCCGAAATCATTTCCGTAAACTGAACTGGTCGTAAGACGGTTTTGAAAAATTGAGATTGTCGCTCTGGTTTGAAATCAAAATACCGACAATTTCCCTCTTATGCGTCTATAAATTGCAGAAAACCTAAAATAGACGAAGTCATAGTTGTCTTGATCTTCGGCGTTTAAAAACACTCCTAGATGACCAGAGTTGGCTTCTCGCCATCCCATGAAGTTGTACATATCGACTGAGAGCTGATAACTTGATGTACTGCCGTCTCTAAGGTAAGCTACTTGACAGAAGCCATCCTTCGGCCAAATTCCGTGGGGAGCATCCATTTCAGTGTATCCTGGCAAGTCAACCACGCGTTTGCATCTCTTGCTGACGTGAATGATAGGACCAGAGAAGAACTTGAAGTTCTTGTAATACACCACATTATTGTAACCATTGGCAACCAAGACACCACCACGTTTTCTGATTGGATAGCGCGGGTTGAATGATGTCACCAATGTTCCTTTCAGGTAGACCTTCACTTCTTTGGTGGGAGTAGGGTTTGACACTACCACCCTGATGTTGAACCATTCTGCTCCCTTGGGGGGACCGTTGGGGCAAGAGGCGGTCTTTGCTCCGTCAAATTTTGGTTGACCTTTGTAAACGTAACCCGTCTGAAAACATGAGCCGGATGAATGAGGCCTGGGAAATAAAAAGAAACGATACAGAAAATTAAGCGAATGCGATTATAAGACCTAAAAGGCTTATTACATAACCAAGCCACGAAAACATTTCACCTAATATAGCACTCCCTATCTTCACATAGAATTTCTAATACTCCGAAATCATTTCCGTAAACAAAACCGGTCGTAAGACGGTTTTGAAAAATTCAGATTGTCGCTCTGGTTTGAAATCAAAATACCGACAATTTCCCTCTTATGCGTCTATAAATTGCAGCAAACCTAAAATAGACGAAGTCATAGTTGTCTTGATCTTCGGCGTTTAAAAACACTCCTAGGTGACCAGAGTTGGCTCCTCGCCATCCCATGAAGTTGTACATATCGACTGAGAGCTGATAACTTGATGTACTGCCGTCTCTAAGGTAAGCTACTTGACAGAAGCCATCCTTCGGCCAAATTCCGTGGGCAGCATCCATTTCAGTGTATCTTGGCAAGTCAACCACGCGTTTGCATCTCTTGCTGACGTGAATGATAGGACCAGTTGTGAAATTTCTGAAGAGGATCACATTTTTGTAACCGTTATAAGCGAACACTCCTCCCCAGGCCTTAGGAGGGAAATGAGGCTTCGTGGTCGCGACCAGGACCCCACTGTGGTACACTTGTGCATCTTGGCCGTTCACCGTGACTGAGACTGGGAACCAGACTCCACCTTTTGGAGCTCCATTAGAACACGCCGCACTCTTGACAAACTTCAGCTTGCCATTTGCCATGTATCCAGTCTGATAACATCCACTGGAAGAGTGAGGTCTGAATAGTAAGTTGTAGGATATTTTGCAATTAGTAAATCAATTCGATAACTGATGCATACGTGCAGAACAACGTCCCTTTCCGGGCCAATACTAAACTTTTGCAATAGGACGGGAAAGGAAAGAAGACGGCAATCCTTGTGTGAGAAACGTAACAGTAATTTTGTTCGGAAAAAACCTTCCGCCAAACTTCACCTTCATTCAAACAGATCTTTTTGTAAAATACCAGAAAACATTAATGTTAAGTGAAGATCACAAAAATCATGCAGGTAATAGCCTTGTTAGGTTTGTCAGGAAGAAGGGGATGGCAAACGTTTGTGTGTGCCGTCCTATTGCGAAAAACTGAGTAATATACTTTACAGACGCTTCGCTATTTTTTTTTTTCACAAAATCGAAATTATACATTACAATAGCTTTTGATTAGTTGACTTTCAGGCCCTGACTCGTCCTTAGTCGTCTTTATTTGGGTTGATGGGAAGGAGGGAAACGAAAGTGAGCACATACTGAAATTTAGATTTGTTTTTCTCTGTTCATTATGCTACAGGCAAGGTTATGTGTTACACTTTGCAAAAAAAGTCAAATAACTGCAGTGGCGGATCCAGGGGAGGGGGTCCCTCCTTATTTTTGGACAAAAATGAGGCCCGAAGGACTGAAAAATTCCCCCCCCCCCCCCCCCCTTTATCTAACAGTCTGATGACCGGTCCCCTCTTATGTCAAGGTCTGGATCCGGCAATGAATTGTGCACTTTATCTTGACATGATAATGCTCGATAATGCTAGTGACTCATATTCAACCTCGTCCCCCGGGACCATGAAAAAAACCCTGGGGACGAAGGTGACTCATAATAGAGCGTTTCCAGTCACGTTTCCAGCAGCTATGCTAATTTACTGGAACAAAAGATTAAAGCATTTACATGAGAAAAGAGTTCAACTCCATGAGGATTTTCTTGGTACACCAACATGGCCGCCGTTTCATTGTTATGGAGCACCAATATGGCCGCCGTGACGTCATGTGAAAACGCTCTATTTCAACACCGTGGATGAAACCGCTTCCTTTTTATAGAGTTATCCTGTTTAAATCATGAAAAGCAAGGACAACAACGTTCCAGTAGTTTCTTGGTGTTGTGGACGGGTGCAATCATCTAATGACGTAAAGCAAAAGAATGGAAAAACACAAAGCGAACCAACAATGGTTTCCGCAACCCCAACAAACTCATTGTGTGAATTTTGGGAAGTCTGTGAGCAAAAGATTTACCTAAGGTAAACGAAATCAAAGTTGTATTCATCCACAACATTGAACAGCAATCCCAGATGTCCACTGTGTATTCCTCTCCATCCGGCCTTGTTAAAGAGCTCCGCTGACACGGTATACTTTTGCGATTCTTCAGAAGGATCAGCGAGGACTCGGCACAACTGATTGAGGGTGGCTTGTGTGTTGAGCGTGTAGTATAAATTGACCGGAAATGATTTCACCAGGCTTGTACAGTCCACTACAGCGGCTACTGAGAACTTGTCTGTTTCAAGGATATGAAAGCAAAAATTTACGCTTTGCCTATTTGTCGGTGATTAAGAAAGCATTTTCAAGGATCGGAGGAGGGTAGTAGTGTTCCTTTTCAGGTATCCCACTTTGTGACCCAGCTTTCTCCCTTGGGAAGAAAAAAAACAAGAAAACCCCGGGCATGATGTTGTATTCTTGACTGCTTTTTTCGTTTTATCCCTGCAAAAAAATATACATTGTGACATTGTTTGTTTGTGTCCTGGTTCTTGAGGCTTGCATGCCACTCATTCATGTTATGTGAATTTTTTCTTCACCTAATGGGACCAGCTAGCCACTGGCATAACAATCCCAGCAACCAACTTCGGCAGCGTCCGGGTGAGATTGAAAGCGCGCACTCACCCCATTAAGTTCATTCATATAAAAAGAGACCCTTATCTATAAAGTAGAAAAGATATGTTGATTTACAGTATCGATGGAAAGGTTGTACTGTCTGAGTCATAAAGTAGCCTGACTTATCAGCACTAAAATAATATACCTCGTTATCTCCTTTGACGACTTTTCCTTCAAGTTTTGATGATCCCAATGTGGTCTATTTTACGCGATCGCACTTTGCTTGGAATGACAAAAAGTGCCCTTACTCGCTCTGCAACTTTGGTAATCAGCGCTATAAGCAAGTTGCCCCCCCCCCCCCTTCGGGGGTAGCACAGAAGTCCAATTTATTGAAACTGTGATCTACGCGAATTTGTGGTGACTTTCACTGCGATTTTCTCGAGTCTTCTCGAATCGTCAGTCTTGATGCACCGCTTACTGAAGCGGCGCATCTGATCTAGACACCATATTCTTTTGTGGTAAATTCCGGCGTAGTCAATCGAACGTTGGGTAATCGACCCAATCAAACTCCAATCGTTCGATTGTCTTCTGTTGGGTTCGGTAATCAAACATAATCGAACTCACCTAAAACTTTTACCAATCGAACACAATCAATGGACCATATAATGGAACATTCAAAAATCGAAGTTTCAACAACTGAACACAGAACAAGTTTCATTTAGTTTTACACAAGTCGTTGAGGTTAACAAGTAAGTTATGTGTTAGCTTCAATTTTAAACACGAGAACAAAGGCAAGATGTTGCCGGGAGAGAGCGGAAAAAGTGAAACCCAGCGTAAAACTACAATTCTGGAAGCGATGGATAAAGGCTGATTTTTGGTTCGGTTTCGTTCGATTAACTATGCCGCGTAAATCCACCGATGAAACTTATCAAAATTCGAGCAAGTTGGAAACAATTGACTTCATAAGGACGTGTCCGTACCGAACACGAAACCCTTCGGAAAACCCCGCCCTTGCTTTATTTTCAGTGTATTTTTCGCTCCGTGACGCTCTTATTGAAAGCTAGGGCTAGCACTTCTTCTATTTTCGATGAAAAGTTTTTAATTGGACTTATTATTAGTATTCAAGTCTTTTTTTGGTTCGTTTCTTAACTCGGATATTGGAGGAAATCGACACAATTTATAAGATCTCACTCTGTCCGCGAATGACCTAATTGCCTTTTTTACAGTTCCCGGCGCCATTTTGAAATAGTAACCGCGCAAACACCACATCGAGGCTCGCGTTGACCCGCGAAACATAAACAGAGTGAAATCACAGCTGTTTTGCTCACACGTTCGTATATTTTGGTTATTTCTTTTCACTCTAAATGGCCATAAAATACATAGACAAGGAAATCACGACGCTGGAAGATATTCAGAAGCTGAAAGTGAAAGAACTAAGGGATATTTTGAAGTGTAATTCTGAAAGAGCGGGCGGAACAGAGGCGGACTTAGTCCTAGAAGTTTACGCTTTGCTTGTGCGGAACGTAGTGAGGCCGGCCGAAAATGTCGAAGAAAATGTGGATAATAGTAGCCACTTTGAATACGAAGACACACTTAGACGGATTTCTGCTCTTGGATGGTCTACGGACCTGCGTCAGCTACCAGAACTTAACTTTATCCAGCTGTACGACTACCTCGTTGTATCTACACGCAAGTACCGCCATATCGTGCTTAAGGGTACTAATTATAAAAAGTTGAAATCTTACCAATTTTTCTTTGAGGGAAACGTAAAACGACTGGAGAGTAAAGTTTACCAAGGCAAGACCTATGTGAAAGCTAGTGTTCTTCCATCTATGAAGAAGAATCCGTATAGAGTTATAGTAGAGTTCTCACCTCAATGTGACATATTGCGAGCGGCGTGCACGTGTCCGGCCGGGCTTGGCTTAAATGGAAAAGGTAAATGCAACCACGTAGGAGGCGTGTTGTTTGCTGCTGAAGACTTTACGAGAAGAGGATTACAAAAACATGCCGAACCTCTGACCTGCACATCGCAGCTGTCTGTTTGGGTTGTGCCTCGTAACCAAAGTGTTGCAGCAAGGCCACTTGACCAGGTTCTGATCAGAAAGATACGATTTGGGAAGAAAAATATTCGTCTCCAACCGAAGATTATAAAATTTGATCCAAGAGCGCCAAACCAGCGAACGAGGGATGAAAAACATTTTAAGACCTTTTGTACAGGTCTTCAAAACAGTCTCCCTGCTAGTTCATTTTTTTTATTTCATGACATTAAGTCAAAGTGCTTAGAAGAGCCTGACCCTGAAGAGAAAGAGGAACCAGAGGGCGTACCCTTTAATGATAACTATGATATAGCTTCTAAGCACTTCAAATACATGGTTGATGAACACGTCTCTAACTTAACAATAACCCTGGAAGAGATCCAGGAGACAGAGAGACTGACACGCGGACAAAACAAAAACAGTCTTTGGTTTGAAAAAAGGAAAACTCTCTTAACAGCTTCAAATTTTGGAAAAGCTGCCAAGACCAAAGTGGAGCCTTCAAATAAATTAAAGTCAATCCTCTATTCAAACTTCACAACAGATGCTCTTCAATATGGCAATGAATGTGAACCAAAGGCAGTGAACTTGTATATTAAGGAAATGAGAAAGAATGGTGTCAGTGTTAAAGTTGAAGAGGTTGGATTATTGGTGTCTAAGGAGAAACCATACTTGGGAGCTAGCATTGACAGAATTGTCACCTTCAAAGATACAGAAGAAAAATGGGGAATGGAAATTAAATCTCCCTTCAGCAAAGCAGGAATGACTGTAGAAGAGGCATGCAAAACCAAAAATTTTTTTCTGGAGAAACTTGGTGATGGAACAGTGAGACTCAAACGGAATCATGACTATTATTTGCAAATTCAAGGACAGCTCTACTGTTCTGACTTAGATCTACAAGGGATCATTCTCACAGTTTATTTTGGAGAAGATAAACCACTATTTTTAGAGCACATTTACTCAGACAACACTTGGTCCAGTGACTGGCTGCCTACGATTGATTTCTTTTACAGAAGGGCTCTTTTCCCTGAGCTTCTTACCAAACGAGTGCAGAGGGGAAAGCTTCTCTACCACCATGGTGGGTGGCAACCATTTGGCCACTATAGCTGCTGCAGAACTGGTTTAAAATTAAGATTTGAAAGACAAGTATAAGCTTTACATTGATCTGAAAGTTTATTCATATTCAGGGTGCAAAGAAAGTTTTTTCTACAGCTTGCCATTCGGGCAAGCTAAAGCTAACATTTACTGGCCAAAACATCATTTCAACTAGCCCCAAAAAGGTTTTGATGAGCATATTGATTTGACAGTACTTCTGTAATGTGATTCCTCAAAAAACTTCACTTTCCCGTCGGGCCAGTTAAAAACAGAATCCACTAGCCTGATAGCACAATCCACTAGCTCCGGGCTATCAGATACTACTTTCTTTGCACGCTAACATTTATTTTTTCTGGGCTTTCGGACACTACTTTCTTTGCACACTGATATTTATTTGTTTTTTGTTTTTTTCAGTCTAACACTTGATTCAAAATGTATGACTAAACAAAATCATTTTTGAAATACTAGCACACAGCAAGAGAGTGATTCAAACTAAGCCATGAATGGACTACAATGAAATTCAACTAAAATTCCACAATAAGGTCCACTATCAGCAATCCTGATTCGAGTAAGACAGTTTATGCACATTAAATAAGCCATTTCTGTGTTTAAAAAAATTGCACAAGACAAGCCAAATGTGAAACACTGCTGTGAAAATATAAAAAAGTTTCACTCAAAGATAAACAATAATTTTTTTCATCAATACATGTAGATTTACATTTTGAAACAGAGACTAGAGGAACTCAGAAATGGCTCATTGGAAAGTAAACATCATCTGCCCAAGCTGTCTTTTAGCTGTAAACGATAGTGAAAACCAAAAAAAATACACTAATCAATAAATCGTACAACAAGAAACATGGCAGTTAAGTCACCAATAGCGACAACTATGGTTTCAGATTAGCAGGCATTAGCAAAGGCGGAAGGAAGTTTGTAAGAAGTCCACATACTGTTGCTATCTGTGTCGCATAGGGGCTAAGCGTATTGGGCAGATTACCATCTAAAATGTGGTAAGTCTTTATCCGACCAATTGCTCTTTCCACATGGATCCGTACAGAGGCAATGGTCATTGTTTCCTCTGTCTCTGCTGCAGTTAGTTGATTGCATCCCGCTAAAAAGGGTGGCATACTGACTGTGACACCCTCGGGCACAATGTCCTTTATGTCAAAGCCACGGTCAACCATGATATTGTCCCCACTTTCAATTAAATCCAGCACTCCACTTTCTCAAGTTATTTGTTTATCAGACACTCGTCCACCCCAAAGGTCTGAAAGAAAAGACACTTGGCCATTTGGTGTCACTCCCACTAGTAGCTTCCAAGTGTTGTGGTGCTTGTAATCAGACCACGTTTCTGACTGTGCAAGCATTGCAGATGGACTCTGAATGAAAAGCTCAGTGCAGTCCAAAATTATTCTGGTTGTTGCAAATTCAGCAAATTCTTCTGGCATATTTTTGCGCACCAACTCTTGGGTTGGGAAAGGGAAAATATCTTTGAGTTCATAGTACAATAAATTAATCCACGTAATACAAATCCTTGACACAAGGCTGATGCTTACACCAAATCTGTCTGCGAGGTCCTGTACAAATAAGCCAGCCTTCAGCCGCATCAGTACTAACAGAAATTCATCTAGAAATGATAGTTTCTTAGAGGGTCCTGGTTTCTTGCGATTTTCATCCTCTTGATAAGGCTGACTCCCTTTCAAAGACGCTCTCCTTCCAGTACTGCATCTTTTCTAATTTTGGCTCAATATATTTAAAAAAACTTATCACTGCCTCATACGATGGAAACCCTGTGTAAAATAAGATGGCTGAGTTATCATCCTTTATTTTCTCTAGGGAAAATTGACGGCTTAGCAGAATCTCATTCTCACTTTTCACTTCTCTCAAACTTTCTTCACAATCAGCTAGTTTTAGTTCCAGCAAAGTAATCTTTTGTTGCAGTTGTCTGATAACACCATTATTAGAGGCATCAGCATGATCCTGATCAACAGTGAATGAAGGCGAAGCTTGATCACTTGCTGCTGAAACTGTTTCCAATGGCAGTGATAGATTTGAGGACTCTTCGAATGAATCTTCTACATCCATTTCCTCTGCAGAAACTGCTGTGCTTGGTACTCGTTCAACAGGGGCTTTACGGGTTTTTTTTTGTGAGGTCCATGAAAACTGCGATGGCTCAGCACCTTTTGATTGAAAGGTGTAAATTTTTACAATATGAAATAATTATAATAAAAATACATGTACATTGATAACAATAACACAGTGCTCGGGTCCAGTGTCCTGAGTGAAACTCATTATTGACTGCAAGCCATTTATTCACACAACACTAGGATTATCGTTGATAAGAGACGGGACAAAGAAGGAAAACATCGATTGCTATCGCTAAAGTCACTGAAAAACAAAGCACTTATAATCGTTAATAATCATTATTCATGAGCTCAATAGCCCTATCATTATATTAAGTTTTGCAAATAAGATAAAAGAAAAAAAGATTGAGCAAAATGTAAGGGCACCTGCACTGAAATGTGATATGCATATCATTATTGCTATAAGGTTGATGTATTTTTCACAAACCTTTCTTCAAGTCCCAGCGGCCTGACAACTTTCTCACAATGTCCTCCTGCTTAAAATGTTCATTGCAAACTACAGTTGAACTTGTCACGGTAAAGCCATCTCTTCCATGTTGCCTCTTAATGAGATTACACCAGCGATTTCTTCGCTTGGGGCTCGTGGGGAATTTGAAGAAATGATAGCCACCGAAGAGCCCTTCGTCATTATAATAGCTATTGTTACAGTCAAAAACGGCACAATGTTTACCTCTTTTCTTTGAAGACGACATAATCCAATCAAATATCAAAGAAACGACAAAAACAGCGAAGAAAAGCAAGGGAAAGCGTCCTTTGCTCTCATAAACACACCGCGAAAATACGACTCTACGCGAACCTCGATGTGGTGTCTGCGCGGTTACTATTCCAAGATGGCGCTGGGAACTGTAAAAAAGGCTATTGACCCCAAAAAGATAGGAAGTAAATAATTTTAAAAATTGAACCACTTACAAATTAAAAGAGCCTGGTATGCCGTAATTTTTCGATAAAACTTCGCGGCGTTTTTTTGGGGACGGCATTTACTTCAAAAATCCATTTTTAAAATTATTGATATTAAAATTAGACTTAGGGTCAATCATTTGTAAATACAGTTAGACTCGGGTAACTCGAACTCGGATAACGCGAACTCCCCGCTAACCGTCCAACTAAGCCCCACTTCCCTTGGATTAGACCCTACTTTTCAGTCACTTTCGGTTTTTTTTTTTTTGGACAACTCGAACTCGGATAACTCGTACTCCCCGCTGACTCGAACTAAATTTCGTTTCCTTCGATCAAACTTTACCTCGATCCCTGAACTCGAATTCTGGTTCTTGGAACTCACCAAGGATGCCATCCCATTAGCGTTTCCTTGTCGTGCAATCGGTAAAATCCCCAAAACTAACACTACAGCACTTTTTTTTTAGCAAGTACAACGAACGGGGCACGTATTTGACAGTCATTTCCCGAGTGTATTATCGTGATCATAGAGATGCATAATCGCGTTGCAATTTCTGATGAGATAAGTTTAATTGGCAATCTGTTGTGTACTGAAGTGCTGAAATTTCAGCAAACATTCAATAGTAACATGAGAATTGAAGATTCAATCTACCCCGCTTACTCGAACCATCGCTAACTCGAACCGTTTTTCGTTTCCCTTCAGAGCTCGAGTTACCAGGGTTCTACTGTATTATCCAAAACCAAGAGAGAGTCTTCAGGGCACAACAGAAAATGTTAAGAGTTCCTTTGTCTCGCTTTTTTGCTGAGGTAGAATCGTCTGGATGGTGATAGACTATGACGACTTAAAAGTTGTACCTAGCTAGTTTTTTTCATATTACCCTAGAATAAACAACACCTCGTTCTAATTGGGTGCGGCATTTATTCGAGTAAATCTAGTTGCTACCACAGTCACTATTTGACGATAAGTTCTGAAGAAAATTTTGGCCTGTTACACTTTACTTTATTTTGAAACACAGTACGTTTTTGCATTTGCATTTAGACCGAAGAGGGCATTTTAATTTTCACATCAAAAAAATCCATCAAAAAAATCCCGTTCCTTATAGAGGTCTTAATTTAAGAACATCTCAATAGGTTAATGACTTCTTTTTTTATTATCATAGTTTCCGAAATTGTGCCAGAGTACATGCCAAATATATAACTATATAAATCTATAAACTGCCAATAAAATTATTCAGATGATTGATGATTGATGTCAACGAGGCATATAAATGTGATGATAGTAGTTTTAAAAACTCTCTTTCAAAATCACTCATTCAATCAGTCTCACGCGCATTCAAATAATGTAATTCGCATCAAATCATATTTAATTACTAAATTTTCCTTTTTTTTCAGGAGAAATAAAATTGACTTATAATTTAAAGATTTGCAGTCATTTAATATATATGGAAACTGTACGCCCCGAAAAGAAAACAGTAAAGATTACAACTAATACTACGGCTCTAATACTACGTCCATCCCCTGTTTCAAAATTATGCCGCGTCAAAATCAGGAGAAATAATCAACATTAAAAACAAACGAGAATTGAAACCAGGAATAAATTATAAAAGTGGTTATTGCCAAGTTTACATATATGATGAAAAATTCACCGATTTGTTTGGGAGTGTTTTAATGGTTTAATACCAAAAGGATTACAGATAGATCATAAAGATAATCGTAAGACAAATAATAAAATCAAAACTTTACAACTTCTCACACCAAAAGAAAATCAAAATAAATCCAATAATAAATCAATTATTTCAAAAAATATTGGAACGAAAGAAAAACAAATTTTCGATAGTTTGACTAAAGCATCTATTGAATTAAAAATTAGCATTTCGATTATTTCTAAAATTTGCAATAAGAGGGGATATTTTAAAAATGCAAAATCCAAAAATGATGGCGAGCTATACACGTTTAAATTTAAAACCTCACAGGAAAATACCAACGATTTGGTGAAAATATTAAACGAGCGAAAATGATTGAATGAGTGATTTTGAAAGAGAGTTTTTATAACTACTGATGATTAACCCAGCTGTTCAAGCAGTTAAACGTATCAGAGGCGCTCAACGAGAATATAGTTGAAAACCACTCAAACATAGCATTGTTAAAGGTATTTTAGTATTTAAACGGTAGATAGTAGGCATATTTTTATCCCCTAAAAATTTTTTCATCTGTTCGGATTTCCTACCTGAAAGTCTAGTGATCCGAAAATTATAGGGATCAAAACCTACCTTTTCGAAAATTCCAGCCAGAAAAAAAGGCTCCAGAAAATTCTAGGTGACCTTTTTAGGGTAAAAATCCGTTAAAAATAGGCAATTATACCATTTTTTAAATGTTCGAAAATCCTAGGAGAGGCAGGCAAGCAAGAAATTTTACAACAAATGTTCCGAAAATTCTAGATGTCAAATCGTCTTCCGAAGAGATATTTTCCGAAAATTGTTGTAGGGTGCCCCTGACGTATTACCGAAAAATATGATTAATAGTCAAGATCTTCCATTAGGTTGCCTCAGAAGGATAAAATTTGCCTCGATGAATATATCAGTTGAGGTCGCTCTTACGCAAAAAAAGTAACTATAAGGTACGAACGCGTGTTACTAGTACTTCTGATCTCGAAATTTTACGGGCACTGGATGAAAAAGGAATTTAAAGGCATTCATGAAACTTACCTGCTTCAGGACAATCACATTGGCAATTTGCGTCGCCAACTTTCGCCAGCAAAAAGGCCAACACAATTAGCGAGACGTAACGCATGCTTTTCCGAGCAGACGGGGCAATGAAACAAGTGCACTGTAGCTTAGAAGTTTCTTACATAATGAATATCTCTACTGAAACCATCCTTCTAGTATATTCCATCTACCAGTGAAAACCTAGAGCCAATACTAAACGCGCGCGTTAACAAGTGTTGATCACGCCCGGTTAGTTTACTGAACGCGCGCAATGGGGAGTCGCAGATTCGTTGAGATTCAAATTTCAAATTACCCTGGGTGGCAGAGGGTTTTCCTGCGCGGTTTCCGGTTTCGGTCAAGTCTTAACGAGACTCGCCAAAAGGCGTATTCACAGCGCTGCTTCTGCTAACAGTAGACAGAAATATTGAATTGTGCGAGAAAGAGAAGTTTACTAAAACAGACAGCCAACTGCCCATTGACCCCGATCCATGGGCCTGATGGATTACACTGAGGCGGTCCACAGTCCACATGAACACCGTTTTCATGTTATTAACGCATTATTTTTTTCCACAAGATAATATATTGTTCTGTTTTAAGAATTTTCTCTAGGTATTTTTCTCTAACTTAAAAGAATAAAATCCTTTGCATTTTGTAACCTATGTTGCTTTCATCGGCACGCACTTTAAACAATGTAAAATAGATGAAACGATCGATAACATATTTTTACCGTGATACTAAGGGCGGCCTGTACACGACCCGAAATGATCCCCGACCCCAATTTTTTCACACTCGACCTGAAATGATCCCCGAGGAATTCGAAATAACAAGAAATTGAAGAAAGAAATTCTTTAACAAGAAATTTGTTAAAAAAGAGTTATAATTATTTAATAAATTGTCCAAAATATATAAATACATCAACACTTCAAACAATTCGAGTCAAAATTCTTTCATTTACTCTATTCTAAAATTCCCGAAGATGCTAGAATTACTAGAATAAAGTAAATGAAAGAATTTTGACTCGAATTGTTTGAAGTGTTGATGTATTTATAAATTTTGGACAATTTATTAAATAATTATAACTCTTTTTTAACAAATTTTGCAAGAAACTTTACAGTTTTAATTGGAGGTTTAAATCGTTCAAACTGAATAGCATCTCATTAGGCTCGGTTTAAACGTCAAATTTTACATGTGCCGAGTCTGATACCTATTTGGTTCTACTTAAATAAGTCAATCCGCCATTTTAGACGTCGAATCATGAGTGAGTTTTTATAGAGTTGGGACAAAATTGAGAATTGTGGGTTACAATAAATTAAAGTAACAAGATTTAAAAAGCGATTCGGCACAAAAGAAAATTAAACGGTTGAACTTCTGTCGAGATTTGACTGGCTCAGTCGAAAATGCGACAGAAGTCGCGTTGCCCAACGAAACAGACTGAGACGAGACTGGGAGGAAACTGGAAGCATTTTAGCTCTACAGTTCAGTCTGTCTGGTATAACGACCTTCATATTATTACGGAAAAAGTAAATTCCAGGCAATTAATATAACTGAAAATAACTTTGTGCAGTCGATTAGCCGTTTTGAAAAGATTTCGCGTTTATAGCCGACAAACTTCGCATTTCGCGTTAACCGAAAAACGGAATTAAAACGCTTTAATCTTATCCCTGAGGTAGAAATGTTTTCCCATTCCATTCCTATAGTTCCTCGGGGATCGCTTCAGGTCGCGTGTGAAAAAATTTGGGGATCATTTGTGGTCGGGGATCTTTTCGGGTTGTGTTTATGTCGATTTGGGGGACCAATTTGGGGTCGGGGATCATTTCGGGTCGTGTACAGGCCCGGTTCAGACGCCGAACTTTTTATGAGCCGAATCTACTCAAGTCTTTAAGGCCTGGGACAAAGGCATTTACTAGTGGAAAATGAATTATTGGCTATAACTTTGGCAAAGATGATGGTGCTGAATCCGTCAAAATTGGCACACTTAAAGCCTCATCGTCCTTAACATTTTAAAGTATAAACATTGTGTTAGTAAGTCACTTGCTATGTCACGTGACCATTTTGCTAAAAATCGTAGATTATTGGTCAATTGACGGCCGGTTTAAGAAAAAAAATCGAATTTTTTAAAACTTTAATTTTAAACTTCACGTACATTCAGTCCAAACCTCTTTCAGAAATACCAATTTGTTTATCGAAACAAATTAATTAAATTCGCCACCAATTCGCCAATTTCCTTCATTTTCAATTTTTGGTCACGTGACATGTCACGTGACCATAATTAAAGGTTAAGGCACAAAAAAACCTCAAGATTTACTTTTGGCGAAAAGTTCATTTTGTTCTAGGTCTCCTAGCGAGACATGTTGCCAATTATTCATGGTGCTCAGAACACATCTTTGACCAAGGCCTTAAACCCCTTGAGTAATTCGAATTAACTGAGACCGACCCAAATTATTTAGACCAGCTGTATTGATCTTGATTGCAGCTGAACTAAGTTCAAGAGGCGAAAAATGCGCATTTCGGTCAAACTGCTTACAAAACACGTTATAATAATTACTTTTATGCATTAGGTTCGATACATGAAAAGTTCGTCTGAATCAAAGCTGTTCCAATTTCGCTACGCGGAAAGCAAAATTCCCCGTCAGGCTAGGCGAAAAGAAGGGCAAAGCCGTTCCAAATTGAAACAGGCGTTCCTAATTGATTCACCTGACTTTGATATCTTATCTGGGGAATTCGTTAGGCATAAATCGATCAGGGTACTTGAATATTGAGTGACTCGAGTTGATTCTGTAATAAGTTGAGTCAGACCATAAATATCGATGATATTTAAGAGGTGAGAAGAGTTGTTATTGACAACCTCCGATAATAAATTACAATTTAAGACACCCATAAGATATATAGCTCCAAGTTTTCAGCGTCAATGTTATCAAAAATTCTCTCGAAGGTTGAAAAGAGGTCAGGAGATGATTGTGGTGGTCTGTACCAGGTATACACCAGGAAAGGCTTTGAGTGGGGTTTAGTGATTTCAACAGTGAGAAATTCAAGATTATTCGGGCTAAGATCAGCACGAAGCTGAAAATTGATATTACTACAAATATAAATACAAACACCACCACCGTTCTTGCCATTGCTCTCACGGTCTTTCATCAACTGACTTAAACTCAAACAATGCCAAAACTTGTAAAGTGACTCCTATATGATCGAAACGCTTCGAACAACGCAAATAGCCTTCTTGATTCGCAACGCCTTCTGGGTTTCTGGGGGAGCGGAGGCGACGTACTAAAAATATTATTCGTGTAAGGGTCCGTGCAAGGGAAATCGTACGAAACCACCTGTCAGGACATCGTTTCTCGGTACCAGATCCTCGTGTCTTCCCTCCCCCGGGAGCCCGTTTATGGAGGCGTGTCGGCCTGCGGCCCACGAAAGTTCTCGCCGCATGTCGCACGCGAGAAAAGAATTTCTTGTACCCAAGGGTAATCTCAACTGGACTGCCGGCACCAACCAGGGACTTCAAAATTAACTTTCATTATTGGACATTGCACCAAGTACCTGCATTCTCTCAGTTATGTTTGGCAATTGGCTAGAGATTGGATCATACCTTTTTAAGATAATTAGTATATTCAATTTTAACTTGCTAACTTATTAAGGGTGGATCATTTGCAACATACTCATATAGCTGTAGCATTTGCCCGCTGGAATTTTTTAACGTTTTTAAGCTTAAACACAATAAAAAAATTTCCAGCTGGAAATGCAAGAGCTATAAGCGTATGTTGCAAATGAATCCACGCAAAGTCAAACTGTTTTCTGACAAAAGTTGTTCGTTTATTGTTTTTGACTATGACATAAGCAGACAAAGTATATTTTAGAATAGAAAGTTGTTAACTGATAAACGAGCTACAATTCTAGTGCAATATTTTTATTTGCTTTATATAAAAAGCCCTTCGTTAAATTGAAGAAACACTGACTACTTTACAAAAACTTAAAGTTCTTGTAATACACCACATTGCTGTAACCATTGGCAACCAAGACACCACCACGTTTTCTGATTGGATAGCGCGGGTTGAATGACGTCACCAATGTTCCTTTGAGGTAGACCTTCACTTCTCCGGCAGGAGTGGAGTTCGACACTACCACCCTGATGTTGAACCATTCTGCTCCCTTGGGGGGACCGTTGGGGCAAGAGGCGGATTTTGCTCGGTCAAATTTTGGTTGACCTTTGTACACGTAACCCGTCTGAAAACATCCGCTGGATGAATGAGGCCTGGGAAATAAAAAGAAACAATAAGTAAAATTAAGGGAATGCAACTAAACCTAAAGAGCTTATTGCATGACTGAGTCACGAAAACATGTCAGCTAATATAGCACTCCCCATCTTCACATAGAACTTCTAATACTCCGAAATCATTTCCGTAAACGGAACTCCGCGAGGTTACTTCCTTGTAGAGGCTAATGGGGATCTGCCGCTGGATAGGGTCGCATTTTCACGTCTGGATTGACTATAATAGGATTGCATTTTCAATGGAGTTTCTAGAATGGCGTCGCACATTTTCAGATTTTTGGGGTGGGAAAGTTCTTCACATTTACGCCGGGATAGCAAACGTACCAGAATGTTTGTACTGTGAAAAGTAAAGGGTTCTTTATTCAATATAAGGTAGATACATAAATAGAAAGTGTCTACTATGTTGGGATCGCGACAATTACATTTGCCCAAACGTAGGGGCTCTGAGAGGCCAGCAGCACATAATTAGCAAATATTAACCCTAGTACCCCTCCCTGGACGGCGATGATCGTAAGAAGGTTTTGAAAAATTCAGATTGTCGCACAGGTTTGCAATCAAAATAGTGACAACTTCCCTCTTATGCTGTGTGTATAAATTGCAACAAACCTAAAATAGACGAAGTCATAGTTGTCTTGATCTTCGGCGTTTAAAAACACTCCTGGGTGACCAAAGTTGACTCCATCACGTCCAATGAAGTTGTACATATCGACTAAGAGCTGGTAACTTGATGTACTGCCGTCTCTAAGGTAAGCTACTTGACAGAAGCCATCCTGCGGCCAACGTCCGTGGGCAGCATCCACTTTAGTGTATCCAGGTAGCTCATCAACCTGCGTCGGTACATTAAAATTACGTGTATGTCGTGAAGTAAAATCATGTGTGAAAATTCCTCTTCATTATTCTTCTTGGGGAAGATGGTGGACTCCCGTATGAACCCAGGAACACTCGTGGGAAAAGAAAAATTAAACTCATAGAAGAGACCGATCCGAGCGTGGTGTGTGCTATATTTGAAGCCTTGAAGGACAAAAAAAATCACTAAAAGCTACACCGAGTGATTTTTAAATGTGCTTCAACCTCGTCCCCAGGGCGCTTTTCCCTGGCTTTGGAGTAGGCCTTTCCCGATTGCGCTCGTAAAATCCTAAAAAAGTGCTGGCAAAAATGGCTAAAAAGTGCTCGAAAAGTGCTCAAAATCTCAAAATAGTGCTCAAAAAGTGCTAAAAGTTGTGAACAGTTACCTCTAAGCTTTTCGTAAATATGTCAATTTTTACTGAAGTAATTAACAATCTATTTTGCGTAGTGTTATTCGACAGGTTGTTACGAAAGGTTGATAGAATATAGAACAATAATATTTTTAAAAAACTAAAGCCGGTTACGAATTGTAAATAATTCAGCAGTACTAACATGATGACACACACATGATACATCAGCCAATCAGAAACTTCTGTTCTCAAGCTCAGTGAGGAGAAGTCCTCGTGCTTTTCCATGACAACGGTCTTTTATTCTTGACAACATCATTAGTTATTCAAATTTATGACCTGGAACACGATTCTCCGTTACGAGCGACACACAGTTTTTGCTTTAAAATGTTTTAGAAGACACATGTCGCTCGAAATTTGCTCGAAATGTGAAACATTGCTCAAATGTTGCCCAAAGTGCGAAAAAGTGCTTAAGGGTGCTCAAAATGCAAAATAGAGCTCCAAACTCAAAAAAGTGCTCAAAAGGTGCTCAGCGCAATCGGGAAAGGCCTACTTTGGAGGTGGGGCCCCACCTCCAAAGCCAGGGAATAGCGCTCTGGGGACGAGGTTGAAATGTGCTTACAACCTGATATCGAACATTACCCGCGTCAAAAGAACAAAAAATTGAAACTAGAGATTGAAACTAAGAATCCGAGTTCTTTACAGACGTGTTGATGGGCCTTTAAATGAAGCGGAATGAGTCAGCATTTAATCAAAGCCAAAAACTGGTCATGCCACTTTTGGAGAACGCGTTTATAAGTTAATTTGTGTAGAGGAATCCCCATTTTTCAAATCATCTTAGGAAAAGGAAATAAGTTCTAACTTTCGGGAGGTTCGAAAAATCGGAGGGGAGGGGGAATTTCAGGTTTTGACTGGTGAAGGGAAGTTATCGGTAGGTTTAATTTGGTTCACATTATCGGGAATCTCGAAATACCGAGGGTTAACGTTGGAGAAATCGGGATTCTACTGTAATGAACATACAGACTTCTCGTCAAGTGGCTTTGAAATCTTGTAAAACAAAGTCGTAAAATCCTTTCTAAAACAAAGTCGTTGCTGAGAGTCATTTCTTACTGTGTCATTGGCTGGCGTCAAATACTGCTTTTGTGTCATAGATGTTTCACGCTACCTTTTTGCATCTCTTAGAGATGTACGTTTGAGGCGCGATTTTGAATTTCCTGAAGAGGACCACGTTTTTGTAACCATGAAAAGTGAACACTCCTCCCCAGGCCCTTGGAGCAAAATGGGACTTGATTGACGCCACCAGGACCCCACTGTGGTACACTTGTACATCCTGACCGTGCACCGTTACTGAGACTGGGAACCATACACCACCTTTCGGAGGTCCATTAGAACACGCGGCACTTTTGACAAACGTCAACTTTCCATTGGCCATGTATCCAGTCTGATAACATCCACCGACCGAGTGAGGTCTGAATAAATAATTCAAATAAGAGTCTGAGAAAACTTTTAACCTTAAAGAAATTGCCTCTCGGAACTGCTATGTATTCCCACCCATCTGCCCAATTATCCCGACCACAGGACTGTGCAATAATCTACTTATACAAGAGAGAATAATGGTCCCATTATTCTTTCTTGACTCATCAGACTTTGGATAATTTTGATGAGAACGCATTGCATGGAGTGGCCTCCCACGTAGACGTTTTCAGGGCATCGTCGCGCGTTCCTTCCTTTCTTTTGTGGGGGAGGGGAAGGAACGCGTTGCGGATCCCCAAGAACGTCTGCGTGGTAGGCTATGCATGGGGGGAGGTCCGTACAAATTTAAGACGCGATTTTACGTCGGCCAATTCCAGCATTTCCTGCAACCCTTATTACTTACGTCTAAGTGTTTATTACTTACAATAATACAAGATGCTACCTTCTCCTATAGGGAGGGGGTTAAGCATCGGTTATGTGGGCCTTATTAGGGCATGTACGCCATTACCTACCTTGTTGCTCTTTGGATAATAATGTTCAAAGGGAATATTGAAGGCTTCTTTATTTATCACAAGCGAGTTAAGATTAACAGATTTCAATTGATGTAAACGGAAACGTAAGTATCTTTTTCCCACGTGCTTGTTGATGAAGAAAGAGGAACTGGAAATGTCTGTTTGACGCTTAATATATCCCGGCCAATATCCGGCTTGTCTTCGTTTTCTTCGAATCTGTTAAGACCCTCTGTTAAGTCCAGCTAGATTTTACAAGCATGACAAAAAAATTGATAACAAAACAGATCAAACTCACCGGAAGTAAACAAAGTCAAAGTTATTCTCATCCAAAGCGTTGTACAGTAGTCCAAGATGTCCGCTGTTTATTCCCTGCCAACCTATCTTATTCAGAAGTTCCGCTGACACGCTATAAGCCTGGGATTCGTCAATTGGATGAGAAAGTGCACGACACATAAGAATTGTGCTGCTGCCAAGGGCATCCAGCTTGAATTGGTTGTCTTTGATGGATTTCACCATGCTTGTGCATTCTACTACAGCGGAAGCCGAAAACTTGCTACCATCTATGATAAGAAAGGGAAATACAAGAACACTAAATTGGGATTTCTTGAAAGGAAAAAATAGAAAGGGAGAAAAGAAAATGGACGTAAAAGGAAAGAGGAAAAATGGATGAGGAAAGAAAGTTGGAAGGGAAGAAGACAGAGGAAAGAGGAGAGAAATATGGGACGTAAGGTGAGAGGGGGGAATGAGGGGATAGAGGGTGTTAATTTGACAAAAAAAATCAGAATTCACCATCAAATTTCTATCATTGCTTCATTTAAAGAGCACATATCGACATTCCAGTCCAAGCAGTATACTAGATGTTTCTCACATGAAGCTAGTTTAGTGGCCTTAGCTCCCACAAGTCTCCTGTAGCTCAGTGGAAGAGCATCTGGACTAAAGAAGGTCATAGGTTCGACTTCTTTTGGGAGTACTCGAATTTTTTTTCCGAGTCGCCTGTGTCACTGGCTGAATAACATCTTCATCCCCATTGATGTTTATAGAACGCCGGAACCTTTTTTATTTCCCTTTTCTAAAAAGGTGATCAATTCTACAACGTGCGAACACAAGACAATGTTCAGATGATTTATCTGCACCTTCCTGATTCAATCCACTTTCAATCCAGAGATTTCGTTTTTCAAACCGAAAATAATGATCAAAAGCCTGACAGAACGCAGCAATAGGGAGCTTAAGCAGCGACGTTTTTGAGCGACGCACGTCAACCGGAAGTGAGGTATTTTCCCTCTTAACATGCCTTGATGATATAAAATTTGTATTCCTTAGCTTCTTTACTGTTATAGAGGCGATTTGACTGAAAATTTGCGCGAAACCACAGTCAAAAAATGAAAAAAGGCCACTTCCGGTTGACGTGCGTCGCTCAAAAACGTCGTTGCTTAAGCTCCCTATTAGTGGTGTTCTCGCCCCCGTGTGTAAGTTACCAGTTCTCACATGTCTATAATGCCACTGATCATTGCTTCGAGTAACAGGGAACAAAAAACTCTAATTAATTTTCCAGCTAAATAAAAGTTATAAAGAACACTGTTGACTTTGGCTAACGTCAATTTATTCAGCTTTCATTTATTATAACAGAGCATTAAATGCTTAATTAACATGGGATATAATTTTTAAAGTGAGACCTTCAGAAAGTTACGTCGTTTTTTTGTGCTTTCTTTTAAAAGTGGATCTAACGCAATTTCGTCAATTTTTGTAACTCTCTATCAAATAGAAATTGTTCATTAAACGTAATACTTCATTTTTCTGAACCTAGCCATACGCCTTAATCAAAAGAGTTATGCTTCGACAAGTGTTTGTCCAACTAAATCTTTGTTAATAACAACTTGCAGCCAGTTAAATACTCGCCTCTCCATTTCTCGTCTTTTTTCCTTATAAGAAGCAATTTCCAACAAGAAAACGAACAGTATCGCTTTCACACACGCGATGATCAAGGATTCTTGTTTTCACGTTTATCCGTGAACGCTGGAAATACAAAATGTTCATAAATAATGGTGAATCACTTTTTGCTAGTCTCCAAACGATCTTTACGTTACAAGACGTATTCAAGGGATAAGATTTCTTGTCATGATCATCTCCACTTATTAATGCACCTTTTAGATTAAAATTTCTTTTGCAAAGGATAAAGAAAAAAAATTTAAAAATTAAAAATAAAAAGTCCACAACGAAAATTTCATTGAATTTCTCGGCATTACGTGTGCAAACAGAGAAAAAGTTGCAACAGTACGTGATAATAATTATATGGTCACCTCAAATCATTAAGATCGCCTTTTTTATTTCAATCGCGTCATTCGGTCTAATCTAGAGTTAGTGACCCGCCTGAGAGATTCGAACAGCAGTTACTGATTTTACAAATCTGAAATAACCCGCAAAAGGTTATTTGGAACGAATTGGGAAGATCTAAATCGCCGAAGATCTTACCTTCAGTACAGGGCTGTGCACCAAACAATTTACTATTTTCTTTGACTTTCTTTTCCAAAATATCCTGTCTTTATAGTATAGTATCAACCACTTCGCACACTCTGTCCAATGTACAAGGGTGTTGATCGTTTGATACTGAATTTTTCGAAACTGGGCTGCTTTCTTCCGCACCTCCGACGTCCAGGGAAACAAAACAAACCGCACCCGCAAGAAACAAAACGAAAAGCTGCATTTTGTTCCTCAAACACCTGGCATTGTAACACGGCCACAAGCACACACAAAAAAATGCTTAGATCCGAGCGAATTCATCTGTTTGGGAGAATGATCATATTCACTTGCTCGTGACATCGGCCAATCAGAAACTAGCGCCGGTTCCATAATTCAAAAACGTTTCACCTCGCAAAACTGGCTAAGTAACCATTGAGGGCAAAACGGATTGCGCAGATTTTTCTGGTTGGATTTTCTATAACTCGATGTGAAATTTTTTACCTTCCAGCGAACCGACATGTAGTAATTTCGTGGTTATAATTTTTGATAGTGATCTAACTGCTAAAGTGATAGTTAAAACAAAGTACCGCAATGACACCGTTAGTCAAATGTAGCCTGCGTAGCAAGCTTTTCCGTGTGGCTTCGTAACAAAGAAAGACCGAGGAACGTACGGTATTTTCGGTTTTGGCCGCGCGAACCCCCTCCCGGCTCTTCTACTCGCCCCATTTTTCGCTCGGTTTGTTTGCTCCGAAACCGCCTGGAAACACTTGCTTCGCAGGCTAATCAAATGCGACACTGTTACTACAAGAGATCTAATTGGGGAACAAAATAAGACTTGACGCACCCCCCGAAGGAAAAGCAAAGGCAATCAGAGAAAAAAAATGAAATACTAAGCACATTGAACCGTGGACGAAAGCCTCGATTGGTGAAAATGTTTTCAATAAAATAAAGTTAAACAAAATGCCAACATTTTAAATCGCAAAATATGAACCAAATGTTCGAATATCTACGCAGACACAGTCTGAAGTAATCTGCATCCTTTCAAAGTGTGTGGTAAATGTTTCCTTTCATCACAGATCTTTTTTTTTCCTGATTACCTTTTACTCGCTTTTAGAGCAATAGGCTGCTGCTTCCTTTTATACATTGCCTGTATTTTATTTACGCGCATCAAATTTACGACGTGTTTAAAATTACGCGACATTGAAAATCCAAAACCGGCAGCCTTCGCATTTTGCAACAAATGCAACAAATTTATTGCAGGCGACAACAGGAGCCCGCAATCGTAATCTCCACGTTATTACGCATGCGTCGCATGTACATAGCCAGCATTCATTAAGAATGTATGGTGTGCACAAAAAGCAATTTGATCACGCGCTTTCCGACCTTCTACTCCTCGTCGTCTGATCCGCGCGTGTTTTGAACATCTGTCAAGTGAAAAGTAGGCAAAGCACGGCGTTGGAGCAACTGAGCCTTTGGACCTGCGATCGTTGTCGCCAGCACTCCCTAGGCCTTTGGCAGAAGCCCATCAAATGGAACCTCCATCTCCATTAATTTCTTGAGTCAACCCTTTCCCGAGTAGATTTATAAATAGAACGGCTTGTTTCCCGCGAAAAGTGTCATATTTCCGTGAGTCTCGTATGTCACCGTGAAGAAAATGAAGTTGGATGAAGTCGAACTCAGAAGCCCGTCCTTCGACCGTTTTCCCTTTTACTATACGTCCATTTTTATGATTTTACAGCCGCTGGGATCTGGGTATCATGAAAAAAGGTTAATGAATTACCCGACTGAGACTGATCATGAAGCGATGGGACAAGGCAGCGAACTGAGGATCACTGAAAGGTTATCTTTGCGAGTGTTTTTATTTGTCGTCATACATTCAACATGTAAGCATGCACTTCGAAAAGAGTCGACGATTAAGCGTTCTGTAGACGATTGGGAACTTTTCGATGATCAGCGCCGAAAAAGTGCCAGGATCATGTTTTAATTTTGTCATCACCGTGGAGTGGATAATTTCACCAGTTAAGCACCGCGTGCAAAAGCGATGACCTAAGTAGCAATTAACGAGGAATGCTTTATTTACGAAATTGTGAGAAATTGCAGTCTTCCTCTACAACTGACTCGCATCACCATGAGAGTTGCCTGATGAAACTGGCACTTGAAAAGTTGAACAGAGGAGAACAGTTGCTCGACCGTGAAGCTAACTCAAAAGTAATTTGCTAACGGAGGAATTTGTGATATCGCGCTCCAGTCTAAAGACCCACTTATCTCCAGAAAAACAAAATGGATTGTAGCTGCGACAAAAGAATTATGATTGACTGACAGGACAATTCTCAGCAGTTAATGTTGAAGTTTAGGGTCAATTCCTTCCTTCGAATTCGCATCTGTAGATCATTTTTTTGTGAGAAAACAATGGCTGGTCCCGGCGTTACAAAACATAGTAGGGAATCATCACTCTAGCTGACGGACAAAACAACCACAAGGACTACAAGTATTTTTTCAGGTAAACGGATTTCGGAAAAAAAAATCTTGAAAAACTAGAAATTTGATTAATATTGAGTCATTTAGCCGAAATAATAACCTTAACGCTTAAAAAAATTGGCTAAAGAAAACGAATCGTGTCAGAACTACAGACTGCAGGTAGTAGTTAATCATTATGCATCTAACAGACCAGCTTCATGGTCTCTTAATGTGAGACAAGCAGCCAAAATTAATATTAACATAGTCAGAGTATACTCTCCACCGTATAATGTATCGGCTAGAAAGAAAAGAAAGAAAATCTCTGAGGGATGAAAACGCTAAAGTCACGTTTCACTAGCTTATGATTGTGTTTGGCCTGTCAGCACCGGATTTCCTGCAGTTTGAAAAAGTACAATAGCAGTGTCATTTCGTCGTTGTGATTGGCTCTTCTCACCATCGACGCGCGAAGTCTCCCTTGGGAACCGCTCTAATTATAAATCTACTCGGGAAAGGGTTGACTCCAAGGGCTTGTATGGGAGATGGAGGCTCCATTTGATGGAATCCTGCCTTTGGTTTTTACCAGAGTGCTTGAAGCTGCTTGAAGTCCGGCTCTTCTCTTAAAATCCGCCTAGTTCTCAGCTAGCACG